AGGCGACAGAGGTCCACAGTTGCCCCGCAGCGATGCTCCCCCGCCCTCCCGTAGACATTTCACGAGCTCAGTCACTTCATAACACCAAAGATAGGTCGCGGTAAACACTCTGAAGTGAGGCTCCACTACACTAAAAAAGAAAAAGAAAAGGCAAAGTGTAATGCCTGTTAATAGCTTGCCACAGGCATAGCTCAGTTAAAATAAAGCACAGCTATTGTGCAATACATTTGTATTGCATGTATATTTTTTAGTAACAATTTCAGTTAAAGCTTTTAAGAATAAATATATTTTTGTTATCTAAACGTTTGACCTCTTTATTTTACAATTTTGGAATCGAAACGGGGAATCGATAAGAACCGGAATCGATAAGCAGAACCGGAATCGAAATCGGAATCGATAAATTTCAAACGATACCCATCCCTACATAACACTGATCCAGATCCTGAATGTTTTCCTATCTGACCATGGCTGTCCTCTGTCTCCTGATATCTGTATATTTTGCGCAGTCTATCTCTGCTCACGCTGTTGCGTCGGCGTGTTCTCCTGCGTGTTGGCCATGTGTTGCACTGGAACCAGACACCGCAAAGACTTCAGTCGAGCACGTACGAACTGCGCATGCGTGAGTGGCAATAACTCTCCTTACCAGCAGGCGGCGGTAGTGTGTATTCGTCATTCAAAACAGGCAACAACCGAAAAACAGAGAAGAAGAACAGACTACGTGATATAAACAAACAACAAATAGCTGTGCGTTAGCTTCACTTTAGCATGTGTTCTTTGCAGGTGCTTGTTGAGGTTTGATTATGACTGATTTTAGTAAGTAACGAAGTAACGCGTGTCGGGGCAATGTTAGTAACTGTAGTGTGATTACTGAATTATAAAAGTAGCGCGGTACACTACTCCGTTACCGACAAAGTAATATTATTACAGTAACGCGTTACTCCCAACTCTGGTCATCACCACACTCTTGATGCACCGGTTCACCTTAAAGAGACTTTGAAAAGAGCAGCTTGAGTCTGAGCATGTGATCATTGAAAATGACCTCAAGCTACCTTTTTTGTTTCAAACATTTGGTTGGAAATAAAGTTGTGTGTGCTTCACAAACACGGGATTATAAATACAACCGTCTTTTCTTAAGGTGGACGTCACCATCCTTTTTCCATCATCTGTACCTCGTGCCACATTCGTGCGGACGGAATTAGATTCACAGTTCCCAAACGTACGAGTGTGTATTTGTGCATGAATGTGTGGTCACTCCCAAGTGTATTAAAGTAGCGCGTTGATGCTGGTTGTGGCTGTCTGTGTGTTCCAACCACAGATTGCAGGGTATGTCTGCAGACAGGGCTCTAAACATGGGTCACAAGACGAAACCAAAATGTGACAAGTTCATCGCAGAGAGCCGGTGTCATGTATCTTAACGCACATGTGCTTATATAGCGCAGAATTGTGTGTTATTTCTGTATGCGGGTGCACTGGATGTGTGGTTCTGTATGTGCCTGGTGTCGGACATGTGTTTGAGTCATGCTAAACCGTGGTGGTGTTTCGGTATAAAAAAGCAGCCGTGTGGATTTTCACTGTAAACATGTTCAGTGTCGGAGGCAGAAAAGACATCCTACTGGAATCAAAGTGTGTGTGTTGTGGTTTCTCAATACAGTTTTTGCTGTCAGATAAGGATAAAACCCAACATTATTCAGACATGCATGTTTATTTTAAAACGAGGGTAGTTTATCTGAATAACTCACCACAGATTTTTATCATCAGTCCGTTTTTTAAAACCTACTCTTTAAATCTTTTTTATTTCTGTAGTTGTTTCTGCCATGCAAAAACATTTCCAGCATATGTAAAAAGGCGCAGTTATTGTCAAGAAAGCACTGGTGTAAAAAGTACATTTACTCAAGTTCTGTTATTTAAGTACATTTTTAAGGTACTTGTACTTTCTTTAGTATGTTCATTTTATGCTACTTCATATTTCTGATCCAATTATATGGATTAAGATGATTGGCATTACAAAAAAGTATTTCTTATTCTGATTGTGTTCACATCCATGGAACCTTTATAATCCAGCAATCCAATAAATGGTCATTCTGCATAATGACAACTTTTAGTTTTGTTACTTTATGTCAAGTTTGATGCTTATACTACTACTTGCGGTGTGTTGCAGCACATTAAAACATGTAAACATGCCATATTAGAGTCAACAAGTACAATTATGAAACCTAAAAATGAGTAAGTGCGCCCTTTTAAGTAACATTTTGAATACCAGACTTTTACTTGTATCAGAGTACTTGTACACAAGGGTATAATTACTTTACTTTAGTAGAAGATCTGAGTACTTCTTCCACCACTGCAAGAAAGTTAGTGCTCTAAGAAAGATCTTGCATATAGAAAAGCACAAGTCAACCATGAAGACATAACGTTGATTAATAATCCAGTTGTTAAAGACCTAGCTGACAGGTCTTATTCAATGAAGCTGCTGGTAAACGACATTCCTTCCTCTCAAATCAGGAAATAATGGGATTATAAATAGATCATTGACGTTTCTGTTTTCGATTTCCATTATTATTATTGTTGCCATTCAAGTTTCCCACGTGGCTGAATATTTTCCTCCGCCCATTGTGGTTTGATGAATGAAACGACGCCTTCCTACAAACTGTACCACGAACAGTTGCAGCCTGCCAATAACAACTATACTTTTCCAGTGTTTTTATTTTGAATCTCCACCGTCTCCACAGTCTTAATTTACTGCTATTTGTTTAAGAAATACTTTTGCTAGTATTAACTTCCTTTCCCTTACACAATAAACTTTAAATATCTGAAAGGAAAAGTCTCATTTGAAGACAGGGATTCAGAGGAAGTATTTTCTAAGTGTTTGTTTGTGTGTGTTTACATGAAAGTGCAAACCTTGTAGGATAATCTGTGGTTGCTTTTCTGTACGGGTTGTTTGTGCTCTGTCACCCAGTCAGTTTGTCTGTCATTCAGTCAGTTTTATGAATGTGTGTGGGCGGGACTCGGTGAACCAGTTTTGCCACCTGTGTGTTCGTGTGTGTGTAAATGTGTGGGTGTGTGTGTGTACATCAAATCCCTGGGACTGTCTGTAAGCTAATTATATAACAACACCTCTCTCATTCACTCCTACTTGTCCTCTCTCTATCCCTCTGCCGCCCAGACACACACACACACACACACACAGTGCAGCATGGATGGAATATACACAGAGTCAGAGGTACATCCTGTTATTGTCGGATCATTCATGTGTTCAGTGTGTCCCTGTGAGGGTGGCGGCTGTCATGCTCACGCTTGACAATGTTTTTTGTATTTTAAAATTCACTCTCCATTGTATCGTCTCATGTTAAACTCACTGTCTATCGACTGCAGTGCAGAGGGAGTTTTTGTCATGAATTGTTTTGCAGTGCTGTTTAGACTAAACTGTAGCTGTTGTTGTATGGAGGCTTCACAAACTAACCGAAGCTGCAAGACAATTACTCTGGTTGAATCTGTGAACGATACGTCTCATAATCACTGCATCTGGTGATGAGAATTATTATTTTTTTAAATACATTACGAGTGTATGAAACGTCAGATAATCGCCAACCTGAGTAAAAGGGTGATGACTTCAAGTTGTGTTGTTTTGTTATTGCCAACAATATTAAAAAGAGCCATAATGGGAAATACTCCTCACACTTACCATGTCTTTGAAAAGCCTATGTGTTTATGTAAATCTTTTTTAATCGACGATGACACGTTGTGACTTAATTAGCTTCTTTCTGCTATTTATAAAGCATTGATTTGAGGATATTGAAGTCATTAAAAGGTCAACATCTTGTGTTTTTTCTCATAGTTTAAAGGTATTATTAACAGCACTTTTTGTTATACTTTAATAGTGACAGTTGAAATACAGCCAGGCAGTAAATGATTTAGAGGGTGAATTATTACCTCAGGAAAAGGTTTAATCGAGGTGTTAAGATATGCAAATTGTGACTCTTTGTTTCAATTAAGTTAGTAGATGACATCCTAATACAACAGCCATATGTATTCTATATTGCATTTATTTAAGCGAGGTGGCCTATCTCTGCTGTAATATCGTTTGATTCTTTTGGTGGCTAAGTATATGATTGAATGATCATCCCATTTTGAAATGAACTTCTCGCTGAACTACCTCCACAGTAAATGCAACACCGGGCTGCATATACATTAAAGTGTGTGTGAGTGTGTGTTTGTGCAGACTTCTCCCGGTGCGACACCTCCCACCTCACACAGCGAGGACGAGGCGAAGTCGTGACTTAAGACGCCCTCAAACATTCTGCTTTGTGTGAAGGCAGATCTATAATTGCCGGCTGTGGCATTAACACACTCTTAAGAATTAAAACTTGAGTTTGAGTTAACAGAACAGATACTTCTCACAGGTTGGGGCCAGGATGAAATGATTGTTGTTTCCTGAGGAATCATTTTTGTTTGCTGAAGAGTTTTTGTGTTGCGTGGAAAGGATTTGGTTCATTAATGCTTACCTGGTATCTTCTCACAGTGATGTTTTTAAAGTCAAAATGATTCTTGTTGTCATTGATCTTACAGCGAATAGGTGTAGTTGCATTGTCTTTGTATTAGTAACAAAAATAGCTGTGTATTTGACAACTCACCTTATTCTAATCAATCTGGAACATAATAATACAATAATCTGATATTAATTTTGGATTAGTTTTAATATCAGTTTATCTGTGTGTTTATCTGTGTGTTTAACTAGGTGTAACGGTTTTGTTCTTATTACACAATAACATGCAATCATGTGGTGGGTGGTGGCGATTTTGAGATGTTTTTGCTTTCATTCATAGCTGCTGCACATATTAACTAACATCATCAACAAATAGGAACAAGACAAATTCTATATGAGCATATACATGCATTTTGAGACCTATTGACTCTTTAGATTATAACCCCACCCTACTTTATATTATAAATCAGACATTTCCGATAGCATGCTAATAGTTCTCCCTTTTTTCTCTGTGCAGTGACAGCTACATCGTGCGTGTGAAAGCGGTGGTGATGACGCGGGACGACTCGAGCGGAGGCTGGCTGGCCGAGGGTCCCAGCGCTCTGAGCCGGGTGGGGGTCTGCCGCCTGCTGCCGCCCGAGATGGGGCTGCTGCCGACCTCCAACGGCTCTCAGTTCATCATCCGGGGGGAACGGCTGCGGGACAAACAGGTACACACACACACACACACACACACACACACACACACACACACAGACACACACAGACAGACAGACGGGTGGTTTTTGTGTGGATACAAGCTACCGTATTAGCTTGGATCTGTACTTTTGTCTGTTGTGCGTTTATGGGTTTGTATTAATTTGCTTCAATGTGTTTTTAATATGTGCCGTAATTGCTTTGCTAGTGTGTTATTATATCTAGTATGTCTTTTTTTAATAACATCAACCTGCAAACAACTGTAGACGATAATTAGCCTCTATCGCTACATCAGGCACATAATGGACCTTCCGTACACCAAATTAAATCTTTATAAAACATATGGTTAGGTGTAATTAATATGGGTATTTTCTTCCAACAGGTGATCCTGGATTGTCCTCTGAGGAAGGACCTTGTTTACACCATAGCTACGCCCACGTTTCACCATTGGAAGGTGGAGAACATGAAGTGTGGGCTCTCCTTTCAGAGTCCAGCTGAGGCCAGAGCGTTCGACAGAGGCGTACGGAAAGCTATCGAGGACCTGGCTGAAGGTACGGCGAACAACGAATAGACGCACACAACTTTTTTTGACAAGGCCTATCTGCTGTCAGACGATGAGCTGCAGAGTTAACCATGTGAAAAAGTTATCCTTGAGTTTTTGATAGTTGAATTAAAGGATGTTTTCTTCCCCGTAGGCTCCACAACCTCATCTACAGCACTCCAGAATGAGGGCGAGCTGGGTGACGACGACGTCTTCACTGTAAGTACATTACTATACTATGCAAGTACTTAATATGGGCTGAGGAGAGATGAAGTGCTATCATGTTACAAAGTAAGGTGTCATGGTACAATCACTAGTATGTTTCAAGGCTAAAGAAAATGCCCATGACCATTTATTCAATAAAAACCAAGAGGTGCCTAAACATTTCTCCTTTCCTGGTTTTGTCCATGAAGCAGGAAGTGTTTAACTTCACTCCAGGTCCCCTCCCTGTGTCACGTATACCTGCTGCAGCACAATAAATGTGTGTGTGTTGTGGGATTGTGTGTCTGTTGTTTGTGTGTCAGGGCCTCTCTACCTTAAGTCAGCATGAAGGTCCCCCTCCCCCTACTCCGTAACCTGACACCAGGAGCAGCAGGCAGGGTCACAAGGTCACTTCCTGTATCCCACCACCTCTCTCCCTCCTGACGACCCCGCCCCCCCTCCTCCCTCTCTCACCCACCCTCCTGGTTGAAAAAGAGAGCCGCCACCAAACTAGCAGCTAGCAGCTGTTTCCCAGCTTAGTGCGGGAAGGTGATTTACGAGAGGAAGTGCCTCGTGGTTCATCTTTGACTCGAGCTGTCTGTAAGGGCCAAGACTAATAGGTGCTCTGCTGGGAGTGTACAGCCACCACAGAGACGCATACAAACACATGAGGGGGGGGGGGGGGGCTACAGCGATGTCAGAGGGTGGAGCAATTCCTCAAATGAAGCATCAGGTTTTCAGGAAAGTAGGAACTTTTAGTGCAACAAATTCAAGGCGATTCATTGGTGTTGTTGCTTTAAAAGCTGCCATATTGACCCCAAATGACACTCGGCTGCTCACTTTTATAGCTATGTGGAGGCTCATGATAACACAAATAATGACATCTCCTCCATTTATATATGTAAGAATTATGCAGGAAACTACTGAGATCATTGCAACGTTTTTGACGGCTTCATTATTTAAGCACGTTGAGAGCTCGCCACAAGCTCAAACGGCCCTGAAAATCACCTAGACTGGGGACTGATTTTGCATTTCTACTTTTAAATGTGTACCTGAACACATGACAGACATTACAGCTAGCAGCCAGCTGACCTACACACACACACACCTTTATATATATATACAGTCGATGACACACACACACACACACACACACACACACACACACACACACACACACACACACACACACACACACACACACACACACACACACACACACACACACACACACACACACACTCTTTGCCAGCATTAGAGGAATTACCAGCCTGTGGTCTGTATTTGAAATCCAAAAAAACAACAGTATTTATGATAAAATCCAGCCTGCCACTTAACAGGCTATCTTTAAACCGTCTCGTTATATGTGTCTGATGGCTAGCGCTTTTAATTTAAGCTTTGCACTGGTGAAGTCATCAAAAGGAGCTGTGGTAGACAACAAATAACATGATTGAAAGCACAGAGCATTGAGTGCAGCCACTACAAATTGTGCAGGGCATATGAGGTCTTGCAGGGGAAATACAAGGCTAAGGAATTTCACTATTTCCTTCAGCAAGCCTTATCTTGTCTTGTTAATAATCATCTGACTGTCAAGTGTATAATCAACAATCACACTTAAATTAACATCCATGGGATATGGGTTCATTTCTGCTTGTGCTCCTCTCAGCCAGTGCTAATGACCTTTCCTAAAGTTAGCGGTGGCGGTAGTCGTGGACAGGGGGAAATGCAGCAGCAGATTTACAGTCTTTAGGGTGGAGGGGGCGAAGCTAGGATGGACATACTTCCCTAAATGATTCCTTGTTCGCCAAACCTAAACTTAACCCAACCCTTCCTCTGTCCCTCCCTTCAGCACGTCTCCCCTCTCTCTCTCTCTGTCTCTATTTTGGCTCATTCACAACAGGGGGAGTGAGAGCTATTGAAGCAATTCTGGGCTCATCCCAGGAGAGCGAGACGGGCCTGTTGAAGGATGAATCCTCCCGAGCTTTTGAGTCGGGACATGTTTTGTGTCAGAAAATAACTTGAAATGCCCTCTGTTCAGCCTTGGGCCAGAATATATAGAGAGAGGATGTCCAGAAATACAAAGTCTCCCCCTCAACTCCTCTCTGTTTGCCTCTTGGTAAAAGCCTGGTCTGTGTTTTGAATTAGTTTCAGCCGTGGAGGCCAGAGTCGACTGGTTTTAAACCGTATCGGCTCCTCCCCCCCGGTAATGTCTTCTGCAGGGGGGCGGGCCCGGAGAGAGGCAGCATGTTATGTTATTTTTGGCCGGCTGCTCTGGGGGCTTTGTAAGAAAGCTGGGGGAAATTCTCAGCATGGCGGTATCCATGTGGGGACAGACGGACAGACACACACCAGATCGTGCTCGTATAACTCTGGCAAATAATTGTTTGCATTGGTTAAAGGGCCAGGTTTTGACACACGGGACACATATTTTGTCAATTTAATAAAGGGTGAGGGGAAATTACGTTTTACTAGGAGGATATGTTACCTGACAAGAAACCGTGGTAAAACTGCAATTTATATAGTTGATGCAGTTCAGTGAGGAGAAACAATGTTGATTTTGTTTTGACAACCATAGTAGATCAGAATCAGAATACCTTTATCATTAGTCCCACAGAGGGGAAAGTTGCATCGTTAAAGCAGCAAAGAGCCACAGACAGCTTAATGTTACATTTGTTAAAAAAAAGTACTAAGTTATGATAGAATAAAAGTAAAAAATAAATACTTTTCAAAATACAAATCCTGTAACAGTTCTTAGGATTTAGCAGCCAGGTATATATTACAGTTATTAATGGCATATGTATATAATAATGTATATATTGCACATATTGCACATAGTTTGATGGTATTTAACAGCAGCAAGTTACACAATTACAAAATGCAAAAAACACACCTTGTATAACATCTGTTTGAAGCATATCGAGGGATGGAGGGAGTCTCAAAATCTTAACTAATATTTGTTCTCACATAGAGCCATCAATAGGTTGTTATGTGTGGTTTTGAGTGACGTTTTAAAAAAGAAAAAGTTAGATGGATTGCTCTAAGATGTTGAGCACACTTTCATGTCCCTCCCAGGATTAATTGAAATCACTTTGTTGATCCCTTATTTTTTTAATAATTCCAATTTTGGGTTTATTGAAATCCCCCTTAGCAGTGGTAACAACACGGCAGCTTCTCTTCCTGGGGTCTTCAAAATGTTTAAACACAATTTAAAAGACAATTACTGACATCTATATGAGACTCAACTTTACGCACAAGAACATTAACACAAAACGATAATGCAGATCCTGTCTAGTAGGCTACACCAGATGGCTCTAGACAACGTATTTTTATTTAAAAGGCCACACGCCTCCTCTAATTACAAATAAATAATGATAGATAGCTCTGTACATGAATAGCACACCATTAAGCACATGTTAGCATGCTAACAGGCTCAACTGAGATGATGGATATGTTAAACATGCTAGCAATGCCATTGTGATCGTATGGCCATGCTAGTGTTAGCATTTAGCTGAAATCACTGTGCCTAAGTACAGCCTTCACAGAGCCATTAGCATTGCTCTGGACTCTAGTTTCATCATACTGTACATTGCGAGCAATCTAGGGGTTCAGTGTCTTGCTCAAGGACACTTCAACATGTGTTCAGGAAACATGGGTTTGAAACACCAACCTACTTTGCTAACTGAGATACAGCCAACATGTATTTATTTTAGTATTTCCAGTAAAAGTTGAGTACAACCGGGAACATTTGAGTACAATGAATATTACATTTCACTCAGGTTGATTTTTCTTTCCTTTTTATGGGGTGAAATCTCATCAGTTCAGGGAAAAAAGAAAGCTTATAAATCTTATTGCTGCTGGCAGATGTTGACGAGGTAAAATAAAGCCAAACCTTTATCGTGGACAAGCTTGTAGACCCTTGATACAAGTTTATATTGCATTATTGACCCATGGTGCTCAAAGCATGGTTAAACAAATGCAGACAGATACAGATCTTTTTATTTTCAACAAAATAGGCTAACATTGAGTTACGAAAGGTGTTGTGAGGACAGCATATTATCTAATCTATTGTCGGTAGATGCTGAAACTTTAAACCCTCCAAGAGATAAAACCAGTTCTTCTTCTCACACACAATTGGGTCCAACACATCTTGAATATCTCACCCGTAGGCCAACACATAACCAGGATGACATGATGAGACAGGGGTCCTATCAGCTGGTACACCCCGACCCCCCACAGAGGCTGACCCCCAGTGTGCCGGTCTGAAATCTGTCTGTCTGAGCGCTACACGGCTGTGAATCGACTGTCTAGTGTCTGGCCAAGGTTTGAGTTGGAGGGGAGCCCTGACAGGCTTTAGCGGAAAGGGGACAGGATACTGTTCACACAAACACACACACCGACCGACCGACCGACAGGCGGGAGAAGTGGAAAAGAGAGAAGGGAAGGAGGAATGTGTAGAAAGTGAATTTGAGGGAAGGAGGACAGGTTGTTGGGGGTGAGGACGAGGACGAGGAGAGGCCAAAAAAAGGCGAAACTGCAAAAAATGTGTGTGTGCAGATTGCTAGCTTCGTGATATCAAGTCAAGCCACCAGCTTGATCTCAAGCATGATAAATAATTATCTAACCTGTCAAACAATGTCTCTATTGAAGTGGATTCAACAGTTGAAGGTTTTATACATTTGATAGTTGTTGATTTTAGAGCTGAAAGGATTAGTCAAATACACCTTATTTCATTTCAGGGTTAGGGGTGTAAGAAAATAAGGATTATTTTCATTCTGGGAAATGTTAATTCCTTTGTTCAGACTACACATGTATTGCTGTGGTGTTTAATGGTAAAGGGTCTGTAATGAATGCAACTGCCGATCTGTTCCGATTGTATGAAAAAGTTGTATTTCTTTACTCGGATTGGATGCTTATAGGTGGTGTGTTTTTTATACTATAACAGTAACGCAATATGTTGTATTTCAACCACTTTTGGGTTTATTAAAAATATATACTTTGAGTTTTCACCTCATAAATGCAAACTTATGGAGTCTTATTCATCAGTCTTGTGATACATTTGGCTTTTATTAAGGTTATAATGTTCAGTTTAAAGTGTGTTAGAGAGGTGTTCAACTATAGGATCATTTTGGAGGCTGCAGTTTGTGCTGCCATTGGATAAACCAAGGTGTTTCTAATATTTTGTCCATACCATTTATATAAACCACGGATATCCTATTCTATCCTAATTTATGTGTCCTTGCTACAGTGTTTTCTTCTTGCCTGTTGCAGATGTTTTATGGCAGATGTTGTTTATAAAAGTTTAACTCGCACACAGGGATCCAAATGTGGATCAAGTGGCTTGAAAACGGGGCTCAAGCTTCCTGTTTTTCCCAATCAGAGCTTCGCCAAGGCTTCCTGTTTTTGTTTGTCCAATCATGGCGTCCTTTCGCAATAACTATTTGTTTGGCGCATCCAATCTCAGAGCAGCTTTTGACCGGCATCCTGTGTTTGTTTGTGTCCTCAGAACACCACAGACAGCTCATCCAACTCCTCCCAGAAACTGGAGAGCTCTCTGCCGCCGCTCGAGTCCTCGCCCCTTCCGCAGAGACACAAGTGCATGCTGGGACATCGCCACGATCTCCACGACCCCTACCGGCTCACAGACCACTACTTCATGGACCAGGTGAGACATCCAGTAACATCGAACAGTGATGCAAAGAGAGTCACATTAAATTATTTAGCTATTTATTTATTTACACTCTATTTATTTACACTCAATATATAGGTATTTACCAGTTACAAGTATGAGTTTTTACAGCCAGCAGTGTTTAACATTCATTCTGTCTTTCTCCTCAGCCGTTGTCTCGGCTTCCCCGCCATGTCACCTTCCAGGAAGACGAGGAAATCGTCCGCATCAACCCTCGGGAGCGGAGCTGGGAACGAACCACCGAGCGCCACTATGGACGCCCGTCGGACCGCCCCTCTTTCACGGGCTACGAGGACTACCGACACGCCACCGTGCGGGACAAGTTTATCCAAATGGAAGACTCTGAGTCGTACGTCCACTTTGCCAAGACAGAGTCGCAGAAGCACGACTACACCTACCCTCTGGCCCCCACCCTGTCGCCCTCAGACTCTGACCCCGCTCTCGGACCCTTGGTCAATAAGGGCCAGGGCGGCTCGTACCGCCAGGGCTTCTCCTCGGTGGTCTCCGTCCAGCCTCGATCCTTCCTCCCGAGCTCCTCACCGTCCACAAATGGCGGGAAGGGGCGAAAAGAGGACGGGTTGGAGCGCGCTCAGTGTGAGCATTGCGGCGAGGCTTTTTACATCACCGACAACAGGAGAGGTCGGTGCCACGATGCGCCGGACCCTGTGCAGGGGTGCATCCGGAGGGTCAGCTGCATGTGGCTGGCAGACACCATGCTCTACCACTGCATGTCAGACCCAGAGGGGGACTATTCGGACCCCTGCTCCTGTGACGGGGGCGAGGGCGGAGGTGGAGGCCGATTTGGCTCTCGCTGGTTAGCGCTGCTCGGTTTATCTCTGGTGGCGCCGTGCCTTTGTCTCTACCCGCCACTCCACGCGTGTCACCGGGCGGGGCTGAGGTGCGGCTGCTGCGGAGGCCGACACAAAGCCCTGAGCTGAGGAGAGGAACAATGACAAAAACCTAAAAACCCAACGCAAGCACAGGGAAAGGGAAGGATGGGGATGGACACGGAGGGGACAAAGTGGCTGCTCACTCTCTTGCCTTGGTTTCTCTGGGATTCTCTACAAATTCCAGACACTGAAATAAGCCAAATATAAAAACAGTTGGTGCATTTTCTGAACGGCCTGGGAAGATAAGCTCCCCCTTACGGCAGACAGTTCTCTCAGCTCTCCACGTGGCCATTTCATGCTCTGTTTCTAGAGAGAGAGAGAGCACTCTTTTTCAGGGGGCCTTTTTTTTTTATAGCTGACCTATATGTCATGTATCACATATGCAGGTACTTTATACTTTGTACACTGACTCGGCGTCAAAGAACTTGAATTGTTTCTTTGTTCTTTTTTTTTCTTTCTCCTTTGATGTACGCGTGGCCATTTTGTTTATATTCTATTCCAATATCAGGCCCGCTCAACTCCAGCTACAAGAGAATCAGACACTACACCTCTTTGTGTGTGTGTGTGTGTGTGTGTGTGTGTGTGTGTGTGTGTGTGTGTGTGTGTGTGTGTGTGTGTGTGTGTGTGTGTGTGTGTGTGTGTGTGTGTGTGTGTGTGTGTGTGTGTGTGTGTGTGTGTGTGTGTGTGTGTGTGTGTGTGTGTGTGTGTGTGTGTGTGTGTGTGTGTGTGTGTGTGTGTGTGGTGTGTGTGTGTGTGTGTGTGTGTGTGTGTGTGTGTGTGTGTGTGTGTGTGTGTGTGTGAGCTAACAATGCGCACCGAGGCCTTTTGTTGTCTATACTGCAGCTTATAGTAAAGCTCATGTATATAGTCTACATAGCTCTCCACCATCGACATCTTCTTTGTTCGCCGAAACAAACGTGGTACTCATCTTAATCTTCTAATATCCCAAAGATTCTAGTTTTTATCCTATTTATTTCTCACTGAATTGATCTACCAGCAAAAAGGGTGCTGGGTTGTGATTCACTCAACTAACGAGACGGTGCTTTAAATCAAGCTAGCATTCGTCTCCCTGCTCCTTTCACGTTATTTCAAACAGTGCCTAAACTTTCACCTAAACCAGTCTTATAATTCCAGTCAGTTTCTTGACACATACACACAAAGCGGTGTCAGACTATAAGGCTCTGATTTCCTCATCCTCCACAGAACCTTAGTCAGCAGTCAAGGATGAAAGAAAAAAACAAAACAATCAGAGATACCATTAAACTTGGTTCCCGTTATGCCTTAAAATGTGGAGTCTGGCTCCAAACTTCACCCCCATCCCTCTGAAGATGTCTGCTTTAATGAAAAGCGTGAGCACGGTTACGGCTCCAAGCAATCAGCCTCAACACATACTCTTTTTAAATTGGTTTAAACTATTTTTATACTGAAAAGGAACTTTTAAGAAGGTTCTGATCAAGTGTGTAAACTAAGGACTCCAGTGTGCTTGCGGTGTACAATCAGCTCCCATCTTTTAGCCTCGTCCTTCAATGAAGCCCACCAGTCACATACTGTATGAGTAACAGCGGTAACAGAGACTAAAACTGTTATAAAATGATAAATGTAAATACATTTCTTAAAAACTCCTTAATAGTGAAAATTAGTACAAAAGCTTTTGTTGCCTAAAAGAAGTTGTGAATGACCTTAGGCCTCTAAAATTTCACTACAGCAATGTAGTGAGTTTTATTTTACACTTATACATAAAGATGTGTCCTTCTTCTGTTGAAAGAAGAATAATCTGACATTTTAAGAAACAAGATTTGTTTGAGGAAAAGATGGATACACTGTCTTGTCTCTGAGCCTGAAGCAGGTTAGCTTAGCTTAGCATTGACATTGAAACGGGTGTTAACCGCTAATTTCGCTTTATCTGAATTCTGAAGGTAATAAAATACACCTATGGGTATATTTAAAACTCACTCTTCAATAAATATATAATATAACGTTTGTTTTAGAAACTAAAGTGTAAGAAGCTATGCTAGCTGTTACAACTTGCTGAAACCTCCATAACATGTGACTGTTGGGCCAAAAAGCTGACCATCACAAGGGCGCCTTACGCCTAGGGGATGTGACCGGGAAGACGATCCTCTTTTAAGAATTACAAAGAAAAAGGATTAGCAAGACATCAGTAGGGTCCCATTGGTAAAGAACGGTAGTCCAAAAAAACGGCTGAAATGCTGGAAACAAACATCCACCCCTGATTGTTTTGCCAAGGAAATGTCACTTGCTGTAGTTGAAATACAGAATGCCTGAGGATGTCCTTTTCCCTTCCCTGGTTGTGTCTGTTTCATACATCCTGTGTGTTTGTGTGTGTGTGTTTTTCCCACATCCCTTTCCCTTCTCCTGCTCCTTGATCCAAAGCTACTGGGATCAGCTGAAAATGCCATCACATGCAAAATTAACATCTATCCAGTATAATCAGATTCTACGATGATGTGATGTTTCAGGGACGGGACCAATCAGATTGGAAAGAGTGTGTGTGTGTGTGTCTGCGTTAATCTTTTTTCTCTCTGTCTCGTCCGGTGTTTAAGTGTATTCTCACATGTCAGAGCCATTTACAAGTGCCTGAACGCATCCTCTTTATCTCCTTGTATTTAAATTGAAAAATTAAAGAAACAAACTCCCTGTATTGAATTAGACCCATTTTTTACGCTTAGTATTTTTACCTCTGTAAAAAAAAAAAGAGCAAAAATTATATTATATATATCAAGTGTATGTTGTACATTTTTATTTCTATTTGTTTTTTTTAAATAACTGTTTCTAACATGTACGATGGATGTAGCTCTTGCTTTGAGAAGGAACAGGAAGTACTTTGTAGATACTGAAGGGTGGCCAGGTCTGTGAGAAAACTAAAGTGAAATGTGTGTCTTACCTTCCGCCTCCAATAAAATGAGAGAAAACAGTGAAACCACACGCGTGTCTGCTGGTTTATTTCACTACTATTTTTACCTAAATGAAGGTACTTCCCCATAAATGTCTACAGTAACTAACCGCAGCATGCATTATCATTTTCTTCAATGTAACTTCTGTTTTATTCTATTCTAAGTGCATGAAATCAGCTCAATTAAGGAACAACAAGTGTTAATGGATGACATAAAACTGAACATGTAAGAAACCATAAAAGACAACCAAACAGGAAATGTTACATAAAATATGCTCACAGGGAACGGCTGTGCTTGAGCTAAATGCTAACTAAAGAAAACTAACAATGCTAATACGCTGATATTTACCCTATTGGTGCCAGATACAGGCCAAAAGTATTTCTTCAAGTTTTAAGGTTATTTCACCATTAACTTTGAGTATTGCAACACAAAGTCATGGGGTGATGCTTGAGCTACATGCTAACTTAAGCAAACGAACAATTCTAATATGCTGATATTTAAAAATATTTATTTCGCATTAGGATGCAAAAAAAATTCCTATTAGTGCCAAACACAAGTATAGGTTAACATGAATGCCCTTAGTTTGGAAGATATTTGATCATTAACCGAAAGTATTGAAACAAAATGTAATGTGGTGATGATACAAGCTAACTTGAGTAAACTAACAATGCTAAATTAACATTGTTTTTGCATGTTGGCATCCTAAAATTAGTTAATTACTGCCCAACACAGACAACATGAATGTCTTCAGTTGCGAAGATATTTGGTTATTAACCAAAATATTGAAACAAAAGGTCATGGGTTGATCAAGAAAAGGGAGAAAAGTGTTTCCAAAGTATGGTTCATCATCACTTTCTGTGGTAAAGCAAATCTAGGGGCATAGTTGTTTTAAGTAGTGTTAATCACATTTTTTGGAGGACTTGAGGTCATAAGGACCGACACATCCAGATTTAACAATTGCTTGAAGCCATGCAAAAAGTCCCTAAAACAATCCATAATCTCTAGAGTAAAATAATTGCTAGGGAGAGAGGATGTCCTCCTTCATGAGGTGAACAAGTTCAGTCAAGGCTAAGGTTTATTGTGTTTAAAGTAATACTTCCATAGTATAATGCCCCAAAACTCCTAAGTAATTAATGAAAAAAAGCACAAAGAAAATTCCTCAGTGGAGAACATTCTCTTCAAGATGTCTCTCCCTCCTCAGCAGGAACATGTGATAGCCATCGAGGACGTCGAGCTGTTTCACTCAGGATGTCTCTGGAAAAGCATGTGGGCGATAATGATGGAGCGCGAGAGAGGGGAGGGGGAGGGAGAGGGAGAAAAAAGAAGAAAAAGACGGTCCCTCAGGGCTTTTGGGGGCCTGCTAAGCAGCTCAACGGCTGCAAACAGCATCACAGTCCACATGTGCAAACATTTAAGATATCTGCTGGTGTAATGGGGTCAGCGTGGCCCCTCTCTGTGCACGGAGCACCGGAGATCTCTTCCCACTGAAGTTTTGAGGAATGGGTGGCTCGTCCCGCACCAGTGCTGTGGTTTCATGTCCAAAGATAGGCAGAGTTTTGATGATTTCCTCCTTCGGACTTAGTTTTGTTCTACATTTGCACCATGTGAGTATTGGTTATGCAACATTTGAGCCTGTTGAGTTTCACCGTCAGGTCTGAATTACCTGATAAACTCAGAGAGCAGAGATGTTGCAGTGAAGCTAGTAAAGCTTACAAGCAGCTGGATAATTGTTTCAGCATTCCCTGACTGAGATCAAACCCACCTGAGATAACTGGGAAACATCTCTCTACTCCCACCCTGTGGAAAATGGAAAAGGATTGTTCAAAACAACTTGGCAATATAGAAAAATAAAACAAGTTTAATTAAGTCTGTTAAAAATTAATTATAAGTAATTGTTTTAGCAGTGACATGTACTCAAGCATTTGCAGTTAGAGTAATGTTAGTGAGGAATGGTTCCTGTGTCAAAATAGTGATGCAATATCGTATCAGTTTTCAAAAAGACCCACAAATACATTTCTAGATTTTACTTTAAAGTGTGAAATATCTGAAAAACTTTGGTCGACTCGACACAACGATGTTCAAGTTCTCAAGTGAGCCCTACAAATATTGGTTTTGAATATTTAGGCATGAAGAAGAAGATTGTTGAAAGAAAAGTTGAGATTTTCACCTGAAAAATATCTGACAAAATGTATACCTTGAATTTGTAGAGATAAAAAAATCCTATTCAAGCAATCAGATGAAATACTGTACATGGATTTGAGTGAAACAAAGAGTGTTTCCTTCTGAGATGTAATGTCAAAAGTCATTTAAAACTGCACCACAGTGTTTTGTCCTCTGTTGAGAGGCGGCGATGCGTCCGTTTGTGTTCTGATGGGGAGGAAAACTTCAGAGGTAACCGTTCAGGGTTAAGAGGGAAGTGGCAAGAGTCGAGGGATTAAAATGGAACAAGGCCGGAAGAGTCTGGGTGAGATCTTTATTTCAGGCTCGGAAAGAGAGCCTCTTCCTCTGGTGGCGCCAGTCCTCTGCCACTGTTCCATTTCCTCTTCCTCCGTCTGCTCCATGGCTCTGTCACCTCCGTACCTCCATCCTTTAGTTCAGTTATCTATCAACTCCTTCTATCTCACCTCCAGCTCTCTGCAAAGACTGAGAAGAACTCATTCATCACTAAAAGAGCAGAAATGGTAATCGGTAAATTGTGCAACATTCGATGGACGCATGTTCTCAAATGTAGGAATCGTCTACCTTTCTTTTGTTTTTCATTATAGTAAACTAATTATATGAAATGAGGCCACATTGAACTCAAGGACTTTGGGATTTTGCATCATGTTTTTGAGAGTTGCAGCCAAAAGACATACACCTTCAGTATTTTTAAAAAGCATGGTTAAAGGTGGGGTAGGTAATTCCCTTCAGAAACACTTTTTGTTATATTCCAAGGAATGCTCTTAACATCCCGATAGCAATGAATATATGAAATGCTTTGACAATAAATACATAAAAAAATGTAATCTGTGGAAGCCGTGGCGCTGTAAAAAGCACGACCAATCATCTGAGCCGGCCCGGCTAAAGTAACTGGATGGCCTACCTGCCTGTCAGCCTTCCATCTGTGCACAAACTTATCTCGTGCCCTCATTGGTCATGTGCGCGTTCGTGTGTGTTGGAGGAGGGGCTCTGTGAGGAAGTCTGAAGGAAGAGACAGATATTTTTCGGCTGCATACTTTCAAATTCTAGCGCACTCGAGCTGGTTTCTCCATTCTTACCTACCCCACCTTTAAGGAAATGTTCTAAAATCTAACATAAATTGCACATTTTACTCTACTTGACCTAAAATCCATTCTGAAACATCTTAAAATCCATCATTTAAAGGTGGGGTATGTAATTTATTTCAGAAACACTTTTTGTTATATTCCATGGAATGCTCTTAACATCCCGATAGCAATAAATATATTAAATGCTTTGACAATAAATACATAACCAAATGTCACCTGTGGAAGCCGTAGCGCTGTAAAAAGCACGACCAATCATCTGAGCCGGCATACTCTGTTCCTCTCCAGTTTGATGTTAAAATGTTTAGTTGTTTCAGATTTTAGAACATTTGCTTAAAGGTAGGGTAGGTACGAATGGAGAAACCAGCTCGAGTGCGCTAGAATTTGAAAGTACGCAGCCGAAAAAGATCTGTCTCTTCCTTCAGACTTCCTTACAGAGCCCCTCCTCCAACACACACGAACGCGCACATGACCAATGAGGGCACGAGATAAGTTTGTGCACAGATAGAAGGCTGACAGGCAGGTAGGCCATCCAGTTACTTTAGCCGGGCCCACCTTTAAAACCTGTATCACTATCAAACCTCTGCTTCATGAAATGATAATGAACACTTTGAGTGTTTCCACGTTGCAGAGCTTTAGGTTTAAATGCTGCTGCACATGCATTAAAATATATACATCCAGCCACTAAGGCAACTAATACAAGGTAAATGAAGTAACTTTATTATGCAACGTTTGCTGAATAGCAGCCAGTGAAATAGCGAGGTTTATCTTGAGTTTGCTAACATTAGCTAGCATTAGTCAATATAAACTACATACCAGACCAAGTAAGGCTGCAAAACAGATGACATGTTAAATCGAGCGAGGGCGCTTTGTTATTGTTTATGAATGCAATGTTTTGTTTGTGCGACAAGGAATGTGTTTATTTCTTTTGAAAGATACACATTCTGCCTTTAAATCTTAATGAGCCGGTTATGTATTTGTTTTGCTCGAACACTTAACAGAAGCAGAAGATCTGAAAATCCTTCCTGTGTTGCAGATTATTTCGTGATTCTTAACGTTACCCACCGATCTTTCCCTTTTTTCCAAATCGATGCGTTTCTTTCAGCCCAAAGATGACTCACAGCTCGACTGGCTGCATGTCAGAAAGTGGATCGCGTCATTACAGCTTTGTGTGATATTTTGTGTTGCATAACAATATTTGACTTGTTATTAAACTTGTACTCATAAGGCTTTGTAACTGCAGCACATGGTCTGTTGACATACAAGATATCTCATTTGGGATTGTTAAGTAAAACTATTTCCAAATGTACGTTATTAAACTTTCATTCTTCATTTCTGGGCTTTTTTTCTGTGTCAGATTGCTGGTGTCTGGGCAACAACACATCTGTATGTAAAGGGAAATGAAAATAAGGACCAAATTCAGTACACATGACTTTTTTTTAAATTATATATATATTCTCCAGGGGGATAGGAAATTAATGTTTACATAAAATACTGAAACATGTTAATTACATTTGAGTTTAAAATCCTAACTTTGCCAACAAATTAGATTTTTTTAACGGCTTTTTACAAACAGGGGTTTCGACTTCTGTTAGACTTTAAAAAAATGAAACTTGGGTCCTAAATATTTTAGTTTTTGTAGAATAAACGCACCTTGATGCTTATACAAACAACTCAGAAGACTTACTTCTTAAGAACCTGCCACAGAAACGTCCTTATAAATCACTTTTCTTTATTTAAATCAGCGTTAGGCAGTTATGCTATGAACAACAAAAGGAAAACAGTGACAAAAGAAAGACATTAAAACAGATCCAGTTAACATTAACTGCACTTGGCACTGGATAGACCTTCATGGAAAGAAGAAGAAAATAAAATATACACATTTTTCAAAATAGAAGTGCCTTCAGTCGACCATTGGGAGTGAAAGACTGGAGGATTTAAATTATAGTCTCAACAGTATTTCAACGTCGATAAAATACCGTTTTACTATTCCCAGGTTTGCGGCTAAATTAAAACCGATTTCATCGTCAAGCTGCCTCCGCTCTGAGGTGATCTGAAGAGGAACACTACAGGTGAGGAGCTATATTTACTACAACTGCTCACACCCGATCATTCAGCTCGAGATTTAAAGCGAGAGGAGGCGATGGCGAGGCTGTCAGATGAGGAAGAAATATCACTAACCCTCGCCCACATACCCCAAAGTACCTTCAAACACCCGGTGTCAAGCTCAAGGACTTTCCTGCGTATTCATCCCTTTATAAAATCAACCATCAATTCTTCATAAAACATGGGGGAACTTCTGTTACCACAATACACTCCATTTGCAATGGTAGTAGTGCACAGCAACACAAAAAATCAAATGAAAAAGATATAAATTCAAAGCAAAACAAAAAATGGTGATCCCTCTCCCAGAAGAGGAACGAAAAAGTCGTGATATCTTTTTTATAAAAAACAGACATAAAAATGTGATCGCTCGCCTGGAACAGATGCTGAAAGCGGCCGTGGCTGTTTGTGGTGGACCCTGATTGTGATATTACAGACGCTTTACAGAGACTTTGCATCATTAACCCTCTGAGGTTTAATCAAGGGAAGGAGACTAATCTTTCTTTAACACTTTACCCCCTTTGGAGGTAAACAAGCAGGTTGTGCACCAGCTAAATATTAACCGTTTTCTAGTTCAGGTAAAAGGTGGGGTGTCAGTGTACATCTGTAAAAGATGGATCTGGTTTGCGAGGCTTGCGAGGAAAAGTGTGAGCCAATCCCAAACCAGGAGAGGAGGAGGAGACGACTCGTTACCTCTGATGTTTGAGGGGAGCCGATAGAGAGGAGAAGAGGGATAAATAGATATATACTCTGCGATGTGGGCGAGGGGAATGTGTGTGTGTGTTTGTATGTGTTCAGGGCTTTATCTGACGGTGACTCCGAGTTTCTCCAGCACGCGGACTCCTTTCTCCTCGTACTCCTCGCGGGTCAGCCAGAAGTTGTCCTTGTCCTTCATGATGTCGGCCAGCACGGCTCCGCCCAGGAACACCATGTGCTTTCGCCTGGGAGGGTCCTCGATGCGGATCTTGAATTTCTGAAAAAGCAACGGGACATGAAGACTTAAATTACAGCCCTGTGTAATAAAGAGATATCCTGCAGACCAAAACTAACGGTGTCAAATCAAACCACTAACATAATGGTGCATAGCTGAACCTTTGGAAACAGAGAAAACGATTGAGGTGAACAAGGTGTGTGCATTACTGCCGTGTCCTCTTGTTTTTGGATGTGGGAATCTTTAAGTGGCGATATTAACAGAATGAGGGACATTTTTGGAAACAACATTTAGACATCAACACACAATCCTTCCAGCTGCATCATTGCCAGTAGATTTGTGGGGGGAGGGATGTAAAGCTGGCTTAGGCTGTTCTTTATTCATGTCAAGAACTATCAGCTTATAAAGTTGATAAAGTGCGGATGTTAGCAAAAAAAAGCTGCTAATTGAAACTCCCAGTTGATCCGGATTTATATTAGCTTTTTCACTTTGAGGGTCACTTTAATCATCCAACGCTAGCATCCAAACTCTTCGAGCTTAGATTTGGTCTCTATCAAGTGTGAATGAACCAAAACAGTTAAAGGTCACCTATCATGCTATTTTTAGGCAATAGCATAGGTCTCAGATATATAAAAATATATAAAAATCATGTCCATGAAGTGTTTTTCTCAAAATACCAAACAGGTCACCCATTCTAGCCATGCCTCATATCCCTCTATTTCACTTCCTGTTTCAAAAGTGCTGATTTGGGGTATAAAGCTTCTAAAAAATAAAAAAGTAGGGGGCTGAGCTCATGCGGGACCCGGCAGCTACTGTCTAAACCAGTGTTTCTCAAACTTTTTCATACCAAGGACCACTTAACCAATAAAAAAAACACTCGCGGACCACCTAACTCCACAAACATCCAAAAACACATCATTTTTCTAGAACAGATTACAAATCGCCTGAAAATGGTACAAACAAGTGGCAACATGTGTGATGAAGGTGTTGCGCTGGGCTATATCATGCAATCGAAAGTGAAACTTAAGCTTGCTCCATTGGTGGTCCCTAGTGGTCCGTGAGTATATTGGTAACATTTCACAATATACTCACGGACCACTAGGGGGCGCTCACGGACCACCAGTGGTCCGCGGACCACACTTTGAGAAGCACTGGTCTAAACTAAATACTGCCGTGATGAAACGCCATATCATGGATCATCAAGGATTCTCTCTGAAACAGTTTGGAGCTCAAAGGCTTTCTCTCTTGCCGGTTATACCACAAGGTGAGTTCCTTTTTATTTCCTGCTTCTTCACACACATGCTCTCCAGTACAGGTTAGCTCTGAGTGTTAGCGATGCTAATGTAAACACCGACCATATTACGTCCAAAACAGTCGGGCATTGTTTCTGATAGCAACTTTCTGATTGGGCCGTGGGTCCACATTTCAGATATTACGTCATATCGGACGCAAATCTGGATCAGCTCCGTCGTAGCCCCGTTTTTAGAGATTTGGGTACGGAGGAAAAGAGAGAGGGTTTTATTTTCTGACGCTGCGTGAGTTCCCTGACACACCGGGGACACATCTTTATATAAAAGACATCAAAAAGTGCATTTTGCATGATAGGTCCCCTTTAAGTTTGGGTTGTCAAAGTGATACTCCGCTCAAACACAGCCTTAAATGTTTTTCCCTTCATGTCAGATACAACTTACTGGCATGGTGAGACATTTATTTTTCAGACGGTAGAAGTATAAAAACATCAATACAAACTTGTGGACCCACCCTTTCCGTATAACATTCCAGTATCTTCCAAAAGACTCACATTTTCACCAAATAGGGCTAAAAGACACAGAATCTGTTTGGAGTTTAAAGCAACAAACAAACGGCTAGAAGGTGCAAGCTACAAACGGAGGCGGTGTATTTAAACATATTTTGAGTGTTTGGAAGATCAAAAATATGCAACAGTTTAAAAATGCTTTATGGATTGCGCGTCTGTACGTCACATCCACTGCAACCCAAAAATAATAAAAGTGAACACAGTCACTATGAAAGAGTGGATCGCACACCTTTTTACAGCCATCTCTCAAATCTTTGCTGTATAAATATTTTCTCGATCTGAGTTACTTTAAATGGCATATATGTGATGCGTAAGAATAATATAACTACATATGAAGGATTTAACTCCAAAATGACCAGAAGAAGAACCGGAGTTGTGGGCAGAGAGAGGAGCACATAATGACTCGCTTTTAACGTATGAGTCATCGGCAGACCTTTGTGTACAAAAAAGCTCAGAGTAAAATCATCAGCGTCTCTGGGATGCTGAAGTGGAAATGTACTGAAGGGATATTTCTCCAAAACAAATATTTATAATTGAGAAGTGAACCCGGCATGTGTTATTATTAAAGACCTGTGTTTGAGTTTAATTAATGTCAGTTAACCTCTCTCGCCTCCTGGTGGTCGGTTATGCACACAGCACCATATTGAGACTAAACATGAAGGGAAACTTTGCTTAAAGACTGACACGGTTTATAAAAACTGGACATAATTCAAGGTGTTTAATACTTTGTACTGTGTATTGTTTTTACCCTCTATGTGTGTGGGATCTAACCTCATCAGGACAAAGGACAGACTGTCAGGTGTCAGTCAGCGTTTACACACTAAAGTAACTCAAACGTGTTCCCGTGGAGCTTTACGGCGCTCTCACATGTGGGAAACTCCGCCCAGGCCAACCTAAACAAACCCAGAGCATCAGCTGGAAATACTAATTCACACCGAGTGAGACGCCTGAGCCTTAAAGAGAGACTTTGGCTCAACGGAAGGTTTAATAAGACACTCTTTTTTAGATCACATTGGTCGCAAAGCAAGAGACAAATAACTTGTTCTAATTGGAGCTAAAAATGAATGTGGTATGACCCGTTTCCAACCACATCACAGTAACTTCCTTAATGCTGCTACCACAAGTGGAACAAATACTTATTTTAATCAAGCAAAATAGTATCAGTGTAGGAATACTGAGTTAAGAGCAAACTTCCTTCTTTTGCTTGATGTACAAGAGTATAAGCATTAAAAACTAAATATAAAGAAAGCAATCTCCATCTGTGGGTATGAATGTCCTTTGGTATTTCTCGGGAGCCAATCATCTGATCTACTTCAAACTTGGCGGGTGTTTTGCGGTGGAGCCTAGGCAGTTCAGTTTCAAATTTGGTGCAATTTGGACATGCTACAAGTTCAATATTAAAGGTCACCTATCATGCTATTTTTAGGCAATAGCACAGGTCTCAGATATATAAAAATATATAAAATCTATGAAGTGTTTTGCTCAAAACAGATCACCCATTCTAGCCATGCCTCATATCCCTCTATTTCACTTCCTGTTTCAAAAGTGCTGATTTGGGTATAAAGCTTTAAAAAAAAGAAAGAATTGATAACATAAAAAAGGAGGGGTCTGAGCTCATGCGGGACCCGGCAGCTACTGTCTAAACTAAATGCTGCCGTGATGAAACGCCATATCATGGATTATCAAGGATTCTCTCTGAAACAGTTTGGAGCTCAAAGGCTTTCTCTCTTGCCGGTTATACCACAAGGTGAGTTCCTTTTTACTTCCTGCTTCTTCACACACATGCTCTCCAGTACAGGTTAGCTCTGAGTGTTAGCGATGCTAATGTAAACACAGACCATATTACGTCCAAAACAGTCGGGCATTGTTTCTGATAGCAACGTTTCTGATTGGGCCGTGGGTCCACATTTCAGATATTACGTCATAACGGACGCAAATCTGGATCAGCTCCGTTTTTAGAGATTTGGGTACGGAGGAAAAGAGAGAGGGTTTTAGTTTCGGACACACCGGGGACACATGTTTATGTATAAAAGACATCAAAAACCTTAAACCTTAAATAAATAACAAAATATACTTTTTGCAGCAGCGAGTAGGTATGTTGTCAACGGGCACTGCAGTATGCTTAGTACCGAAAGTAAGGGTACTTATTGAAAATGTATGCATTAATGTGGTTATCCATTTAAGGTAAGAGATCATTTTAACTTCTTTATTAATTAAGAAGAGTAGGGTTAGGGTTAAGTTGATTTATATTTTGTAATAATCATAATATGCAAAGTAAATGGTAACTAGCATTGGTAAATAAAATAGTGGGGTAAAAAACGGTATTACTTGAATACATTTACTTTAAGTTCCACCCTCACCCCTCACACAGTCAACAGTATAGTTATAAACGAGATGCTCAGGGTAGATATCTCACCGAGAGCTTGTCCACGTCTCCCTTCAGCACGCGCTCCAGGTACAGCTGCTTCAGCTCCCTCTCCAGCCGGCTAGGCAGGCCGGGGTACATGGTGGACCCCCCCGACAGCACGATGTGCTTGTAGAACTCAGACCTGGTGAGGGGAGACAGGAGGAGGGTGAGAGCAGGAAGAGGGTGAGACGGGAGGAGGGTGAGACAGGAAGACACCCAACAACAAGCAGACTAAGAAGTGACTGTTATTTTGTATATATTGATTGTTGAGCTTTTATTTGTGTCTTAATGTGTGCATATGTATAAATGTGTCTGTTGATTGTGTATATATATTTTTTTTTAAATAAAAAATGTTGTATTTGGGATTGTGGGAAATGGTATTTTGATCTCTCCGTCTGTACACACAAACTGAAAGATTGACAATAAAGTTGACTTTTGTTTATGTTAATGGAGAACTGTTTTCTTGCATGCTTCCACAGTGAACAAAGGAATGACAAACTATGAGAAGTCTTTCTGTTTTTTAAAGCCAGCCCCCATTTACTTCAATTCAACAAGGCACGTGGAGGCATGCAAGACAAATGTCTCAAGGAATGAAAGGTAATATGTGGAGATTATTTGGTATACAAATGCCTTTAAATGTTGAAAATATACTTTCAAGACATTGCAGATTTATGTCAATTCATTCAACTCCAACAGCAAGGAACAATTATTTATGTTTTGGGTTTCAAAATCTACATTTCAACTCTTTACATATCCCAAAGATACATTTATATTCTTTCCAGACAGAACTCTGGTGTGCAATAAATATTTAGTTTGATATCTAAAACCCTCTGTTGCTTTAGTGGTAGCTTAGCTGGACTGACACCATTTTGTATATATATCTCTCTGTGTGTGTGTGTGTGTGTGTGTGTGTGTGTGTGTGTGTGTGTGTGTGTGTGTGTGTGTGTGTGTGTGTGTGTGTGTGTGTGTGTGTGTGTGTGTGCGTGCTGGGGCTTGTTAATGTGTAATAGGGCAGACACAGAGTGATGTATTTGTATCGTCATTGTAGTGTATCGTTGCCCTCCTGCTGGCTCACCTGGTGTCGATGTCCGCGGCATGGATGGTGTTGAAGAGCAGCTCGGCCACCCCCACCCCCTCCACGTTGATGAGGTGCGGCTGGAACAGAGCCTCGGGGGCCTCAAAGCGCTCTCCTCCCACCTTGATCAGACGACCATCTGGCAGCTGGAGGTGTGTGGGAGGAACGAGATGAAAAGAGACGGAAAAAAAAGAAAATGACACCACTGAAGAGGTAGGATTTAATGTATGACTCAACAGAGAGTCATAAATCTGGACTGGAAGGATTAGGAACAACACGGCTCTATGGCTGTTCGAGATGTAGGAAGAGAACTTCTTTATTAAGATGTGTGTGTGTATCTAACAGAGGTGGAAGAAGGATTAAGATTGTGCACTTAATTAAAAGTACCAGAGTGTAGGAATACTCTGTTACAAGTCAAAGTCCTGCATTCAAAAGGTTACTCAAATAAAAGTAAAAAAGTATTAGCATCAAAATATACTTAAGAGTACCAAAAGTAAAAGTAGTCATTGTGCAGATTGGTCCAGTTCAGAATAATACAAATAATATGTTCTCATTATAATGATTGATCATTAAAGTGTTCTCAACGCTGGTAAAGATGCAGCTAGTTTGAATGACATATATATATATATATATATATATATATATATATATATATTAGGGCTGTTAAACGATTAACATTTTTAATCAGATTAATCACAGCTTAAAAATTAATTAAATCATGATTAATCACCATTCGAACTATTTTCCAAAATATGCCATTTATTTATGTACATTGTTGTGGGACTGGAAAGAAGGCGGATATATCCATTTAACATACAGTATCTATGTTTATTATAAAAAAATTCTGCGTGTCAAAATGAAAGACAACCCACACACCTATCAATCATCAAACCGTGGGGTCTTAATTCATTACGTGTTGATTTCTATCAACGGGGAGTACTTCAGGAAAGTCGACAGAGGGGGGGGGGGGGGCGGCGGCGGCTAGTGGAGTACTTCGTGACCACAGAGTGTGAACGTTGTGATCAGCTGTTTTAGCGCAGTTCTCCAGTGAAGGGGGGGGGGGGGAGTCTCCCTCCGCAGCCGGTTGGCGTAGTTTTGGCACAATTCCGTTGTACAGACCGACGTTAACAGCAGCCCTGTCTGTGCACACGGAGACCGACTCTGTCGTCCGGTGATCTAACCGCCTTCTGGAAAAGCTTCACAAGTACGTCGGTACGCAAATGCGCTTTGTGACACAAGTGACGGTACGCATTTCAGATTACGCACATAACCTGCGTACCAGTTATGTGCACCCCTGTACTACAGCAAAAGTATTCTCCGTCGGGACTTCCTGCAACAACACCACGCCGTTATCAAAGATGTTCTATTGAGAAGACGATCACTACGTGACAAAAGTTTTCAAAACCGTGGCTACTGAAATCAATCTTACTAACTGCTGTCTGTGCAATTTACTCCGCGCGAGTTGGCAGACTTTATTTTGCTTACTTTGACATCATTTTTCATGGTGGGGCTCAGCCATTTCTTGGTATGGGTGTAGCCTACCCCAGCCATACCCTGGCGCTGCCACTGGTGGCACGTATGGGGCGGGCCATTCTGCACATGCGTTAAATGCGTTAAATATTTTAACGCAATTAATTCAAAAAATTAATTACCGCTGTTAACGCGATAATTTTGACAGCACTAATATATATATATATCTATCTGCAGGGTAGCTTGTGAATTTACTCCAGGTGGAACTAAAGTCTGATTTAACACTTGATTATATTTCACATCATTCATCCAGATAAGTAACTAAAGGTACTACCTCAATGTAGTGGAGTAAAAGTACACGCTTTACCTCTGAATCGTAGTGGGTTAGAAGTACAAAGTAGCAGAAAATGGAGATACTCATGTGAAGTACCTCAGAATTGTACTTAAGTACAGTCCTTGAGGAAATCTACTTATTTACACCGCTTGTATCTAATCGAGTTTGAAATCCTCTGATAATATTGGACAGCAAGTTAAATCCCTGAGGCTCCAAACTGAGGTGTGTGTGTGTGTGTGTGTGTGTGTGTGTGTGTGTGTGTGTGTGTGTGTGTGTGTGTGTGTGTGTGTGTGTGTGTGTGTGTGTGTGTGTGTGTGTAAAAAGGCTTCATTCAGCCGAGGGCAGTGGGAGGAAGCCTCCGCCGCAGAGTGGCTGCACAGGAAATGATGTAACGCTCAGTTCAGGGCCCTTTCGGCCACAGTTACATTGCCCTCCTTGTTTCGTGCACACAAAACCATACTTACACATCCATGTTCACACACCTACACACACACCGTCGCCTACACTAACCCAAACACACACACGGTCAGTGAGCTCTGAGACACAACATGCTCGGTAAGGCGTGCCGTAACGCAGACTGCAGGCCCTGCGTTTAGATTCTGTGGTTCCTCTGCAGGGAAAAGGCCCTGGAAAGAAAAGCAAGGCTGGTGGAGGAGCGCTGCCCTCCAAAATGTGTGTGAGTCCCAGAGAAAACAGTTATGGCGCATTTCCACTGCAGGGCCTCGCACGTAGGGATGGGTACCGAGCCCCGGTATTAAACGGGGCCCGGTGCTGAATTATTAAAGACCGTGGTACCGTTAAGCTCTGACGTTAGCGGTCTTTTTATCGGTACTGGAGACATGTAAAAAATATGTGTCATATGTATTATAGCTACACAAACATTATATTGCAGTTTTAGTGTCGCCAACTCCGTTTCTAATACGCGAAAAGACTGCAAAAAGCTTCTATGATTATTTTTAGTATTTTCGATCTCTCTCCCCCGCCTGCTTGCGAGGGGACGGGGCAGTTTACACACACGCAGCTGCTACATGCAGCAACACACACACGGAGGAGATGGCGGAGAGAACGCGCTCCGAGGTGTGGTTAAACTTTACCCGTCTCGATGCTCGTTGCCAAAAGTGCAATAAGAGTTTAGCATGTAAGGGCGGTAACACGAGCAATTTGTCTAAACATTTATCAAAGTGCTCCACATCCAGACGGAGGAATGCACCGGGTTCGACTGTCTTTCTAGCAGCTCTGTAGCTCCATCCACGAGTAACGTTTCCACGTCAGGTGTTATGTATGCTAGCAGCAACACACGGAGTTAACTACATGATACAAACATGGGTTAATGATTAGAGGTAACTGAGTTATTCATTTTGTTAAAGTTTCAGCTATTCTGTTTACAGTTCTGTCCTCAGATTATTTAATACGATTTGTTAAAACATTGTTATTTATTTTAAATAAAAAGCAATGTTAATTTTGTTCACAATTTGTTTAGTTAGTTTACCTTATTTTTTTCTCCAAAAGAACCGATAAGAGTACCGCTAAAAGACCGGACCGATAAGCGGTATCGATAAAAGTAGTAGTACCGTTAAAACCTTAAAGATACCCATCCCTACTTGCACGGCTTAGTACGGTATAGCTAGGCCTTGGTAGGCCAGGCTCACTTTATGCTGCATTTCCATTACAGTTTAGGAACTGGACAGTAACTATAGTAACGCAGTGTAGGCGGAGCCGTGACGTCATCTTCAATGCGAAACACAAAACCAACACAGCCGTTAGCTGTTAGCCCTCAGAGCTCACAGCTCCTCATATCTGTTCAGAAACTAGACAAAAGTTAAACAAGTACAAACCACAGACTGTCTGTGTCATGGCAAATACAGTCGCTGGTTTATTTATGTCTGTAGGCCGTTGTTGTGAGTGTGGACGGTCGGAGCATATACAGCGTTAGCTTAGCCAATCTCCATTCAGAAAACACGCATTTTAAAAGGTTTTTCGCCTGCCGTCTGTCTGCAGACTTGTCAAAGCATTAATTTATGGTTTTTACCAACCGGTATCAGTATGTTGTTACTTCGGCATCATTTTGAAACGTGTGTTACAATTAAATCACGGTCAAATATGTTCATTTTGTTGTAGTTGTAGCCCCCTTGCCAGCGATTCTCTCACTAGTTTAGCATACTCAGCCCGGTTGTTGGCCCGGAAAGAACCTTGATTTTGGAGAGCCAGAAAACTGTGCAAAAGTGCCCACTAGCCGGAACTACGCCTAGTGGAAACGCAACCAAAAACGGGCCGGCCCGACACGGCACGCTTAAACCGCGCTGTAGTGGAAATGCGCCATCAGTCAGCAGCCCTGTCCCGTCCCCAAAAGAGCCAACAGAGGCCATGTGGTAGTCTCCTCAGCGCAGATTTAGTTACCCCATTAGTTCTGATTACTTCACAAATACTGACACTTTTCAATAACAAACCCTTCGGGAGGGATTATTTCTGCTATTTAAAACCTGTGTGCATGAAAATAACTCGCTTATAAACTATTCCAATGGGGTGGAAATATGTGGCTGTTTTACATAAAAAACAGCTGCTATTTGTTTATGAAAAATATGAATGCCCTATATTTTTGGAGTGAAGTCAACATCTTTTAGCGGCCATTGCCATCACAAGTGTATTAAAACACTTCTGACTCCCCTTAATCCTCATACAGTGTGCATCTAGACCGGGTGACGACACTACCTATTGACGCAGCAACCACTGTAAGTTATATTCTTGTTTAATTAGACTTCTCTGTTTCATTTATTCTACTCTGTATAATAAAGGACTGGCTTATCTATAGCCAGTTGAGTAGCACTTGAAATGTTTGGCTCTATGAAACCTGATGTACTTTATGATTCTGTTTTCTTCAAGGTTGTGTCTTCCTGGTCGAATGCACTTATTGTAAGTCGCTTTGGATCAAAGCGTCAGCTAAATGCAATGTAATGTAATGTAATATACAGTCTTTGTTTAGTTTATTTATCTTTTTTATTTTGAATCTTGATCTTTTATGTGTGTGTTATTTATTAGATAGTTGACAGCAGGAAACATGTGAACATTCAGCAAGATGACCTGCATTCATGAAAACAAGCAGGGTCATCCAAGAGTAGAAAAGTTATTAAAATGACTGAAATTATATCTTTTGTCTTTATTTAAATGATCTTGCTATCTAATATTATTTTTTTGTAGCTCTTTGTCGTCCTATATGCTGCCAACTGAGTAGGGATGGGTATCGTTAAGGTTTTAACGGTACTACTACTTTTATCGATACCGCTTATCGATCCGGTCTTTTAACGGTACTTTTATCGGTTCTTTTGGAGAAACAACAATGTTTTAACAAATAGTATTAAATAATCTGATGACAGAATTGTAAACAGAAAAAGTTACTCGTGGATGGGGCTACAGAGCTACTAGAAAACGGTGCATTTCTCCGTCTGAATGTGGAGCACTTTTGCTAAATGTTTAGACAAATTGCTCGTGTTACCGCCCTTACATGCTAAACACTTATTGCACCTTTGGTAACGAGCATTGTCCACATCGAGACGGGTAAAGGTTAACCACACCTCGTAGCGCGTTCTCTCCGCCATCTCCTCCGTGTGTGTGTGTGTGTGTGTGTGTGTGTGTGTGTGTGTGTGTGTGTGTGTGTGTGTGTGTGTGTGTGTGTGTGTGTGTGTGTGTGTGTGTGTGTGTGTGTGTGTGTTGCTGCATGTAGCAGCTGCGTGTGTGTAAACTGCCCCGCCCCCTCGCACACAGACGGAGGAGAGAGATCTCATTTTGCAGCCTTTTTGCGTATTAGAAACGGAGTTGGCGACACTAAAACTGCAATATAATGTTTGTGTAGCAATAATACATATGACGTATTTTTTACATGTCTCCAGTACCGATAAAAAGACCGATAACGTCGGAGCTTAACGGTACACGGTACGTTTAATAATTCAGCACCGGGCCCCGTTTAAAACCGGGGCTCGGTACCCATCCCTACAAACTGAGTGACGAGTGCACAGATTGTCCACGTGAGGGCAGCAACTCGTTTTACATTTTGGTTTTAGACTTCCTATTGTGTCTGCAGTGCTCAAAATGATGACCACTAACATGAGGTTACATTATTAACTCAGCAGGAGTGAATCAGCTCTCACAAACTCTCCTAAACTGTCACTGTGGGTATTGAAAGTGACCAAAAACATGTCAACTGACACACTGTCTCATGTGTCTAGTCGGTCAGTTTCCATTAAACCAATGTTATGTTAATCCAAAAGTAGATTTAACAGTGTTTTATACGTTTAAAATGAAAACATGTGAGTATTTACCGTGTATGACTCCACCAGCACGGTGGTCTCCAGCGCCAGCTTCTGCTCCTGCTCGATGTTGTAGCCGACGTAGCACAGCTTCTCCTTCATCATCCTCACCGTCTCAAAGTCTGCAGAGTGGTTGAAGGCATAGCCCCTCAGCAGCAACAACTGCACCCAGAGAGGGAGAGGGTAACGGGAGAGGAGAAGCAGAAAGGTCAGAAATAGGGCAGCAAGATTAGAACAAAATAACAGCGATTATTTCTGACTGATATTGATACGATTAACGATGTCGGAGAGATTGGTCATTAATGTAGATTTCTTTAGAAAGGCATATGAAAAGGATCCATGTGTGAGATTTAGGTTCGGATATCTCTGCAGTGATTTGGATATTGCACTTCTCAATCTGCAGCGCAGCTTTAGGCAGGAAGCAATATTCTTTTAAATGTCTATCTTTAATTAACCTAGAACTAGATTTTCTCAGAATAGAAACCCTGTCCCTTCCTTTTTTCGAAGAAGATGACGTCAGTTCCCACTTCGTAAAGTGAAATTATGGTGCAGCGCTTCTGTGTCTTATTACCTAGAACTACCGTCTTTCCACAATCCACATTGTTTGTATTCATTTACATTACAGTATACAACATCTAGACTAACTTATTTGTTTTTGTTGTGTTTTTTGCTACTTTGACTCAAAAGAGACTGTCATGGCTGCCTCTATACCTTGATGAGGTAGCGGGTGATGTCCCGGCCTGCGATGTCCAGACGTCTCGTCAGATGGGGGAGGCTGAAGCCCTCGTACACGGGACAGATGTGAGTCACACCGTCTCCCGAGTCCACCACCACACCGGTCAGAAGGCCTGAGAGAAACAAACACACACACACACTTCATAATCTACAACCTTACCAAGCTAGGTGTGTCTGAGTTTTATCCAGTGTGTGTTTTTGGCTACTGATTGTTAGCCGTGTTACGTGTATGAAGGGTAAACACACGAAACATGTAGAGATAACACATTGAATGTAACAATTACTGCTAATAACAGCTCACTGGTTGGTATTAACCTCAGAGATAAATGGTATGTGTGTGGAAACAGGCTGTGTTTCACTGTCGGTGCAAATAGTTTCAGAGTTCATCTGATCCGGCCTGAAGCAACACAGGTGAGCTTTAAGCCATCTGAACACTTTAGATGATATCAGAATATCGTGTGTGTCACTGGAACATTAGAAAGTGATGTTAATGTGACTGTCTAGACTTTCTGGCAGAGAGAAGAACATATCTGGTAACCAAGTGTTCTCATAAAACAAATCTTTGCACAAACTATTTGACAAAGGTGTGGTAGTTCAATATTAACACACGTGAATATTTCCACAGTTAAAATGAAAAGCATATTGTCTCTGGGCTGCTGAACTAATAATGATTTACCAGGTATAACACAGTCTGAGGTCAGGGGAAATCTAATGTATTAGTGAGGGGTTTGTTGGAGTATAACACCTGCAAAACATCTGTAACATGGAAAGTGATTCAGTTTGCATGTGTCTTCCTACCTTGGGCATAGAGTGTCAGCACAGCCTGAATAGCAATGTAGACTCCTGAGAACTGGTAGGTCTCAAACATCACCTGTAGGAGAAGTCATCAAAACTGTAAGTACAATTGTTTGTAAAGGAAAACAAAGACATTTAGTACATGTGGCAGTACAGGTAAAAAAAGCTCTCAAATGTATAATGTAACTACATCGAATAAGTGTTTTAGAGTTAGAGAATATATGGCATTAACCAGCTGTGACTTCTGACGGAGTAACACATGCAAAAATTCAATTCTTATTATCTTCTTTCCTTCGACACAACCGTAAAAAAATAAGCCGCACGCAAACACCAAAAACGCTAAATCAAACGTCAAAATACCTCAATTCATGTTTTTATTTTTGGGATTTCTTTACTTTTTTTGACGCCATTTATTTATTTATACTTTTTATTATTGTATGGCATGTGTGGAGAATGTGTTCTGTGTTTGGGATAAGTGGAAAAAAAGCTGGTACAAATTGGGATCATGCTCCTTCTTGATTGTGTCACCCTGTGAAAATTCAATAAATATATTAAAAAAAGGAAAAAGAATACCTCAATGATTTTTTCCCGGTTCTTGGTGGGGTTCATGGGGGGTTCGGTCAGCAGGATCTTGCAGTTTCGGGACTCGACGTTGAGCTTCTCCGGGCCGAAGGTGTAGTCCCACAGGTGCTTCATGTCGTCCCAGTTCCTGACGATGCCGTTGTCCATGGGGTAGTTGACCTCCAGCATGGAGCGCAGCTCGCTGGCCTCGTCCCCCACCATCAGGTCCTGCAGGGGGAGGGCAGAGGTCAACCAGGAGTTATTTTACAGTTGAGTTTCCTACTTCTGAAAGCCAGTTCGGATCATTCAGGGTCACTGGGAGTAAGAATGAGCACTGAGTATTGGTTAAGAGCAATACAACCAGGAATGTGTTCCCCATGGCCAGCTGGTCTCATAAAATCACAGAAACTGGATCATCAAGCAGAGTCATGTGTCAGATGACGACAGCTTTATTAATGCCTTCTCAAAAGGAGCTTTTTAGCTTTAAAACTCAGTTACCCAGCATGCACAACAAGCCATCATTTTCCATGCACCTGGAAACACTTGCGTTTCCCTCCAGCTACAGTAAACCACTTGTTATAGAACCATTCAACGAGATGCATGCAAGGCAGCCTGGCAATGTAAACATCGGCTGGGTTAGCGCTCAGTGTTAGCGCTCAGTGTTAGCCACACAGTCAAGCAGCCCACGTTCCACTTGGAGACATCAAAAGCCTCGTGAAGGCAGCCATTTTATGGGTTCATCCTGTGTGCTTTGGCATTAACAAAGTACCAGTCAAAGGCTCTGCCTCCATGTGGCCTCGCTTTTTTTTTTTTATGTCAAAAGAAAAACAGATGTGCTTCCGTCTTTAACCTCCAGCTGTCTGCCATGCACACTTCTTCCCCCACACTTCCTCTGAACTAGTAAAGGTGAAACAGCCGCAGATACTAAAGTAAATGTAGTCAAATGGACATTCCTTGTGTAAAATATGTTTTCACAGGGAGGTAAAAATATCTATAGTGCATATAAGTACACAACATTTATCATTTAACACCAATCGTTCTAGCTGCAGCTGACATTTCATTTTTTTTGGTGCTGAAAACTGTATTTATTTCAGTCCTTAAATAGCAGCAGGATGGAGGTGGGGGGTGGAGCTGTCAGCAGATCAGAGACTCTGAAAATGGAACCGGTCCAAAATCTCTTTTAGCAGTCCATCGATAACAGCTGGCTTATGATTCATCAGCCTTTCCTGCAACACTTCCCTCCAGGAGAGAGGAGTGCATTAATGTGAGGGCTGTACATCTATCAGACCCTCTGCCACTCATCTGGCAAACGCTCTAATTCAACGGAAACTAGTTGGGTTGGGAAATAATCGAATCTTTGTGTGAGTGAAAAACTGGACCAAAGAACAACACAACTCTCCAGAGCAGGCAAGAGGAGGCACGCACCGAGCTGAACTTACCATCTTATGGGCTTTCTACTTCATCGTAGGGGAACAAAACATGGAGGAAGAGGAAGGCAGATTTATAAAAAGAAATGAATAAACAAAATAATTCGGAAAGAACAGGAAAAAGAGATAGGATCGTGCTGAAGGAATGGGAAATTGGCCCTGTGCTGCTTAATCAACTGGGCTTTACCCCAAAATAGGGTTCACTCTGTTGTGTAGCAGTTGTCAGAACTAAATGGGACTCAATATAAAGATATTTTAGAGTGGAAGTAGACAGTCTGACTTTGTGATTCCACACTCTTGTTTTTCCAGTGCTTTCCTGACCGGGTTCGCCCTTGAAATCAAGACTTTCTGGTTAAATTAAACAATACATTTTCAAGGCCACATCAGTTTGTACCTTGATCTCAATGTTCCCAACTTTGGCTGTGGAGCGGATGATGGGCCTCCCAACAAGCGCAGGGAAGATGTGCTCCGGGAAGTTGGATCCTGCAAAGCCGCACTTGACAAACTGAAAGGAGAGACATGATCATGTGAGGAAATTCATTTAAGTACTGAAGAGATAAACTGTGCAAGACAACGGCACAGCCATCCTGCTGATAACAGGGGGCTTAATTAGCATTTGGACAAAGATTGTAAAATTCTGCAATTACAGAACCTCTAGCTATTCGGGGGAAATAAGTCTGAACAATTAGGGCCAGTGTCTGCTTTAGCCTCATGGTAGAAATCCATAACTGTATTTTTTAAGGTTTATCTACGGATTTTAATTTGATCTTTCAATGGCTAACCATATTTTTGGTTAATTTATAAATATAGGATGTTGGGATGAGAGATACTGGCAGAACATGTTCCATAAGTAATAAAGTATGATGTTACATCTATAACATTAATATAAGAGTAAATTATCAGATGATATACAGCCACAGAGACACTTCTGTGTACATGACGGCCATGCAGGTAACTCAGAACAGTTACATCAGAGAGGCGTATCATTGTAGAACCAGGAAGAGATAGCCACACACACTTAGACACACACACGTAGACACACACAATAAGAGAGTAGTTAAGACACTTTGTTTTTGCAGATTAAAATATGTATATAATTGTTAACATAGTTCCTTAGGCCTAGCGGATTTTCCCAAATGCAAGTTTCACACATTCTTCCTCTGCAATGTAATAATGGTAAAAGTATTAATGTTATTGCAACATCACTGCATCTCCTGTCTTTATATTATGTGTGTATCCTCAAACAGAACATCAAGAAGAAAGATGTTACTAAAGACTTTTCCCCAAACAACTGCCAGTGTTTAAAGAGTACATCCAAAGAACATCCACCAACGTATTTATCTTGTTACGGTTCACTTCTAGACGTACACACAGTTTGGGAACTTGGGAAGGAATTTGGTTTAAGGAGGTTTAAGGAACTAACAAGTGAAATAAACTGATTCTCTCAGTAAAGTATGTACGATAACTCGTCTTATTTCATGGTGAGTTTTAGCGGACAATTGTTAAATTACGCTGAACAACTCAGTGTTGTTTAGCAGCTGCAGATTCAACAGTGTACTATGATGTTTGACAGCGAGTAACGGTGCTCGACAAATGTGTTGCCGTATGTGGCTGTGGTTCTGACTCGTTTCACTTCCTCTTGACTTCTTAGTTTAACTCAGACACAGGGCAGGTTTTTCTAGCTTTGCATAATGCTCCTGAAAAAGACACATCTAAAAATAAAAAAGCGTATTAGTCAGTTACAAGCTGAGCGAACATCCTCTCTGACTGCTGCTGACACCGAAGAAAGGATGTCTCTAGCATTGAAAGAAGCAGTGTTACCTGTGTGCAATGATTCATTCCTGCACATTAACAGATCAGCAAAGAGTATTTTAGAAACTGCTCGTTCTGTTAACAAACCACAGCAGCTCGAAAACCCCCTAAACTCACCGGCCCAATAATCTATTAAATCAGCAAGCTGGGTTTGGACAAAGGACCACAGCAATGTAGTGCAGCTATGACTAACACTGGGCTGGGAGTCTGTGATTTATAATAAGAACTATTGTGCTATATTTCTTATGACACATCTATTATTTGATTAAGATAGCATTGACCTGTTTGCCTCTCACAAATGTATTCATAACTATAATGAGCAGTATTTATTCCTCTGTACAGTATTTCATTTGACATTCTGTTCTTATTAATCTTATTCTATTGTACATGTTTATAAACTCTTGCATTTACTTGATCACTTGCAGAATTCCCTGCAACATTAGGCTTATTGGATTTGATTTGACATGTTCATAGTGTACTTCTTTTGCATTGCTTGCCCATTGGTCTTGCAGCATTCTCTTGCACTATTTTTTATAGATGTTTTTCATGTGTTTTATTGTTTTAAGTCTTGTATGTATTGGTGTTGCATTGTTGGAGCCTGGGTCTTAAGATTTTCATTGCCATATCTACACTGTAGCTACTATGCAAAAGAAAATCAAGCCTTTCAATCTTTCAAGTATATGTTGACCTGTCAGATACGATATTTGTACTTAGTTAAGATGTGTTTAATAAAAAGATGATAAGTGAGGAATGCATGGGAGAAAAAAAGTGTATGCTTCGTGTTATTATCAAGGCCAAACATACCTAATTAACCGCAAGTTAGGTGACATTTATATCCGGGAAGTTAGAGCTGCTGAACAGGAAAGCATAGGCTGTCCTCTTTTTAACCTGACACGGCCTAGCCTAGCTTATATAAAACCTAATGTTACATGCCAATAAATAAGATACTGTTTTGATAAGTACACAAGATATAATGAATCTGCAAATCCTGCATCGTTTGCAAAACAAATCACTGAAATGACGGACAGCCAGACAGTAAAAACCAGACAGCCAGCTGTTAAATGCTAAGTTAGCATGCTAGTTAGCTGCCTTTTGTAGCAAATGAGCAGTTACTTGTCTGGTTTATTGTGTCTGTTTATTCCACTGTACGAGCAATAGTCCGAGCTGTATATCAATCCTTTATCTTGACATGTACACCCCCTCTAGGTGCTGTTTCCGTATCGGGTCTGTATGAATGAAAATGAGCCAGCTAACAGGCTAGCATTAGCTGGGTGGGTAGCTTGGCCGCTGACAGCAACACTTCCTGTTTCAGAAAATCTCTCGATATGAAGACCCTGTTTAAAAGACAGCCACGGATCGAGAGTGTGTGATAAACTCACCCCGGTGCCATTGTCACAGACCACCACTTTCCTTCCCTGGCTGTCCATTATGTTAAAGCCCAGTAGCCGCTGAACCTCCCTTAACTTTCTTCGGCAAGCCGGAAGGAAGACACACCAACCCGGCCGAGAGGAGGAAGGGAAGGGAATGGAAGGGAAGGGAAGGGTGGAGAACATCCGGCGACTGAGGTGTTCAAATGTCACTTCCAAAACTGTTGTTCAATGTTCATCTTTACACTTTTTACATTAAAAATGATAATAAATACAATAACAGAATGATTGCCATGACAACAAACTGTTATAAGGTCCTTGATCCATGTATTCAGAGCAGCCTATACAATTTCCATATGCAACATGTTAGTTTCTATTTCCTACATCAGTCTGGATCTTGAATTAAATTCTTCATCTTTTATTTCCTTGTCCTCTCAATTTGAATAACTTAATATGAGTGTGTTCAGTAATCATTAAAATAAAGATCATACCTGACTTAAATAGCAAAAATACATCCTGAAGTTCAGTTGTTTTATTATCAACATTTGAAATATCCATAGAAAGAAAATATAGTTTTATATGTCACATACCTTCATGAAAGCCACTTCTTCATTCTTTATGTCTCACATAACATTTTAGTATATTTATACATTTGTCAATGATAATTCAACATACAAAATAAGTTGACAATAAATATACAATCAAATAATAATTAAGGTGGTGAGCTTGCGGTCTGTAGAGTGAATACATATGTGTTTGGGTGAGTTGTTCACCATAATAAATCACAACACTTAACTTTAAAAAGACTAAAACAAACCAGGTCAAAACAGAAATTCTGCTTTTTTGCACAAGACAGAATATAGCCAGCAGGGGGAGTAATTACACTGAAGCAGGTATTTTTAACTCACTGTAGAGTCCACAATGCCTCTTGTTTTGGAGTATTTGAATCCTGTGTATATTGCAATAAGCTACTTAAGAATTGGGTGTAAATATTGTGGAGATCACATATCACTGTAGTTTTGGGGAACATCATTCTTTGGGTAGGAGGATGCTTGGGAACATGAGGACCTTGGCCTGCATGAAAGAAAGGTTAGGCAGACCAGAGATCAGCTTGCAGGCCTCTGCACTCAGATCCTCGTCGTCCTGCTGAGGTTTCCTGATGGAACACACACACACACACACACACACACACACACACACACACACACACACACAACACACACACACACACACACACAACACACACACACACACACACACACACACACACACACACACACACACACACACACACAGAGGATTAAAAGACACAGAGAAGACAAGGACATGTTGCATTAATTATACAGTAAATATCCTTGTTTTTAGATGTAAAGGTCACCTATTATGCAAAATCGACTTTTTCATGTCTTTCATACATCAACGTGTAAAGAGATTCTGAAAGTTTCAGGAAAAAAGATTCTCTCACTTTTTGTCCTGATCCATTTCTATAAAAACCTGTCTGAAAATGAGCTGATCAGATTTTGGCCACTTTATGATGTCATAACGATGTTTGTCTTGTGTAACCATTAGCCAATCACCAACCAAGGTAACCCCCCCCCCCCCACTTTATCACCTGAATCTCCTCCTAGAGCACCATTGAGTTCTTTGTAACCAAACATCTCTCAGAGGGGCGTGGGGAGGGGCTCCTTATTTTCATCTAAAGTAACAGACAGAGAATCAGCACTTTTGAAACAGGGCTGAAACAGAGGGGATTATGGGTAATGCTGCAATGATCGGTTTGATATTTCGAGCCAAACACTTCAGAGACATGTTATATCTGAGACCTATAATATATAGATGAAAAACAGTATAATGGGGGACCTTTAAGTGTCATAGTAAAACAAAAATATTAAGAGTGCATGGATGTTACAAAGGAACAGACCTGACTGCAGGGCTGGTTGTCTCTGCAGCCGACATCAGGCGATTCAGCGTGTCCTCCATGTGGATAATGCTAACACCCGTTTCCAGTTTGCTGATGGTCAACTCATACAGCTCCGGGTCAACTCCTTTACATGAGAGTGTGTGTAGCAAACACACATACAACTCAATGAGTGTCAAGAGGACTTTCACACCCACAAGCTATATTTATAGCAGCAGCATTATGGATTACTTCATATTTCTAATTTCAACCTCATAATACAATCTGACCTGGAGGAGGACTGTTGCTACGGCTACTGCTGCTGGAGGACCTGCTCTCCTCCTCAGGACCAAAATAATCCAGGTTGAGAGCAGAGCAGTCTGTGCTAACAAGGGAGACAGGGGGTGAGGATTATTGGGGGGTGAGAAAGAATGAGGTAGCTTGATTTTGTATTCATAAAAGAAAAATAGTGTTTTCTCCTTTTACTGAGACAACGGGGAAGACAGAGAGTGGGGAACAAAGCAAACAAAGCTCAACAAAGAAATGCAAAGCCGTTGGTATTCCTTAAAAATGAAAAATCAGAGACATCACCTATAGAATAAAGTTCCAGAAACATGGACACAACATGACTCAGAAGATGGAGGTCAGAATCGCTGCTGAAGTCAGTCGTCAGTATGTCACCCACTTTGAATGTATTCAAAAATATTGAAAAAGTCGGATCATTTTTATTTGTTTCTGCAAAAGCTTTTTTTCCAATATTCCTCTAAACTCTTAAATTGAAAAAGAACCAGAAAATGACACCACCTTTTTGTTTTTTACATCCTTTGACATAAAAACAAAAACGGACCCCATATCCCAGCAGGCTGTGTGGTGCGTGAATATTCCAACTTTGCATTCATCCACAGAAGAAAGGGATTCAGCTTCCATTGAAAGAGGAACGCTGAGGGAAGAGAGGTGAAACCAAGCAGAAACGATCGACTGATTTATTTCAGTATTTACAAGGATGTTCTACAAGTCGTTATTGCAGTCAGTGCATTACATCTGGATTTGAGCAGTACATCTAAAAAACAAAAAATGTAAATAAACTAGCTATACGTAGGTCCAAAATCCAATAACCTTTTAGAAAACAATTGCTGGCATAAAGGCACAACTCATATTAATTACTGTAACTCCAGTTGTATAAACAGTTCTGATTGGTAATGAAATATTGACAGTTATGAATTTTCTTCAGGCTGAATTGCTTTGGAAATAAACACTTCTTTATCCTGTCCAGCTGCTCATACGGTACTGAATATGCATCAGTGCACACTGAGTAAAGCAGCATACAATGACAGCGGTAATGATTATTAGAATTATGACAATAATCTCCAACACATTGGAACCTAATCACACAATAAATGCATTAATAAAGCAATACATGTATTACTACAAACACATCCTTTAGTGGCGACTGGTTGTTTGAATTTAAAGGGCCTAAAATCTCTTCATTTGTTCCCCGTGAATACAGTAAACATGTTTTGAGCACCTACAGAGAATATACTGCCCTCTGCTGTCCAAACTTTACTATTCCAACACTGTTTGGACGTCAATGATCCATTTTAATCAATGCACACAAAAAAAGTAGGGGCTTCAAACAAAGGGCCTAAACTCAAACCTGTCTGCATGCTGACTTTTACCACGTTGTGATTTTGTGATTTAAGAAAAGTCAGTTATCTTAATGAGCAATAGTTTCGCTATAAAACATTTTGTCATTCTTCTTTTTTATACTTTTAGTTTGCCCACTTCCAAAACATGCAAAATTGGTTCTGCAGCACATTTCATATAACACTTATTTTCTTTAGCAGCATCTAATCTGCAACACTTTTTCTGGTCTTTCTCTGGTTCGGTCTTTTAATTATTATATTACATTTACCAAAGAAAGCCCTGCACATAAAATAACGACAATAATAGCAACAATTACTGATGTATAAATAATTATAGTCATTGAATTAGAAACAAATCCTTTGTGTGTAATACTGATGTAAACACTACTCAAAAAATCAATTACATCAAATACTTCCTGAGCAAAGAATCACTCTAATACCTGTGTTGTCTTTTTTGGTTTCTCTATATCAAAAGTTCTAACTTAATTGTGGGACATTTTACCTTTTGGCAAGCTCATATGGGCAAGTAAATAGCTTCCAACGAAAACTAAACACTGTTTAGAAAAAGGGCCAGAAACTGGATAATGGTGTCAGATTTATGGGCGTTATAATTCTTAGTGCATTATATAGTCATGTACTGGGAAAAAGGTAGAAGAGTAAGTTCAACCTTCACAGTGGTAACAAATAAATACAATAAAATTGTCCTTTTGTATAAAAAAAATCCAAGTAATCGTCATGGCAGATGTTGTGACGATGCTCCATGAATTGACTAATATTAGGATGAGTAAATAAGGTCAGTGCTTTGGGGATTTATCTAGCCTTACCCTCAGGTATTTTGTGTTGTAGTTTAAAAGGAAATGCACCAAGAGTTCATCCTGTTTTCCCTTGTAGTCCCTAGGTTTTATCACGTCAACATATGTGTTGTCCACATAACAACTGGGACTGACAAATACTGAGATGAATTCTTTGTAAAAGCTGGCAGCAGGTAAAGATGAGACACTAGTTGAAGGAAGGAGAAAAGGGCAGCCAATACAATGTTTCCCCAAAGATTGTTCTGGAATCATTTATGGGTTATTTTTATGCTTTGTATCGGTCTTACTTTGAGTCCAAGTTTAGGGACTGGGTCTGTTGGATGTTATATGTGTGCAAGTTTTCTTGTTTGGACAGATTATAGAGACTGTATTTAATTAGGTGAAATCACAAGATGTTGTGGTCACCCACTGAATGAGTGGAGGGGAATCAAAGGGGAAATTAAAAGCAGCAGAACATGCCCTGAAGGAAGTGAGGAGGAGTCCAGAGAAACTGCCAGAGGTTCATTAGAAGAAGAAGAAGAAGAAGAAGAAGAAGAAGAAGAAGAAGAAGAAGAAGAAGAAGAAGCCACGCAGGAACGGCTCAAACTGTGGTCTACTTCCAGCCCCAGAAGTGAGGGGCTCTGCGGGGGGACGTACCGTCCTGAGAGCTGCTCCAGGACAGCTGCCGGGGGGGGAGCGCCTCCTGCACACAGAAATAAATATGTCTCTTATCAGATGAGAGCAGTAAGGTACGTTTATTTATGTAGCACATTTTCAGACACAGAGACGAAGTCCCGCCCATCTACTTCCGACCCATGGGACCTTATTTCGGAAAAAGTTTGTATTGAAGTCAATGGAGAGAGAAAGATTATCTTTCGATCCCGTTTGAATTGTGCCACGAATTACACATATGATGTTTGTCAATCTTAAAAAATTATTTCCATGTCAAAAAAGTCACAGTTTGTCGTAAAACTGTTGAAATATAAGACTATGAAAAATACGCAACTAGAAAGACTACAAATCCCAGAATCCTGGTCCCGCATGCTGGCTCTTACGAACCGACTAACTCCCCTTGTGTGTATGCACAGCTCTCAACGTGCCCAGACTTGTAGTGATTTTCACCTCTTTTAATACTTTCCGCCTCATTCTGAAAGAAAGAAGTGAAATGTTTCAACGTGACGGCCGTCTTGGTGTGTGGTGCGAGACGGGAGATGTAGTTCATTGAGCGGTTCACACAAAAATAAGTGTTACTTCACAGTTTTACGACACATTTTAATTTTTGTGACTTGCAAAATTATCTTTTAAATTGACAAACATCATATGTGTAATTCGTGGCACAATTCAAACGGGATCGAAAGATAACCTTTCTCTCTCCATTGACTTCAATACATACTTTTTCCGAAATAAGGTCGTGCTTTACATCATCATTAAAAAAGGAACACAATAAATAAACATAATGGAATAACAGATTCATAAAAACCATGCATAAAAGAGATACATCCATCCATCCATCCATCTTCTCCCGCTTATCCGTGGTCGGGTCGCGGGGGTAGCAGTTCCAGCAGAGAGCCCCAAACTTTCTTTTCCCTGGCGACATCAAGCAGCTCTGACTGGGGGATCCCAAGGCGCTCCCAGGCCAGCGAAGAGATATAATCCCTCCACCTGGTCCTAGGTCTACCCCTTGGTCTCTTCCCAGCTGGACGTGCCTGGAACACCTCCCTAGGGAGGCGCCCAGGCGGCATCCTAACTAGGTGCCCGAACCACCTCAACTGGCTCCTTTCGACGCGAAGGAGGAGCGGCTCAACTCCGAGTCCCTCCCTGATGACCGAACTTCTCACCTTATCCCTAAGGGAGACACCAGCCACCCTGCGGAGAAAACCCATCTCGGCCGCTTGTATCCGCGATCTCGTTCTTTCGGTCATGACCCATCCTTCATGACCATAGGTGAGGGTAGGAACGAAAATGGCCCGGTAGACAGAGAGCTTTGCCTTCTGGCTCAGCTCCCTTTTCGTCACAACGGTGCGGTAAAGCGACTGCAGTACCGCTCCCGCTGCTCCGATTCTCCGGCCCATCTCACGCTCCATTGTTCCCTCACTCGAGAACAAGACCCCGAGATACTTGAACTCCTTCACTTGGGGTAAGGACTCATTCCCTACTTGAAGTGGACAGTCCATCGGTTTTCCTGCTGAGAACCATGGCCTCAGATTTGGAGGTGCTGATCCTCATCCCAGCCGCTTCACACTCGGTTGCGAACCGATCCAGTGAGTGCTGAAGGTCGCAGACCGATGAAGCCATTAGAACCACATCATCTGCAAAAAGCAGTGGTGCAATCCTTAGTCCACCGAACTGCAGACCCCCTCCCCCACGACTACGCCTCGAAATCCGATCCATGTATATTACAAACAGGATTGGTGACAAAGCGCAGCCCTGGCGGAGGTCAACCCTCACCGGAAATGTGTCCGACTTACTGCCGAGGACCCGGACACAGCTCTCGCTTTGGGAGTACAGAGATTGGATGGCCCTGAGTAGAGACCCCCTCACCCCATACTCCCGCAGCACCTCCCACAGTAACTCCCTGGGAACTCGGTCATACGCCTTCTCCAAGTCTACAAAACACATGTAGACCGGATAAGCGTACTCCCAGGCCAGAATAGATACAGAATAGTTTAAAAACAACATTGTAAATACGGTAGGTGCTAAAACAAGTTAAAAGACTTCTGGGTAAGCAGATGAAAAAAGTAATGTTTTTAGCCGTGACTTAAAAGAACTCAGCGTTGGTGAAGACCTCAGGTACAGCAGGATGAATGCTGAGCAATAGAACACCCGTCTTGAATCTTGTTTGTTATTTGTAAATCATAACATATCAGGTATGGATTTAATCTGCAGATACTCTGGTTCAGAATGAGAACAGACTTACCTATGGATCCATTTTTTACAATTTGATTTTAGGTGCCTACTGCTAGAAATACTTTGACTACTGAAGCACTTTCTGCTGATTAAGAGGAATGCAGAGCCAGCAGTCAACAGTGTTACAGTCAATCAAATACTGCAACCACAAGAGGTCCTTCAGCGTACAGTAACGAAAAGTGAGAAAAACATTAGGCTGATGGCAGTTTGCTCGACTGACTGTAGCATGATCTCCCCACTGGCTTACACCTGGCGAGAGATAATTGAATGAAATCAAAGAGTCAAATTACCTGCATTGAATATGTTGAGTGGTCCGGTGAGCCGTGGGGTTTTAGAGGTGTTGTCTGTGTGGTGATGACGGCTGTGTGTCGTGGAGAACTGACAGCTGGTACAGAGTCTTTGGTGGGCTCCAGCATTCCCTGAGGAGTAGTAAAAGTTGGAAGAACATTACAAAAAATCTGTAATCATAAAAAATGCTTCTTCTTCCCAATGAGGCCAAATCAATGTAGTTCATATGTCCTACAGTTGACTCACCAGGCCGGATGCAAAAGCTGGCACAGCCACTGGCTGCTTCTTCATGCCAATGAACATCTTTTAAAAAGAGAAAATAGAACTAACTTTTACCAAAAGCAACCAACAGCTTGTAATTCGATCCCTATTAATTCTTCCCCAGTTTAATATTCTGTATAAATACTGTAAGTCAAGCTTTTTCATTTGCCCTTGGATTGACTGTGGGGCAGTGCTCTTTAACACTGAATGCTGTATTATTAAATGTGTACTGCTGTTTTGCCAAAACTCACAATGTTCCTCGTCTCCACACCAAGGCACCTGAGTAGAGTCCTGTTAGCGTAGGAGCCCCCCCACTGAAACTTGAGGCCAACTGCGTCATGGAGGTCCTGGTGTGGCAACCACACCCCCCGCCAAATCCTGAGAAAGGAAAAGCAGCAATGTGTTGTATTCAGGGGAATTATTAATTAAAAGAATAACTGCTGCATCCTGAAAGTGTCACAAAATGTTAACATATCCACCCTCAACACAATTTCCAGGGAGTCAAACTCACCACTGAGACCTGGGACAGAGTGCAGGTTTCTCCTCCTCCTCTTCCTCCCCCTCCTCACTCTCAGGGAGGTGTTGGGCCTGAAGCAGGGCACCGAGGCTGAGCACCTCCTCCTCACTTTCCACAGCTGGGACCTCCACCTCTGGAAAGTGAGCCACGAGGAGCTGCTGGACACGGCAGGACAGAGACGCCTAGCCAGAGAAAAATTGAGAGGGAAACAATTATTTTAATCAAATGTTCAACACTTTTGATTGGCATTCATTTCATTTCATTTCAAACCTTTATTTATACAGATAAATCCCATTGAGATCATTGATCTCTTTTTCAAGGGAGACCTGCTCAAGTAGTTCCACATGAAATATAAAAACATAAATAGAACAACAAAAGGACATCATACAACAAAAGGACATCATAAAGTGGCAATAGACTTTATTTTGCCTTAAACTATCACTATAAAGTAAATGTTGAAGAATAAGAATAATGAGACCATCGGCATTTAGACGCTTTCTATATGCATTTGACACATTTTTTATTTGCATAAAGCTTGTGCAACAATAATAACTTTTGGAAACGCAAAAAATTGTCTATTGCCTCTTTAAGGTTTTGCTGTAGTTGTTGTAATGCCTGTGAAACAATTAGAACGTTTCTCTTACATGTGTCGAACAAGAAAACTAAATAATGACAGAAGCTTGAAAAATACATTCTGAGAAAACAACTCCTGGATAATAAGAATCAAGTTTTCTCTGTGATCTCTGATTACCAGAGCAACAACAATAGAGACCGTTTTTAGGGGAAGGCCTCCCACCTGACAGCTGTTCCTCCTGGACCCCCCGCACCGCCCCCCCCTCTCTGGCTCCTCCTCTGTGTCCCCATCCGCCTGCAGGCTGCTGACTGGCTCTTTGAACTGGGTCCAAGTTCTCCCGTCCTCCTGAGCCCTCTGGTCCTTGAACTCCGCCCACGAGTCCTCTCCGTCCTCCTGCGTGGGCGCTGAGCAGAAATCTGCAAAGCTGTCACTCGGAGGGAGGTTTCCTAGACTCAGCCCCTCTTCATCATCATCATCATCATCACTTTGGATGTGTCCTTGCTCTAACGTGCACTCTCTGAAGTCTGCAAAGTTTTCTTCAGCATGTGTTCCAGTTTGTGAGAGTTCGGAGGTAGCAGAAGTTTCCTGAGTCACAGATTGGTCGCGAAAGTGAAAACCCTTGTCTTCTTCCGACGGTCTGTCATTTCCCAGCGCTTCTCCTTCCTCATCATCATCAGTCGGGTCCCAGTCAGTCTCATCATCTTGGGAAACAAGAGATGACACATTTGGTTCTAAATCTAAAGAAGGACACTCGATTGAAAAATCATCACAGAAGGAGGTCAGATCCTCTGAAGCAGACTCATACACACTGAATGTTTGGGGGACAGTAGAAATGCTGTTTCCTCGACCTTCTCCATCTGACTCTCCATCCTCCGTCAACCCTGTGGTGTGTAAAGAATTTAAACAATGCCCCCTTTCCCTCTGAATGTCCCCACACTCCTCTCTAGAAATAGGCTCTTCCGATTGGAAATCCAAAGCAGCTTCCTGAGGCTGGTCATGGTCCTGAGATGTTTGCACGAGTGCTGCATCTCTTTTCTCACAGTGCTTGACCTTAGTGCAAACATTCTCCTTCTTTGTCTCACATGCACAATGAGACCTGGGCTCAGAGTCCATCACAACATCCTGTCCTGAATCATGCCTGTGTTCCCCCAAGCTGTTGGATGACTTCCTTCCTTCCTTTCCTCTGGCATCCCATTGCTCTTTGCGGTCGATGGGAGAGAAGCCGCAGCACCAGGGGTGCTCCGCCTGCTCTGTAAACAAAGTGAAATCAGCAAACCCCGTTTCTTCCTTGGGACCCCCAACAGCAGAGGTTATGGGGGTCCTAGAGTTGTGGTTCCTTACAGAGAATCCATTTGTGAGGTGCACAGATGATTCAGCAGTACATTCTTGACCCCTACCGGACCCCACGTGCACAGTGGATGTGGGCTGGGATTGTTCAACAGTGGATTGAAGGGCGGCTGGCTTTATGGCGGTAGACGAAAGCTGTCTGAAGCTGGATAGGGAATCAGGTGACTCCCCAACGGAGAATGCCCCAAAGTCCCCAAAGTCGTCCTCCTCTGATCCCACCTCCCCGTCACCATCCAGTGGAGGGGGGGAGACGGAGTGCAAGGGGATGATGTCTGGCTCCATGGGTTCTCCTAGCAGGACCTGAATCCTCATGCACCTGGGAGAAGAAAGTGGAAAAGAGCAGGAAGATAAACATTATAAACAACAGCTTTTTAGGGTATTTATGTTCACTGATGATGGTAATTGCTCCTCTCTTTCTAGCTGACACCTACATAGAAGTTTTAGTATAGTTACATTTATTTTATGTTGTATTTTTGGATCTTACTGTAAGGCAATTAATGAATTACTTTGTACCAGATGTACTCTCCCCCCTACTAGTTGTTTGCACCCTCAGGTCATCCTGATAACTAAGTTAGAAATAGCTTAGATTGTAACGACCTACACCAAATTCAAAAAGGCCCATTTTTTTATTTCGACTTTAGAATGACCGACCTGAGTATCTCAGTTTTGCTTAAAAATATTTGTTTAAACAACTACTTTATTTTGTTTTGAATACTATGCAATCTTTCTGCGTGAAGACCTTTGTAATCTTGGTTTTGATGGTTGCTACACAAACCTTATTATAATCATAATTCAAAGTGTAAAAACCAATGAATCAAGAGACCTTTCTAGAATATTTAGATACAAGTTTCATGACTAAGTTTAAACTCCCCAAAAAAGAAAGCATGAAAGTATATGTCAATAACAAATGGTTCACTTCCTGATTTGTAGGTGACATATTTCGGTTCAGTGCTGATATTCAGCAGGTTTCAATGATGAGAATAGATAGAGGAACCTGCAAGTAGAAGCTTGTCAAATCTGAACTTAATAAAACTCTCACACATCCTCTTTTGTGTCCATTTCAAATGTTTCCACCTAGATTAGAAACAGCCCTCATGCTGCTGACCCTGGAGTGGAAAGTATACCGCTCAGTAAAGTGATACAGGAAACTCTATCCGCAGCTTTGTGCTACATGGAGGAAGAGTTTAAACCGAGTCCTGTGCCTTCAGGATCAGGGATTAGTGCCTCAACATAAACACACAACTGCTCCTTGAAACTAACTATAAACATTGGCCACTATAAATACTATTGTTACACAACTATTTGTCTTGTAAATAGTCAGTAAAACAGGAAAAACATTATAAGCATTATTTCTAGTGTCGTATACCTGGACAGACAGGTGTCATGTCATCACATTAACAGCTAATTATGAAGCTTTTCATTAAATGCAAACACTGTCTTAAGATATATCGGTGTATGTAAAGCTGAGCTACCTATGTATGGTTAATTATTTTTGAGTTAAAATCGGTTAAAATAGGCTGCGAAACATACATCTTAAAACGCAGTTGGTTGTCAAATAAAATCAAATGAAAATATTTGTCATATATTATAAAACACAAGTTAGAATACATATACAAATACTTTTTAAAAAACACTGTCTGCTGGTTCCAAAGAAAGGGCTTTTATCTTGCCTGTTACAACACAACAGCTGATTAGCATGCATTACCAGCAGCTAAGCTAAAGTAGCTGTGTATAACGCTAGCCTACCGTCCAAAACAAACCTTGACGTGCAGTTTAAACGATGCTAATTGCTAAATAGGAATATAAAGAGGTGAATTGATATTTACCGACACTCATGCACTTTGTCTTCTTGCTATTTCTTGTGTATTTCTTGTGCCGCAGCTTGGCTCTCCATCCTCTGTCATCCTTCTCACTGAGTATTAACAGAGATGTGTAGAAAGTGAGGAGGTCTCACTATGTCAAGTTTCCAGGTGCTGGATTAACTCAATTTGCAAAGGCATTGGGGATGTTTCTATTCTACTGGATGTGTAGGGGGCGGGGCTTAATTACAATGCATTCAAGATTTCAGCGTGACGCCAAAAATGTATTTGCTCCAAAAATAATATGAAATGAGGCAATACCAAGTAATGAACATACATAAAGAAGACAAATATATATGAAAGAGAAATAAATACATTAGAGAACAACAGTGTTAATGAAAAGTGGTTGTCATTAAATTATATTTCATCCCCACTCATGCTAGCAAAACAAACAAAAACGGGTTAATGTTTTGAGTCCATGAGGTCACTCTTCTTCAAAATAGACGATCTTTACTTTCTACCTATCTATTTTTATTTTATTGTATGTGGGTTATAGTCTATATTCTTTCTTTATGTATTATACACTATACTATTACAAAGCAACCTTAATGGCATATTTCAGAAATAAAAAATGTGAATTGTTGTTTGTTGTTGACACACTAACAGATTCTAAAGACAAAAAACAACACTCAAAAACAGACATTTAAACAAGAACGTATTGTCTTAACAAAGAGCGATGGTCCTAGTTAAGCAGCATAAATAGATATATTATAAATAATATGTTTGAGTGTAATTCTGCCTGTAATGCCTTGATATAATTGAGATTTAGCAAAAACGTAATCAGAAAATCCCAGTGTTCCTCCTTCATACGTATTCCATCACTTGTATTAGTTATTTCTCCAGTGTTGCTGTTATGAAGTGGCAAAAATGTACTGAAATGTTTGTACCTCTCTAAATGTATGCGTTTGTGTACTGTGATTCAAAATGTAACAATACGGATGATTGCTGGATCCATGCTTTTCATTGTTACAGGTTTACTAAGTGTCTACAAGTATCACACACAATTCGTTATCATTTCAAAATACACAAAATGATTTTATTCATTTGAGTATGTAAGTCGCTTTGGATAAAAGCGTCTAATAAGTAACATGTAATGAAAAGAAGAACAAGACAATCATGAGCAGAAACAGGCATTATACAGATCAGGAGGAAAGTGCTTCAAGATCTCAAATGAGCAAAACAAAAAACCTTCAACAGAGAAAACAAAAACAAATGATGACACAAGATAACTTGATCTGCATTTTGACTTTCTCAAGAATCTCGCTTTGACAAACGAGTAATGTTTACAATGTTATTCTTAGGTCTAAATGTATCCTTCTTCAGATATGTATTTATTGTCTAGATGCTATGTGTCCTTATGTGTTCAAGTGACAAGCTTTACTACTACATGTCATTTGTTAGACGCTTTTATCCAAAGCGACTTACATACATTCATTACTGTGGACAATCCCCACAGGAGCAATTTGGGGTGAAGTGTCTTCAGGGACACAACGACATGCTGACTGCAGTGGGGTTTGAACCTGTGACCCCCTGATCCGAAATCCAGCACTCTATCCACTTAGCCACAGCCGCCCTTTACATCAGTATTCAATCCTTGTTTACTGTCCTTCAAACAAACTCCTTCTTATAAATTGTTGCATCCTAGATTCTGATCACTTGACTCAACATAATAACAAAAAGCTAATGTTCTAATCAGTTCTTCTTGTTAACTTCAAGCACACTCAGGGAGGACAGAGCTGTGTACTTGTGTGGCAAAACAATGATAAAGAACTAATTATAACTTTTTTGAGATGACATTGTTTTTAAAGTGTGCTATACAAATAAAATGTATTATTATCAAATGTCCAAACTAATGAGTATGGGATGTGCTGGCTTTATGGTTCTGGTCGTGATTCAACAGTTTTGTATATGTGAGGAATCTCTGATCACACTTCAAACAGAGAAACTTTAGATCTTTGGCACGACATTTTTTTAGATGATTGGTACTGGCGACGTTTTTTCTACATGTATTGCAAAAATATGGCTTTTCCCCTGTGTGCATCCTCGTGTGAACATTGAGATTTGATCTTTGAGCAAATGATTTCGTACAGTAAGAACACTTGTATGGCTTTTCACCCGTGTGAATTCTTAAATGCGCAGTCAGTAGGAACTTACCGACAAACGACTTGTCACATTCAGGGCATTTGAAAGCCTTCGTGGTCATGTGAACCTTGTCGACGTGTTTGATCAGATCATAGTCCGTGTTAAAATCTTTAACCGTTGAAGTCCTGTCATCCTTCTGGGTTGGTTCCTGCTCCATAAAAGCCGAGTCACTGTGAATCGCAGCACAGGAGGACGAGCCTGAGCTGGCGTTCCCATTGCAATCATCGTTTAATGTCACAGTGATAGTGCTGTAGGTGGGAAACAGCTGGGTGTCATTTGGAGCCGTTGTTTTAGTATCCATGAGTCTGATGTTGACATCCTTGGAAGAACAATTGTTAAGGGCTGGGAGGATCCACCGATTCACCTTTTGACTGCGAGGAGCTAATGACACACCATTCCTTTGGTCAAATGTGTTGTCTGTGATTTTGTCTACGATAGATGTTACAGCCGGGGAAGATGGGAGCAGTTCACCGTTTGTAGCTGGTTCTGTTTTATGATGTGTATCACTGTAGGAAGGATCAGCCTGCGTGTCTAGAACATTGATAGCGATGTCTGGAGCGATACTGCAGTCCGCCTGCTCTTCCTTGATCTGAAGAGAATCACAGATCTCCTTTTCCTCCACATTCGGCGGCAGCTGTTCTGGTTTTTGTGAAGGCAAAATCTCCTGAGAGATCGTCTGGGTGTCTAAACAGACAGAGAAAACACATGTTATTGTTATAACTTGGTGAATGACCCTCGTATGACAAAAATAAAGAACCTTAATATCTTACACAAACAAATGTACACATGCATGCACTGTCGGCGGTCAGAGGACGGTTAGCTCTACATCTATTAGGAGTCATAATGTTACTTGATATGGAAGCTATTGAACAAATTCAAGAGTTAATGTAGTAATACAATGCTTTGGAGTTACTGGGTCACATGACAAAGCTATTAAAAAAGAAAGGAGACTTTTTAATTAAGCAAATGTATGTTTCCAATAAGGTATTCATGTAAAATAGTTCTAAAATCCAATACAAATACTTAATTCTTACTTTTCCAGTGTAGTAATAATAAGTAATTGATTTAGTCACTGGGTCACATGATAAAAAAGAAATGAGAACAATAAAATGCTGGTTTCTCCTTAACATATTGATATAGCAGGTGGACTAAAAACCTTTAAAAATAGAGTTGTGTCCTACTCCTCCAGTGTAGTAATACAATGCTGCATTGATTCGTAGTTCACGGGTCACATGACAGGGTTGCTACTGAAAAAAAGCAAGCCTTTCAACAAATACCACCAGAAGGTAACGTAACATTAATGCTTGCTAACCAACCTGCGCTCAGTAGTATAACTCTCGGTTTCAGGACGGTCAGCTGCTCGATCTGCACTCTCAGCTGGAGGATTTCTCTCTTGCTGCGGACAGCTTCCTCCTGATACTCCGACACCGTCTTCTCCACCAGTCCGAAGACTTCCTCTACAGCCGCCTCCAGCCGCTCGCTGACCCGCAGCTTGAGCAGCAGCGTCGACGACATCATGGAGCTCCGACAGCAAATGTTATGGGCGAAACAGACACTTTCAAATCCTAACCCTAAATATCAGCCGTTTCAAGTACCAACTGCCAGACTGTAGTAAACTAACCGTTAGTTTGTACTTCCGGTTCGACGTCATGACGTACCGCTAATGAGCAAAAACAAACAGTAGTCTTATCTATATTATGTTATTATTATATATCTGTATTTTTAGGGAAATTTCATATCCATAAATAAAATGGGCTGACTCCAAAACAATATATTAGCACTATTAAAAACATTAGGAAAAAGGCAATCAAAAGTAATTTGATTGAAAAAAAATATTTAATATGAAGTATCAAAATGTATTTTTCTTTCCGTTTTTTCTTTGGTTACTGTATGTAATGTCTTGTTGCTTTTTTGTCTGCCCCTGGACTTTGTCTGTTGTAGCCTATGTCAAATGTATGATGTTCATGTATGACATTGAATAGATGAATAAAAACATTTTTAAAAATACAAAAATAAGCCTTATCTATGGAGCTAATTTCCTGCCAAAAACTACACAAACTAAACATGTTTTCTTTTTAATGCCCACTGAATTAACAAACACAGTACGGTTTGCAAATACAAAACACCTTTGACAAACTAATGCATTTTGTTTTTGCAATACAAAAAACATGCTTATCAAACAAACACATTAGGATATGTCTAAAGAACTGAACCGATGAGGAAGAGTAACCTTTTTTATTATATATACATTTTTTAAGTTTTGGACTCCTTTGTATTAAGTGCTGTCATGTCAGTTTACGTCTTTGTGCCTGTAAATGTGGAAACAATCAAGACAATGGAAAAAATAAATCAAGAAACAGGAAGTATTGGCATGAAACAATTTGGAACTTTTATTATACAAATGACATGCACTGTTAAATTTAGTGTCTGCATGCATTTAACCAATCCTAGTGTTAGGAGCCTGGTGCCTTGGTCAACGGCACCTCGGCAGTAAACAGGAGGTAAACTGGTCAACTAGCACCTCAGAGTCCAATCCATACTTTTTTCCATTTGGGAACTTGAACCAGTGACCCCAGAGTTCCCAACCCCAGAGTTACTGAGGATGTTATGAATGTGTTATTTGAACAAGGAACTAAATGATACTGAAGTACCTACCAGGTCTAAACCTAAAGTATAAAGAATAACAAAATATATCACATTTAAATCAAAATTATTAAGCTTTCAACCAATCTGGAAAAAATTGATTTGCTAGATACCATACACTGGTTCACCTTTCAGCAAATACAGTCCTTAAAGGTGGGGTAGGTAATTAACTTCAGAAACACTTTTTGTTATATTCCATGGAATGCTCTTAACATCCCGATAGCAATGAATACATTAAATGCTTTGACAATAAATACAGTAAAAAAAATGTCCTCTGTGGAAGCCGTGGCGCTGTAAAAAGCACGACCAATCATCTGAGCCGGCCCGGCTAAAGTAACTGGATGGCCTACCTGCCTGTCAGCCTTCCATCTGTTCACAAACTTATCTCGTGGCCTCATTGGTCATGTGCGCATTCGTGTGTGTTGGAGGAGGGGCTCTGTAAGGAAGTGGCATATTTTTTCGGCTGCGTAGTTTCAAATTCTAGCGCACTCAAGCTGGTTTCTACATTCTTACCTACCCTACCTTTAAGTGAGAGTTCAAAGATAACCCAGGCCGATCCTAGTACTTTCACACAGACACATTCTCACACAGTTTTAAGATTTTTCTTCTAAGTTCTGTCCTTGCTGTTTCTCAGTGATGTGTAGTTTCCATGACTCGTGAACCTGCACATGCACCTTCAGGTCTGCATCTGTGTAAAAAGTTCTGCCACATGTTGGACACCGAATGGACCTATCTGTGCTTTTCTTTTCTGTCCCTGTGCACAATGCAAGATGTTTGCTACACACAAAGTTCTTGCCACATTTGTCACAAATAAATGTTTTTTTTTCAGTATGCCGTCTCATGTGAGAAAGGCAATTGAACTTGTATCTGAAAGTTCTGTCACACACGTTACAACTGAAGGGTTTTTCATCAGAGTGAACTTTTGTATGCATAACCAGCTGGTGCTTCAGATTGAACTCCTTGTTGCATTCAAGGCATTTAAACTCCTTATTTTTGTTAACCTTACCTACATTCCTCTTTTCTTTTGCCATTTTGCGTTTTTTCCTCATTTCGCAAAGTTTGAAATGATTACTTGTGTGATAACTTTTCTCACAATTGTTACAGTAATACGGTTTTTCCCCAGTATGCAACCTCATGTGAACAACACGAGTAGAGTTTTGAACAAAGGATTTGTCACAGTAATCACAAGCAAATGGTTTTTCCCCTGTGTGAATTCTTATATGCATAATAAGGTGGTGCCTTTGATCAAACTCCTTGTTGCACTCCAGGCATTTAAAGGCCTTGTTCCCTTTGTGGCTCTCTTCTACATGCTTTCTAAGATGAACATCCCTCGTGAAACGTTCACCACAAAGACGACAATACGTTTGGTCTCTCGGAGGCGGATGCAGTTCCTTAAAGACCTCAGCGCTATGACTCTGTGAAGGCAACGGTGATCCATCTCTTTTGTTCCCCTCTTCTTTCATGCTTTGGTTTACACTCAAAGTTTCAGCTGTGGAGCATGTGAGCAGCTCACTAGGGACAGGTTCTGATTCACCAATGTTTGAAGAATCAGCCTCCGTGTCTGGGCTGAAACACTCATACGCTTCCTTCTGTTCTAACTGCTCTTGGATCTCCATTTCCTCCAGAACAGGAAGCGCAGGGACCGGCTGGGCATCTAAAGTACAGAGGACACATGTTATAATCTGTCAACTCAGTAATATTATTATCTAAGTGTTGCATACAGTCGTTAAACTTTAGCAATTTAATATTATAGCTTACTGGATTTTTTCAACACCATGTATTTTTTTGTACTAAGTCTTGCTAATTTATAAATAATAGATCCAATAATAGGAGGTGTACCCTACTCGTCTAATACAATACTGCATTGATTTTGAGGTCATGGGTTTAATAAAGTGGAAGCTATTGTACAAAGTTCAACAGGTCACACAACACCTATTGAACCATTTGAAACTATTTTCTCTCAAATTATGTGATTTTGGGTCTTTCTGCAGATAGCTTGTTTGTTTGATCGTAATAAATACTCAAAATCAACTTATTGAGTAGATTGACTTTCTTTGTGTAGATCATTTGGTAAATGATAAGGCAATAATAATAATAATAATAATAGGTAAAATTCCGGAGCGAATGTCTGTCGAAAATCGAACCTAAAACCTCGGTCTCTACAACCATATGGCCATGGCTGGCCTTTGGCATAGGCAGTATAGGCGAATGCTAAGGGCACATCAATCTATGGGGGGTGCCGAAAATTGAATTGAAAAAAAAAGTTAGAAATTAAAAATATATATTTTTTATTTCAAAACACAATTTCGGATCAACAAATTACATCTTATTATCTTATACTAACAGAACTACGCCAATATTGCGTACAGCGCCCATAAACTATGGCGCCACGCACCCCCCCCCCCCCCAGTAAAAACCAGAGGTTTATGTGAAATAGTTCTTTTTTTTTAAATAATGGTTTCAGTGTGCAATTATAGGTTTTAATTTTGTATTTGTGGTCATTTAAAATAAATTAAACTCCCAAAAAACTTATACAGCTTTTATTAACATTGGAATTTACCGTGTAAGCGGCCACGGGGGGGGAGAGCTTTAGAGAGCTCTCTCCTGAAAGACTGAGCGGCTCTGATAACCTCAGCTCAATGAGGTAAAGGCACACCTTTATATGATCATTATAGTTATAAAAAAATAAGAGAATAGATTTTCATCTATTCTCTTATAGCAGGGGTGCCCAACCTTTTTTGAACCGAGAGCTACTTTTAAAGTTGCCAGTCTGCCGAGATCTACCAGTCCAAATAGAGAGGCGTAGCCATTACTGACAGCCTACTACCAGGTAAATACACACTACTTGTATAAAACTGACCTTTGTACGATGAATACTTCATAAAATACTGCAGATCCTTTATCTTACCTCTTTCTAATCTACACACATACAAGTATTTAACTGAAGTTACACAACAGTGTTGTTGATACAGAGTTGGAGTTTATTCACACGTCACTACAGTGGGTAATGTTTTCAAGAAACATTGAACAGTGCTGCCACATATGACACAGGAAAAAAGAAAAGACTCTGAACCCTTTCTTTGCCATTATATAAAAATAGTGTTGCTACAAAAGTATAAATTAGACTTACTAATAAGACAACTCAGATCTGAAGCTACACAGGAATCTGCTGCCAAAGTGCAATAAAAAAGACAAAATTAATAGAATCAAACCCTTTTCTTTTTTTTGCATTTTAGTAGAGTATAAAAAGAAATGCCTTTAAAATAAGATGCAAGCAACACTAGTTTCTTAACCTGAATTGATAATAAACTATAATCAATTTAAACAGAACAGATCTTAATGTTTGCATTCTTATTAGAGATGCACGATATTGGTTTTTTGAAACCGATACCGATAACTTCCTGCTTCTCAAGACCGATACCGATAATAAAAAAAAAATTACGCCACTAATTATTTTAACGCGATTAACGCATGTGTATTTTTTGTCCTTCGCCGCCCCGTAGTTTCAGAGCGCATCGAGTTTAAAATACCATCTACAAGCTGATGCTGACAGCCCCGCTCCTGCCGCCCGCTTGTGGCAGACCACACTTCCACGCTCACCGGCAGGCACCGACTGGCCATCTGGAGGACCGGGAGGGTGTGTGTATGTGTGGCCCGAGCGAGAGAGAGACCTTACGTGCATTGTTGTTGTTAGCATCTGGTGCTAGCTAGCTGCGCTAACGGATATACGGAGCTGTTTAAATGAAAACAGAGGAGCGACATTTCGCCACAACTGCGCCGAGCACTTGACTTTATGCAGGAAGCCAGACAGTGGGACATTGTACGAAAAGTCAGCACACTCAGCACGGATAGTGCGCAACATGATTGCAGCGTCCAGGCAGCTCCCGTTCGAGCATATGCCTTGAGTTGCACATAGCTCCAATGCCCATATACCACCGACGACATGTTTGTTTACTGTCCTGGCTTCACGGCCGCACACCATTTACGTCACAGCCAGGCATGAGTTAGGGAGCGCTGGATTTGTGAAGAACTCCCCTCTTCCTAAACCACTAATACCACAGTACTGGCAAAATGGGAGGAGCCGAGTGAAAAACAAGCGCCCCTCATCCCAATCCACCCACACCGCAGTATTTTTTTCTTTTTTTTTACCCAAAAAATATATTGTATATTATCGGGGCTATTAATACTGGTATCGGGTTTATCGGGATGACGTCATAATTCCTAATATCGGACCGATAATTATCGTGCATCCCTAATTCTTATACCATTTTGTACAATAATTATAATGAATAAGTTCAAACAAACTCAAGCTTATAGCTGATTAATAACGGTATCTAACTTGAATTTGTATTATATCAAAAACCTGTTGAAATGTTCACTGTCCCCCAAAAGTGCATGGGCGCCGCCAGCTAAAATCTTGCCTTGGTCAGATTGGTCAGGGCCGGCCCGGATAGTGAGTGTCTGCTTTTTGGGGTGGGGGGGAGGGGGGGCGCCAGCTAAAATGTTGCCTAGGGCAGCAAATTGGTCAGGGCCGGCCCTCCATATGGCAACCGGCGAGAAGCTAACGTAGCATTGATGCTAAGTCTGATGAAACCAACCTGCACAGTATAATACAACCGTCGGTTTCAGGACGGTCAGCTGCTCGATCTGCTTTCTCAGCTGGAGGGTTTCTCTCTTGCTGCGAACAGCTTCCTCCTGACACTCCGAAACCGTCTTCTCCACCAGTCCGAAGATCTCCTCTACAGCCGCCTCCAGTCGCTCGCTGACCCGCAGCCTGAGCAGCAGCGTCGCCGACATCATGGCGCTCCGGTTACCGTTGGCAGATAATGTGAAGGGTCACCCAGAACGTTTTAAATAAAGAACTAAATGCCAGTGGCAAACAACGACTTGCTTTGGAAAAAATGCTGTCCAACCGTCCAACTTGATTGGCAGGCGTTAGTTAATACTTCCGGGTCAACGTCCCACTAGCTTTGTTACGCTACTGTAGAAAATAACTCCAAACCTAATTCTGATTTTTTTTACCAATAATTAAAACGTAGCACTTTTAAAAACATAATGAAAAAAATAGTGTATTCAACAAATATTGAGTCTGAAACTGTACTTTATTATTATCTTACTTTGGTAAAAGTAGAAAATATAGATTGGGCACTCGTAGCCTACAGTACAAACATCATTGCTTTTCACCATTGTTGTGATTTTTCTTAAATACATTATAGAAAATAATGCAAAGAGGAGTAGAATTGCACACAGGCTCGGTGCCCTCGGGTTTTGAGCCTGATCTTGGGCACTATCAGTAGCAGCTGGTCAGCAGACCTTAAAGCTCTGGCTGGGGTGTAGCGATGGAGGAGATCGGCTATATAGGGCGGTGCCAGCCCATTTAGGGCTTTGAAAACAAATAAAAGGAGTTTTAAATCAATTCTGAACCGAATTGGAAGCCAGCGAGGCTGAGGCCAGAATTGGGGTGATGGGGTCACGCATTTTGTGGCCAGTCAGAAGACGCTGCGTTTTGGACTAGCTGCAGGCGTTTAATTGAGGCCTGGTCCATACCCACATAGAGCGTTGCAATAGTCCAGTCCCGAGGTAACAAAGGCATTAATAACCCTTTCTAGGTCTTTAAAAGATAAATAGGACTTGGTCTTGGCCAAGTCTTATTTAAAAAAAAGCAGGATTTGACTACGGTGCTGTCCTGCTTGTCGAATTTAAAAGTGCTAGTGAAGGTCACTCCAAGGTTCATGACAGAGGGGAGGATGTTTTCATTGAGAGAGCCCAGAATATCAACCGGAGAGGCTGTACTGTATGTATATGTTTCTTAATGCTCTTAATGTCTTTCATTTTTGTAAAGCACTTTGAATTGCCTTGTGTTGAAATAAATAAACGTACCTTGCCTTGCCTTAGTGAGACAAAATAAATAATCAGATACACTTTATTTGGCTTCAAATATATTTCCCAAGACAGTCGCTATGAGCGGAGGCCCTCTGGAGAAAAAGCAGCAGCCTGACAGGGGGCTCTATGACTGTAAAAAGCTTGAGTCAAGCTGACAAACGTCCCCTTTCTTTTAATTGATTTAGATTTGAAGCAGTAGAGCAGTGTGATGAAGGGGTCTGACAGTTGGTGAAAGCAGGCCTCCAGCGTCTTCCCCTTTGATCAGCTGGAGTTTCTGATCTTGGCTCTGCTGTGGCTCCATTTTGGGATTCCTCTCCTGCCGAGCGGAAAAATCTCTTCTGACACTTCTGAGCCATCTGTGAAACAAGAAACATCCTTTGATTGACTCGGATTTTAGGGTTGATTTAAGCTCTGGAATAAAAATATGCAGAATTTCTCCTCTCACTCTCACTCCCGTCTGTAATTTTTCATTATGACTGCCTATACTCCTATTAGAGACTTACACAAGGCAAGCCTGTTGGTGAAATAAACCTCAAAACAACAACTTGAACTCATTTCCAGGAAACATGAAACGTCACTGCATCGAATTCTGAATTTGAAAGTAATTACCTATACATTTTATATTAAAGTCTTTCCTTTTGCATAATTATTTTCCATATGTTCCTGCCTTTCTCTTCACTTTTTTTATTAGATAAACATCAAAATACAAAAGACCATATATATTATTCAAATAAGAATCTGGAATGCATTACAAAAGTGGAACACAAGCTCAAACATTATTTGAATATATAGGCTTCTGGCTAAATAAATAAGTATAAAAAGGAAGTACTCAAAGTTAGTACAGTACCTCAGAATTGTATTTAGATAGAAAGCTGAGTAACCATACTTTCCATTACACACCGGTTGCTATGTAATGTTAAACTTTTAGGTAAAGTGCATGCCTTTAAATGAAGCTCAGACCAAGTTCTTTCTGGAAGACTGGGTATATATACATTCACTCTGCAGCTGCATATAATCAGCTCATCACGGGCGTTGTTTTTAACCAATTACATTCACCTCATTCTCCAGCAGCCAATCACTGTGCTGCAGCCAAACTTTGAAATGGTTCTCCTCTCTCCTGCAGTCAGCTGTGATTTCAGGTTGTCATGCTGCCGCCCGCCTCCTCCCCATCCACCTCCTCTCATCATATCCAGTGCCAGGAGAGCTAATCCAAAGACCTCATCACACCTCCTCTTCATCCCATCTCCTCATCAAATCCAGATCTTCAGCATCATCACCAGTGTCTAGACGCCGGGGGGGGTTCCCTATATGCTCACGGCTGCATTTCCCCCTTTAGAAATACCATTTCAGGATCGGGGTCTAATCGCCAAAGACTTTCAACATTTATCATATGACATGTGTCAATAAATGTTCTTTAAACAAAATGAAGTCTCTCCAGATTGAACTGGATCTTGGAAGGATAATATGGGAGCAGCTCATTATTTTCTGAGACAACGGTAAACACAAATGTGGGTGCCAGATATTCAGACAGACACTGAGCACAAGAGCATTTTCCAAGACGAGATGTTTATTGGTTTGCAAAGAAGCTGTTTTTACAAAAGCATGGAGAGAAAAAAACATTAAGAGAGGTCTGACAAGGGTTGAGTGCACGTCTTCATGTAAACACTGGTCCAATGCATATTCTCAAATACATAACATCAGGATATTTCTGGAATTTGCATCATATCTACAAGTGCTCCGTTTTTTTGGATCAGATGTTTAATGGCGAGAGAGCTGAAAGTGGATCGAACCGCCAACATGGTGCATGATACATGAAAGACTTCCAGATGATCAAAGTCTCAACACCCTGATGATCGTCAGACATGATACATCCCAGAAAACACAGACTGACTCTTACCCTTTTTTGCAGTTGAAAGAAAATAACATTTGATCCAATACTCGTTTCACACATTTCCTTATATCATAGTACAATATGTAATATATGACCTCAAATACTTTCATTATAAAAAAACTCAACTTTTGTAAGAGGCCTTCATATAAACAGAAAACATATGTACGTTACCAATACAGTTTGTTATGACGTTACCACACACAACCCTGCTGGTTACACGGTAATACATAGAAATTATAACATGATTTTACAACCACACAATACATTAGCAACATTAGCCTACTTCTACTCAGAAATGGACATCATGACGTAGGTTTTTAGCACTTTTTAGAGTGTGAAAAGTTCTGGGAAAAGCTTGATTTTTAATACGTTGTGTCAGGGGTGTTCAAATATTGTAATTTGGTTAGCATTTAACTGGAATCTTCATTAATACTACACTAGCAAAAAGGTTAACAGGCCAAAGGAAAATCTGCTTTAGAATACGGCGAAAACAGCCGATTAAAAAAAATTAAGAAAGCACATAGAAAATATAATAGCTGCATCGTACGTGTATATAAAATGCCAGGTACTAGCTTACATGCACAACTAAATGCCTTCTGCTGGTTACTCAGCTCGGTATTCCTCGGTATGTAAAAACTAAGCCTGTGAGGCCTTGTTATAAAATATGTACATCCATAGTCCAAAAATCAGGGTCACAGGGTCAAAACAAGTTTGGATAGGAAGGGGTACAATTCTTATATTATATTAACAGCATTTCCACATGGGCATCAGATTACAATCAGAAGGAGAATAACATTCAGTTTTTACGTGGCATTTTTAAAGGGCTGAAGAACAATTTATATATCAGGGAGTTTAGAGCGAGAATCTTTTCCCAGGATCTACAGAACACATGGGATCATGAGGAGATCAGGAACTGGGTCTTAATATATTCAATACTACATTTCAGGAAGAACCACATCATATGTTGAGGTTTTCTAAGCACATGTACCACAAATGTTTAAGCAGTTATGAGAGAAAGTGCAACAGTACCACCTCAGTATGCTCTCGTACCATGCCAGCGTGTCATGTACCTGCACCACTGCGCACACACACACACACACACACAGCTGGAAAACACACCGGTTGTTAATGCAGAATTAACTGTGCCATGTTCAGAAAACACACTCCCTGCACTCACACACACACGGACACACGCATACAAAAAAACACTCCCTGTTTAGAGCCCTTTAGTTCAAGATTCTTTGCAATTGTTCATCTCCCTCCCCCATAATCCCTACCTTAGGAGAAACAACTTCACGTTAACACACCTTGTTAGAACATCCACGAAACACACTGCTGAGTTATGGTACTTTTACATGGCGTATATTAACATTATTACAGGAAACTAGCAGTACAAATATGGTCACCAGTTAAAAAAAACACCCGGTTAACACAATTACACATTATTCGTACACTTTGTTCTGTTGTTGTACTGTATTTTGACCTTTTAAACTGCACTGCCCTCTCATACCAAACTGTACTCGTTTCCTGTTTGTGTTTGAAAACGAGAAGTTGAGGAAGACAGTCTGACTAACCAGGAGAAAACAAGTCCTGCGCTTATTGCTACTTGAAAAGAGCTAATAGATACTCAGTGCACGTATGAAACGCCGCACTTAGCACAGTAACAAGATGTTAAACCAAGAGGTGTCTTCAAAGTCTCAGTAATCAAAGCTTCATTAGTGTAAACAAAGGCAAACATTACATCATGCTTTGCAGTGAAGTCTGCGCTGCACAGATGTCATGGCTTCTTTCATATTCACAGCAGCAAAATGAGCGTGGTTACATCAAAACTGAAGTGTAAAAAACCTGAATGGTAGTTCTCTGCAGCTTGGTGAAACTGTCTATGCCTTTTTGCTGAGTCAAGCAGCTCAAAAAGTGGATTAGGACCATGACGCAGCATTAGGAGCCTTCATTCAACTCTGTTTGATATGAAGTGTAACATCTGTCTCTGAAGACAAGCTTCTTCAACCTGGTCCAAGCTAATTCAAACCTTCTAATAAACCAATCTTTAGGGCAGGGGTGTCAAACTCAAGGCCCGGGGGCCAAATCCGGCCCGCGACTTCATTTTATTTGGCCCCGCAAGAGCTTGCAAAGAATATAATACGTTTATTATACGGTTACATGTCACTTTACAGAAACAGGTTGCCCATAAACTACATGTCCCACAATGCATCTCGTTTTGTGACATGCGCACTGAAGAGACTTGCAATTATTTGCCCTTGACTTCTGCTTTCAGACGTAGTTAATTACTAAGTCATTATTCTATCCGATAATAATCCAATTCAGAGGTAATAATGTAATACAATACATTATTTTATATATATATTATAAATGTATATTTATATAGTTACAACCGGCCCTTTGAGTGCGACCTTAATGCTAATGTGGCCCGCGATGAAATTGAGTTTGACACCCCTGCTTTAGGGGTTTAGAGGTTGTAAATAATGACTTTCTTAATGGCTAATAGAAATGTACCAATGTGTGACGGATCATATTACTATAAGGCAGGGGTCGGCAACCCCTGGCACGCATGCGTTGGTGTGCCGTAACCAGTGGCACACTAGGAATAAGTGTGCAAAATATTTAAATTGTATTTTCGGATCCTAAACGAGACCGCCGCCAGAGCGCGTCTCCCCGTTACCTGCAGAAGGAAGCCATGCACGCAACGCAGCCCCGCTCTCTTTAACTCCAGGTGACTTTCTGCTGCTTTCCTCCGTGGTGCAGTGCTGAGTACAATTCACGATCGTCGGCACACTGATCAAAACAATTAGTTTTAATGGCACTTCATATCAAAAAGGTTGCCGACCCCTGCTATAAGGCATTGATAGGAACAACGTTTGGGCTAATCGCTTGAGAGATACAAATCCCTTCGGTTGATCCTCCTGCAGAATAAAGCTGGCTTTGTCTTTCTAGCTTTTTCATGCAGATCTCATTGAAAATGTAAGACCGTTTAGACCAAAAGCTGTTTTCATCAATGGCCTATAACTGCGTTTTAAGTCTTACTATCCATAAGTAAAGCAATATGTTATATCTCATAAACCCTATCTAAGTTTGTGTAAAACCTTACAGGTCATAGTGAATGTTGATACTGTAGGAGGCGTAAACCAAGCACCTTAAGACAGGATACTTCTAATATTGTACTGTGAGTGTTGCAGATAACTTCTGCTACTACTGTGGAGTTATTATACCTTCCTTTAAGACTTAGTGAAGGGAAATACTTGAGTGTAGAGTGGAAAGATTATAGAGACAGTATTGTGTTAGACTGAAATCCTGCTTCCTGCTTTAAAGCGTCTGTCTGTCTGAGCGTGGACACATCGCTGAGGTGAAACGATTCAGGAAACACTTTAAACACATCCTGTAGGACTGACTATAACAGCACCGGGCCTACCACCAAAACACTGTGACAGTAAGTTATAATGTTGTGCATCACTATTATGTATCTTCTATGCTACTATATATGAATACTATACATTCAAATACCACCAGGGTCTGCTCCTGCTTCCAAAAACACCGGACTCCTAATGTGACTGAAGTTTGAGTTGAGTTGAACTCCTGCACACTTTGACAGCAACTTCTTGAAATATCCACTAAACTGTGTGTGTGTTCTTTAATGTGAATTAGTTGCATATTGGTTTAGAGTATGATTCAAATAAGCTTTGCGTGAAATAACTGAGTGTGACAGCAGAAATCTCAAACTCATTTAAAAGCGTTTCCTCCTCTCTCCTTGCCTTTAAAGTAAACAGTCATGGATCTACTTCCTGTCCAGCATACAGGGGGATGGCTGCAGTGATCACTACATCTACCAACACACATGCAATGTACTGTACCGTATCCCGTCTATGATATAATCCTCATTTTGGTGTATTTAGGTCGCTGAGACTGCTGCGTGTTACCGTGACAACAGGGATAAACCCAGGGGAGGGCAGGGGAGCGGAGTTGGAAACACACCAGCTCCCCTAAAAAAAAAAACAGGGTGCAATAATCTGCACAAATATGATCGAGTGGCAAACCGCACCAATAAACACAACTGGAGGGATTTCAAATCTGAGAAAGTGTCAAATCTGACACAATATTTGCTTTAAAGCAGTTGTATCTCATAAGAAAATCATGTTTAAGCCCTTGTGGGAATTTATCAAGAATATCTTAACACTGCTCAGGTCCAGTACTGTATAATTTTACTGCATAGAAATTCTATAACCAGTGACTTTCTTTCCAACTTGATAAAAATGCATATTCCAGATAACCCTAAGTGGGTTTGGAAGAGTCTTACAGTTTCAGAAATAAAATATGAGCTGCTCAGACTGAGACAGATGTTTTCCTGAGAAGCTGCATCCTTGAAAGCACTCCAGACCTGCGTCTACCTCAGCATCCTTATAGGACTCAACATAAAAAATGAATGCGCCATTAATAAACCATGAGGTCCCTGATCTGAAGAAACTGGGGCTATGAGGAGAAAACACATTTACCCTAAAAAGCATCAGATCCTGGTTCAATAGGAAGGAGAGAATGAAGATGTCTAACTTATCAAAGTGGGAGCCATTTTTCCAGTTGTTGCAGTGTTGCATGATGGGTTATGGATGATGACGTAACAGGCGCACATGTGTGTGTATGCGTGTGTGGATTCATCTCTGGACTAGTCCTTGCTTCACACACCGAGTTGCAGAGCAGGAAGAGCGAGATGTTAACCGAGCTTGGTGATCTGTAGATCTCCTTGTATCTGTACCGTGTCGATGGAGGTGAACGATTTCACTTTGTGATAAAAGTCAAAGAGCTGGTGTCCGTCCACGAATATCCGGAACCTCTGGTGCTCGCAGTGGATCTCAATCTGCAGGGGGAGGAAAGAGGTACAAATATAAAGTCATTTACAATTTATATTCAGCACATAAAGAAACTTTTAAATTCACACTGAAGCTAAAACAAAAAACAGTTATAAAGGCTATTTTTGTCAGAAAAGACTAATTAGCTTTCTTGAAGAAAGTTAGTGAAGTGAGTGTAAAAAATACAACAGTCGTTTCTTCTCACGGACATATCTCTTCGTTATGGCAATGTGGCATCCTGACTTTCACCAGTGACGAATACGCTCCTCTGTCTAGTTCATAAAAGGAGATTTGTTGATTCTAGAGAATTCTTAAAGGGCCCATGTCATGCTTTTCCGGTTATTACCCGTCCCCTTGTGTGTTATGTAGCTTTTTCTGCATGTAAACGGTCTGCAGTCACAAACCCTCAAAGTACACCCTGTAGCGAGTAAAACTCTAACACAGAACAGACCTGTCTATGCTGCCCCAGAACGCCTCGTTGGAGATTTCTCTTTTTCCATTTGTTTCTGACGTCATGGTTTGGTTGCGGTTCCGGGAACCAAAATGGACCAATCCGCGGAGCTCCTCACACACCAGGACCTTTAGCGTACATTTTCAACTAACAGGGAGTCCCATTGACTTGCATAGAGCTCCCTGGTTAGTAATAGACGAGTTGGGATCGCGGAGAAATGCTCTCCGCAGACCCATTCTCACAGCGTTATAAACATTTTTCTTACTCAATATCAAGCCGCACTTATTGTTTTTACTTCGGCTGTGAGTGTTTGTTTGTGCTCAGGATGAGTTTCGCGCTGTCCCGCTGTCTCGCCGACCCGGAACCACACCAGTAAGCCAGCTCACTGAGTAGCGAGCCTCGCAACGTCCCGACCAATCAGAGCACACTGGGCTCACAGGGAGGGGGGGGGGGCGGAGCTCCAACAAGCCATTTAGGACAGAGAGTGAATACACAGACTATACAGAGATGCTGTATGAGAAACCAATGAGAGTTTGGAAAATTGCACAATTTAAATCTATTCTAGTAGACCTCAACAATGGAATTATGGTCAGTAGAAATGGCCATGACATGGGAGACCTTTAAGAAGTGCAAGAAAACGCTATAACTACCATACTAAAAGCACATGGGATAAGTTGTTTCAATCCTCGCATTTGTTACTTAAGATTGCATCATTCAGATAGTAAGACAAAGTGTCGTGTGACACCTCTTACATTACGTCATTTATATTCATTTTCAACATAAAAATGCTGCAGCTTGAACTGAAAACAATCACTGAACCAAGGTGTTATGGGTGAAAAGAGAAGGGTGTTCACCAGCCACCTGGAAATCCTGCTACTCTACTAAACGATTAACAAGCGCTTTTCTTTTTGTGTTTAACTGGAATCAGTCCACCAAAACGCTGTGAATGAATACGCTAAAAATGGGACTCCACGTTGCTTCCAAGCAGCTGCACACTGTGAATCTCAGCAAACCAAACACAGACAAGCAAACAGAGTGAACTCCTCTGTACAGTTCACACCAAAGAACACAAAGATCATACTTCCTGCAAAAGATGTTTCCGACCGACTCAGAAACACAAAGCAGCCGTCCTGCTCTGAAACCAAACAGCACGTCATGTGTCTGTCATGCATGTCTCTGAATTCATCAGCGCCATCTGCCAGCTTTAATCTCCAGAGTCATGTCTCTGCTGACCTGCTTGGTCACGCTCCAGCCTCAAACAATGACACTTTATCAGAGAGCTGACATTACATAACCACAAGGGATCAGCTCTAAAGACAGGCAGGAACATGGTGGCCATTAGGGACTGAACCCTTTCCCTCAATTCAAATACGTAAAAGGCTGCTTCGTTCACGTTGGATTGAAACACGTGGATATATGTTTAGGCGAACACCATGTGTGTCATTCTAGTGCATATACAGAATTTATTGGAGCAGACAAGTCCTCAGGTCTTATGAGCATTACTCATCATGCATATGTGCTGCTGCTGCTCAATCCCCCCCCCCTCCTCCAACACACAAACAGCTGATGCTGACCCCATGCAGCAAACAGACCACCACACAGGATGCAGCCTGTGTTCAGAGTGGAGAGATATGATGAAGCATGGAAAACATTTCCTGTCTCTTTCTTTACAGCAAGGCGACATGCGATTAGCGCTGGTACAGTAGGCTGCTTGTAATGCTGAGGACAGGGTTTTGCATCAAAACATGAAGCAACAAACAACCGACAGACTGTGTTGGAAGATGAAATAGACAAATGGTCACAAAATAAATGCTGTAGATCAAAAGCTGATTCTTGCTTGAAAAAAATCTTAATACAATGAATTACTAAACATACTTCTCTAGCACTAATTACATCTAGCATCATTAGCACAACATTATCTCAAGGACCAAAAATCGACTTGCTTAGAGACGTGCGCCAGTTGCCCCAAGGTGTATAAAAAAAGCCAGATATGTATTATTTAAATTCTTCTTACCGCATGCACCGACAGGTTGATTGAACTTTCGAGGAAAGATTTCAAAGAAGTGTGCCGGCTATCCTAATGAAAACGATTATTTAAACTCTCCTGCTTTGTTTACATTCAAAACTCTGGCATTGACTCTTCTCATAGTTGTCGTCTTTTCTTTTGCACTAATTTTGATTCTGCATCTTATTTTGTCCTTTAGCACCTTGTGCTTAAAACGGTTAAATATAGCCCTGAAAAAGCTACAAAAACACAACACATCGCAAGGACAAGTTATTTCAAGCACACCCCAGCGTGAAGCATTTGAGGGTCGATTTGACATTTAAACTTTTTATTTATTGTAAATCTTGTTAATAACCTGTTTTAACTTTTTTTTTTTTGACAAGTTATCTGATTGCATTAAAGGTAGGGTAGGTAAGAATGGAGAAACCAGCTCGAGTGCACTAGAATTTGAAAATACACGAACACGCACATGACCAATGAGGGCACGAGATAAGTTTGTGCACAGATGGAAGGCTGACAGGCAGGTAGGCCATCCAGTTACTTTAGCCGGGCCGGCTCAGATGATTGGTCGTGCTTTTTACAGCACCACGGCTTCCACAGATGACATTTTAATGTATTTATTGTCAAAGCATTTCATGTATTCATTGCTATCGGGATGTTAAGAGCATTCCATGGAATATAACAACAAGTGTTTCTGAAGTGAATTACCTACCCCACCTTTAACACCCCTACTGCTTGCTCTTTTTGGACTCTTGTTTGAAGGCTATGCACGTGAAGCCAAATCAAAGAAGAAAACAACAGTAATAACAGTTGAAAGGAAATCCAAGGTGTAACAAAGAAGATAACCATAACTGTAACCAAGGTGGTTTAGAAAGGTGTGAATCAGGTCAAAGGAGAATGATGCTGGAAGCAAAGAGGGCATCCCCCCAAAATATTCCCAACCTGCACCTGCTTGCAAAACGGGAGGCACCAGAACCACCTTGTATGTGAACACAGAAAAACCATCTTTACCCTAAAAGGCTGATCGGGGATGAAGGGAAAGTAGTCGGTGGACGCCTCCTCCGCGGTCCACTTCCCAGCGATGCGGGCGCTGCGCATGAACTGACGGTCATTGAAGCGGGCGGTGAGTTTGAGGGCCACGTCGTGCAGAGTGTCGTCCTTCTCCGAGTCACGACCACAGGTCAGGCTCACGTCAAAGCTGAGGGAGGAGGGGAACAGAGGAGTCAGACAGGCAACATATGAGACCAATAACTAATCTGGGATAAGTCAAATGCATAAACCTGCTGTAAAAGCAAACCTATTGTTGTTAATTATGCATAATCCCTGCTGCTAGTTTGTGTTTGCCCCCCTTCCCCAACAGCTGTGGTGTGAACACACAACCTTCTTTGTGTGAGACATGATTGCAGAATCAGAATCCAGTTTATCGCCAGATACTTTTGTTATGGTGTATGGTGGTGCAAACATAAAAAACATTTGAAAATAAGATGTAAGGGGTCAAAAATATAACGGTTAAAACGTTAAAAAGGTTCAAATCACTTTTTCATTAAAAAAAAAGAAGACAGACAAATATTTACACCAAATGTAAATATACAAAAGAAACTAAAAGACAAATATATTTAAAAAGTATTACGATGAAGATACAGTACAGTAACAGTAACCAACTTGATGAGATGCAACAAAGAAAAAATCTGTTTCTTAGAGCCTCTCAGCAGCCGGGACATTCACATGAACTTTGGCATGAAAAGTGCCAGCAGCAGCAGCAGCAGCAGCAGCCTCTCAACATGATGAAGTCATCGGGAGGTTTCTTCCAAGTTTGACACAAGTTTCCATATAGGGTGAGGACACACCCAAAGCAAGTCTGCTTCAATGGCTCTATTTTTTCCATGTTCCCCCCTTTTTTTGTCCCTGCTGGTTGGGGAACGCCCTTGTCTCTGCATATTTAAGAAGCCACTATTCTCTGAAGCTGCCCATGCATTACTCACTGTGTCCTGGAGTGGATGTGCAAGTAGTTTAAGAACAAAACCACTTGAATAGGATGTTTTAAACATGGTGAATAAGCAAGCCTCTTGATAGGGACTCTGCATGCATTGTTAAGTGTTATTTTACCTCTCTGGCTCCAGTTCGACTATGCCCATCACTATAATCTTCTTCCCCGGCCGCATGCCTCCCCGGATGCGTCCACTGAACGGCACCGTCTATGCAAAGCAATGTGAATGTATTAAGCAGAGCATCAAACAAGGACATATGAGATCCGTGAAGGCATCTTTCCTACCAGCAGGCGGGAGATTTCCTTGTCAGGTGAGATGAGGCCGGGGTTCCTCAGCGAGTCGTTCAGGTGGTCGTCCTCCACATTCTTCAACACCAGTGACAAAAGACACAGGATGCAAAATGTCATTTACCGCTCCAACAGGTAGGATATATTAAGAACATGTCAGGTTAAACACAAAGCACCAGGTTTATTGATACAAATGTGGCCTTGCATGCGGTTCTTCCCAAACAATGAGGTGGTAGCACAACCTGTCATGTTGTTTGTCCTGTTGTGCTCCATGTGAGATAATAATTTGGCCTCATAAAAAGCGAATTAAACGCGATAAATTAGCTAGTGGAGCCGCTTAAGTATGCACTCACCACCGATACATTTCACCGAGAGCATATTGGATTTCCTCCCCGGCTACAGATGAAAGAGGAGCCGCTCATTCACGGCGCTAGGTGCTCCGCATTTACAATAAGCCCCGGATAATGGACCCTACGCCGCTTTGTGTTGAACCCACAGCCCTTCATGCACACGAAATTAATTCAGACACTTGTACACCCTCACCATGCTCCGTAAAAGCCCCCAAAATACTCACTATTCCGTCTTTTTCCGCTGCCTGCACCGCCATCTTGAGCAGAAGAGCATAGGATGCTTATTAAGGGAGCAGAGCTGCCGGAGTCAGTGTGTGTGTGTGTGTGTGTGTGTGTGTGTGTGTGTGTGTGTGTGTGTGTGTGTGTGTGTGTGTGTGTGTGTCAGCGGCGTGGCACTGACTCAGGAGGATATTCCTGTTCCTGCCTCTATTCTTGGGTCTCTCTCTCCTCCAGTGGTGTATTGTAATTAAGTATTCTACATTTACTCAAACACTGTACTTAAATAAAAATGTTCACATTACGCTACTTCATACTTTTTCTCCACCACATTTATTTTACATATTCAGTTACTACTTAGTAGTAGTAATTACTAGGCTACTACTAAAGCAGATGTAATTGCTTTACTTTATATTTAAATAGTAAGGTAAAGTAACTAAGTACATTTACTCAAACACTGTAGGCCTACTTACGTTTTTTTTTAATGAGGTAGCCTACTTGTACTTTTGCTCCACTACATTTTGAAAGCAAATATTGTTATTTTTCACTTAACTACATTTACTTTACATATTTAGTTACTTTGCAGATGTATTTACAGTCAGGCTACTTTATATTTAAATCATGTACACACATTATAATATAATATTAAAGGTTAAGCTACAAAGTAGTATGTAAAGTAGGCTAATTCAAGTAAACCCAACTTTTACCAAGGGAAACATTGAAGTGATAACAACATAAATAGACCAATGATTAAACATTTTTGAAATATCTGGTGCTTAAAATGGCCATTTGGCATAACGAGTACTTTTATTTTAGACACTTAAAGTATTACAAATTTGAATGCAGGACAGTAAATGACTTATAATATGAGTACTTCCTCCACCTCTAGCATCATATCCCTCCGCAACACTGCATATGCAAGGGTGGATATCTGCTGACGTATGCTTTATCATCATTACTGACCAGAAGCTTAATCCCCGTCTGTTGGAGGAGGCTAATCGGACAGATTCCCCCCCAGCCTTCAGCCAATAAGGCAACGTGCCTCTTAAGGGTTTAATGTGATAGATTATACAGTGTATAATTCAATTGAATAACTGCCTTTATGTGCTTTGTTCAGGTTAAATGTGACACTGTGGTGCTCTGGCTGGCCTAATTGGCTAACGTGTGCAGTGCACAGTCAGTAGCTTACTTTGAATGATTTAACCTCTGAGGCTACACATAGCTATATTTAGATCAGTCATAGTGGTGAGCCTGGAACATTAATTACTTTTCATTGAATGTGTACATCCACTTTGCCTCCCTTTTTAATTGATTTTTGCACAAACACCCCCTATCCTCCCTCTATCTGTCCATCCCTGTGCATAACATCCATATATTCAGTGTAACAGGTGACTATTCTGCCCTATTCCCATATGTGGAACTTTGAATGCATTACAAGCTCTTGTTCTTTTTTTATATGAGACTTTATTGACCACACATTGGGACATTGTTTTGTTACAGCAGCATGTAAACAAGGCATTGCACATTGAATTAAACATTGAATTAAATACAAATAACCAGTACATATAGACACATTAACAGTAGAAAGATACACATTTATTGATGACATATAGAGTATACAATATAAATACACAGAATAGGTTAGGGGATCGACTAAACAAGATCAACTTACCGACAAAAAAATATAAAGATAGGATACTATATACAGTTTTTTCCATATCTGACACTTCAGTCGATTACAAGCTGTTTATATCAGGGATTTAATTCATGCATAAGTGATTACACTCATGTCTCTTATGGTAATACAACCTTTGCTTCTCAGGGCCGTCTTGTGGTTTCTTTAGGAACTACATCTCAAACCATATTTTAAAAATAACTTGTTGACAAATGTTCTCTGCAGAGTTTCGATGAAAGAAGAAATGTCAAACATGCCTGGGATGGACGTGTGGAAACATTTGACCTCTTTCAGGATGAACCAGTTGGAAACATGTACGTTCCCTGAGGAAGTGAAGGAGAAGCGCTCCCGAACAAGACCCCTGACAGCGGACACACAATACTGAAGGTGAGTCTAAATGAGGTGACTGCAGTCACTGCTACAGGCAGGCTGCTAACACTGCAAAACATATCAATGACATCCTCTTATTTGGTGTTCGGCATATGTGCACAATATACATTAAATAACTGGTACTGTATTGTGTATTTTGTAAATTGTGTAATTTCTACTTTTTCATGCATGCTTCTTAATTATATGAAGCTATCTTTGGCTCTTTACTTGCTGTTACAATGTACATTTACCCTCTGTGGGACGAATAAAGGTTTCAGATACTGATTCTGAATAAGTTAAATTGGATCCAAGTTATTTTCTTCAGAACAACTTGGGAAACAGACACAGGAAAATAACTTCACAAAGGGCCAAAGACGATAACCAAGTGATTCCATTTAACCAATTTGGTATTTTATTAATTTAGTTTAAAACAAACATGATGAATAACCTCAACATTGCATATCAAATTACATGTCAATTAATATCGTATGGCATTACTGTATCTTTCAGCATCCTGAAGTCGTTTTTTTCTTCTAGTTTTCTTCCTTTAAAAGTGCATTCTCTCACAGCCCCAGTTCTTCAGAGGCAGTGTTAGTCAGTAAATGAGGTGCTTGAGTCCCTCTGGAGTTTCCTGAAGCAACACGTTCCCTCCTGAGCTGCTTCAGTGATTAACTCTTGTTTTGAACTCCATCTTGTGGTTTATTTGGGTACTACACCAACATCTTAAACAATTATTTCAAATGTGTAAATCACATTTTTGTTATGTTATTATCAGCAGCCCTTTACAGTAAACGGTTATATTGTGTGGTCTGCAGCACAAATACACTTTGGCCTAAAATTAGCATAAGCTACACAAAGTAAAACATCAGTATTTTTGGACTTATTTTTGTATTATTTATTTAATGTTTTCTTGTAATGGCTCTGTAGAAACAGCTGAAATGACAATGAACATGTGAAAAACTAACGACAAAAGTGTGAACATGTTCGTACAATAAACTGGAATAAAATCGAAGTTAAAAAAAAGAAACAAGTAAATCCTGCAAAAATCCAATATGTTCCTAGTCAGTCGTTTCTAAGACTGTGAGCGTTTAACACAGCAAGAATCTTGAGTATAAACATCTCCCACAGTGCATCCCCCACCCTCCCTCCTTCTCTCTCTCCCTCTCTCCTCTCTCCTCTCTCCCCCCTCTCTCCTCTCCTCGCAGAGCTCCAGCCGGTGTCTGGTCCCTCCCCCCTGCTGCTGCCATGGCCGCGGAAGATGCCGGTCGGGATGCTGAGACCCCCGGACCTGCTGAAAGCACCGAGATGGACGAACGGGTAAGATTTATTTCGGATCATTATGCAAAAATAATGGAAGTCGAGACTCGACAGTACCAGGCCTCCCGGTATCTGTCACGCTGCTGCAGCAAGATGGAGAGGCTGCTGCAGGATGCACCGACGCAGAATGCCCGTTATCTGGTTTTGGCACAATATCTAAGGAGGTAATGTGTGGTTAGAGGAAGCAGGATGAGCTGTATCGTACACGTGAAGCGAGAAAAGGGATCCATGTGACGCGCTGGTGTGGAAAGCAGAAGTGCAGCAGCTGGTCGGTGCAATGCATGCAGGGTTCAGAGCTGATAAACACCGGACACACAGAGGCCGTCCTCCCGCAGTTTGGGTTGCTCCCCTCTCGTTTGCGGCTGATTGAAACTCGCCTGTCGAGACCGGTTTCTTCCGCTGGTCGGTGACACGAGTTGGCAACAACTTGGCAGGTAAGGTAGGAATTTTCCTGCAGATCAGAGTGTGAATGAGAGCGGCTTTGTTGGGCTGATTGAGGCCACTATCGGAGCACCAGGAGAGCCTGCTGCAGATGTGCTTATAAGCCTGCTTATTATTGGATGATGGTTGGAAGAGTGAGACTGCAGTTAAACCCACTTTATGTTATTGATTTGATCACAAACTGGAGTAGGATGGGTCACATTATCAAGCAATTAACATGTCTAAATGGCAACTTGCCAGAGCCTAAAGGGATATTTTCAAGGGATATGAAAAGCCATGTTAGTATTCTAAAGTAGACATTTTATGACATGCAGGAAACAGTGACTTGGGTGAATCTGACAACATCTGCAACGATCAAATATATGTTGTTTTTGTGCAAAATGGCTACAAAAATAAATAGATAAAAAATAGATAGAATTCCATTTCTGTTGTTAATGTATTGTTGTGAGCATACCGGTTAGAGTCTCTTGAGAAGGGTGTGTTTGTTTGAGTGAGTTTGTGTGTGTGTGTGTGTGTGTGTGTGTGTGTGTGTGTGTGTGTGTGTGTGTGTGTGTGTGTGTGTGTGTGTGTGTGTGTGTGTGTGTGTGTGTGTGTGTGTGTGGCCTATCATTACTATACTTGTGGAGACCTAAATCTGTTTACACAGTCATGTGTGGGGACTCGCCTCCCTTAGGGTGACTTGGTTAGGGTAAGGTTAAGGTTAAGGGTTAAGGGTTAAGGGTTAAGGGTTAAGGGTTAGGCATGTGTTGGTTATGGTTAAGGTTAGGATAAGTCTCCAGGAAATGCATGTAAGTCAATGTAAGGTCCCCTGAAGTGATGAATACATTGTGTGTCTGTGTATGTGTGTGTGTGTGTGTGTGTGTGTGTGTGTGTGTGTGTGTGTGTGTGTGTGTGTGTGTGTGTGTGCGATGTATACTGTGTGTGTGTGTGTGTGTGTGTGTGTGTGTGTGTGTGTGATGTATACTGTGTGTGTGTGTGTGTGTGTGTGTGTGTGTGTGTGTGTGTGTGTGTGTGTGTGTGTGTGTGTGTGTGTGTGTGTGTGTGTGTGTGTGTGTGGGTGTGTGTGTGTGTGTGTGTGAGGTGGTATTATTTAGAGGAAAGCGTCCGTTCTCCAGCTGTCTCCGGGTGAACTGAACCTGTTCTTCCACATTAGTTCTGTGGGCGGAGATGTTTGTGTCACATGCTCTTTAGTTTCTTCAGTCTCACAGTTTACTCATCAGCTGCTGTACATCCTTTCCACTTCTCCTCTTTCTTACCATATTCTCTCAGGGTGAGTGGTTTCTGAGTTTCTGTGTGTTTGTCATTAGCAGTCGGTGTGTTTACCTGTAGATGATTATATCTTTTATCGAGTTTTGTCTCAGATGATGGATCTTAACTGGGTTTGAAATGAGATCTGTCTTTGTGTATATTCTGCAGTGCAAGGCTTTAGTGTCAAAGGTGAGGCCAACCAAATGGGCCAGATTACGCAATGCAAACCCCATAATCTCCTCACTGTTGATTGAGAGATGTTGGATTAAAGGAGGGAGTTAGTTGGAGAACCCGGGAAAGCCCGTCAAAGAACGTGGCTGTTAGAGATTACTGGCAAAGGATTGTTTTATGACCCAAATACTCTGTCTGCTGCAGCTGGACAAGATGCATAGAAACCACGCGGAAGATATAGTATTCTTTATCATGTTGTTGTGCCAGAAGTGAGATTACACTCGTTTCACGTCCCCTTTTTTTATTCATAAAAATAGACCAACCTCTTTCAGTGGTTTGAGGACTGGCTTACTTAGAAAAATGGTTTGCATTTCTTTCAGATGCTTACAGTAAAGTATTTTTAAACTACCATCACTCTTGGAGGCTGTGGCTCAGTGGATAGTGTGCTGGACTTCGAATCAGGGGTAGCATGTTCGAGTCCCACTGCAGTCAGCATGTCGTTGAGTCCCTGGGCAAGACACTTCACCCCAAATTGCTCCTGTGCGGATTGTCCACAGTACTGAATGTATGTAAGTCGCTTTGGATAAAAGCTAATGTAATGTCTGACTGATGGAGGTATAAACCTCAGGAGGTAAACACAGTCAGGAGGCAGATGCTTTGTTCCTCAGGAATTTGCAGCTGCAACTTACTCACTGTGTTCAAAAAGTGTTCGTTGATGTGTTCTCACCCTCGTTTAAGGGGTTTTATACTCCTACAAATTGAAGGGAGGATCACAGCAACATATTATGTGTCTAAGAGCTTAAGTATTTGTGCTTTTTTCATCTTGTTTAATATGTATGGAACATCTTCCTGTATCTGATAACAAAGCAAAGGAGGAGGGACACTCCCTTCCCGCCAAATTTGCTTTTATGTATACAAAATGAAACTGATTCTGCCTCTGACTGATGCACATGTGTGAATCTGTAAGATCTCGCTGTCATTTTGTCACATTAGCTCAGTTTAATTTGGTGAAATGCGCTGTCAGACAGTCATGAAGATCAGCTGTGCTGTTTAATAAGGTCTTGTCCTCTCTTCCAGCTGAAGGAGGGGAACATGAAGGCTGATCTGGAGGCTTCTCTGCCTTCTGGGCCGGAGGATTTTGCGATCCAGTGTCGAGATGTGGGTCGGTCGTACGGCAAGATGAAGGTCCTCAACAACCTGAACCTGAGCGTGCCACAGGGACAAATGTGAGTGCAGCACTGAATACAATCTGTGGTCATGGCTGTGATTTACACTCTGTTTTACTTATGAGTGATAAGTCATTTATCTGTTTATCTCTGACAAAACTAAACCAGACTTCAAAAGTGGATTCTTCTTCATCTGTTCTTTTGCTTGGACATTTAACAAGTCTGGTCAATAAAATACAACTCCTTTTACAATGGCTGTCTCTTAAAAATAAGTGATAAGGAAACAAGAAGAAGGGAGACAAGGAGTAAATGAAAAATTCTTAAACATAAACACAGAATTATTGAAGCAACCCACATTTTGATAAGATAAAGTTGTATTGTTTGCCTCCACTTCCCACTGAAGAGGCCGCAGCAAAGGACTTTTCCCTCATCATGCAAATACGTTTTTGCATACTGGGTGAGGTGTCCACTTCCTGTCTGAAACCAGTCTACTCATGTAGTTTGTTGTCAAATATCAGCAGGGAGACGTTTCTTTCAAACTCTTTTGGCTTTTTTTATATTCATTAAAAGAGAGAAATAGGCTGAACAACAGGCTGATCATGAATTGTAGTTTTCTTTCAACTCTAACCAGAAAACTGTGGTGAAGAGCGCGATACTTGCCTCTTGATTAATACATTCTGGGGGGAAAAGTATAACCCTTTATCCAACAGGTGTTTATAAGTATAGCATAGCAGGGTGCAATGTAATCTTCTGCTGTTGTGTTTTGACTGACAGTAACTTACACAATGTCTTTCAGGGCGTGTTAGCCTGCAGTCACTGTCGAGCTTTATCCAATATAGTCATCTTGTTATCTTCGGTGTAGGTGCTTACATAGACGCTATCTACTTCCTTTTTTTGAAACACTGATGAGGAACTCTTTAAGCTTCTTCAATGAAACAGAAACTACACTTCCTCTAACATGCTCCACTAGTTTAATTACACACATGTGATTACTGAATATACTAGTTAGAGCTTTGAGTGTTTGCTACTAATTTCATATACTGTTAACTCTAAAAACACATGATATAATAACAAAATAACATCAACTCTGACAAAATTACCCTGAGAGACTTTTTTCTCCAATTACTTCACTACTTCAGACTGTAACAAAACTACTGTGAAAAATCCCTCATATGTGCAATATATACTTTCTACATTTTATTAACGGTATTACTGCTACTACCATACTTTTTTATATTCACTTACTCCTCATATAAATATACTAATAAAGTATTTCTGTTTCTGAAATGCTGTGTATTCTGTGTTGCAGTTATGGTCTTTTGGGCCCCAGTGGGTGTGGGAAAACCACATTACTGAAATGCATCGTGGGAACTTTGAAGATCTCACGGGGTCACATCAGCGTTTTGGGGAAGCCTCCTGCGTTCCCTGGTCATCACGTGCCAGGCAGGATGGTCGGGTACATGCCGCAGGTAAACACCTTTTAAAATGTATCTTCCATTGAAATGTGTGTACACGAATACACACCATGCATTTAGTCCTGCATGAAATATTTGTAAAAGCCACAAAACGATGCAAATCCGAGGCGTTTAACCTCCTTGTTGTTTGCACGTATACACACACACAAAAAACAGTAAGAAGTAAGAGCATTATGCAGGAGAGGTTAAACGGCCACCAATGGCTTATGAAGATACTGCCCCTATTAAATATCCATACTGTAGTCATAACTAAAAAGATAAAGGGTAAACATATACAAACAAAGATTGCATAATTTATCAAGTCATTCAAGTTACAGTAATTTAACATAGAAGTTGAGAAGTTGAGTCGTATAACAATAAAATCCATGAAGTGTTATAAATCAAATTTAGTTTTTTAAATAAGGATAATCTAGACCAAAGTGATGGAAGTAGGTTGTCCCTGCTTAACTACATTAAATTCAGGTTTAATTAGAGTTAAACATTTCTTTGATTGGCTCTTTTTTTAAATATGCAGATGCCAGGTCAAATGATTTGCAGCTCTTTGTTAGCATCCAGTCCAATTACTTAGCTTACGAATGGTCATTCTGCCAGAATAAAGCGTTTACAAATGGTCAATATCATAACCATCTGAAGTGTGGTGGAGGGTTAGGGTCACTGAGGTCTACATTAAGTACCCTACTCCTTTGTTTTAGCTTCTGTGAGTGACCTGGACTCTAGTGTGTCTTGTTAGGGAATCATTTCTACCTGCATGTCCTCCTTCGCCCTCCGTTATCTCCCTTAAGGAGGGGCTGCCCTAGCAAATTGTTGTTGTCTCTCGGTCAGAGATAGGTATTGTTGTGGGACACCTGGAATACATCCTTCTCGGGGTGTAGATGACCCCGAGCCATAAGCGACAACAAACGTGATTCAGTGTCACCAGCTGTTTAGTCTATCTATTGAAGAATATTGATTATTACACTCTGAACTAGTTAAAACCTGGAACTACAGGAGGGGTCTTCAGAATTGATTGTGGCATCTCAACCGTGTGGTCAGCCCGTGACATGTCTTGTGAATTCTCCGGCCGAAGCTCCAAATAAACCGTCAGTGTTTGCCATCAAAGCTCCAGCTCTCCTCATGTCTCTCTCTGAGTCCTGACTCCAATTGCTTCAGAAGTTTCCCCCACATGTCTCATTACTGTCCCACTGGATACCTGATGAGGCTGATAACACACAGTGAGCGTCCTCCCCTGTGTAACGCTCAGCATCACATTGTCCCTTAAGGGAGTGGTCTGTGACCCGGAGAGGATGAAAGGTGACACCCCAGGGTGCTCCTAAGGGTGCTACTGTACTGTAGTCGCTGTGAAGTACTGAAACGCTGGCAACATATAATATATCATCATGATTTGTTGTTACAGAAACATTATTATTGCCATTTCATGATACTCTGTGATACTGAATACTTTCTCAGATTTGGCTTGTCAAGCTTCTTTTATTAGTTGATAAAAGTTACTCTGATATCCCTTAGAGCAGGGGAGTCAAACTTAAATCCACAGTGGGCCAACATTACAAAATCGATACTAGTCGAGAGCCGGACGGGTTCAATGTTTATTGCAAAACTTATTGAAATGAACTTATTGCACATATTAAATCTGGAACTACCAAAGCTTAAATTATTGCCTATAAAAACAATATGAAACATTAAATAATCAGTTGCGTTCATTTCTTATGGCTCTATCTGCAGCTTTTCCAGAGTCATTTCCTATGAGTACATTTCTCCACAGGCCAACAACAGCTTAAAAAAAACTATTTCCCTCAAATAAAAAACCAAACATGCCCTGTTGTCTCAAGAAGGAAACATCCATGTAAACTCAGTGTGCTGCTCTGTGATGCTAGTTCAGATACTTGGCATCTCATCTTGGGTGCAAGTTCATCAATGTTTGGGCTCAGGCTCTGAGCTGAGGAAATCCTCAGGATGGAGTGAAGGTGTGCGTGCAATATACCGGCGGGCCAGATCTAATAGTAATTAGAAATTATCCTGCGGGCCGAAATTAAATCCACCAAGGGCCTGATTTGGCCCCGGGCCTTGAGTATGACACATGTACTGTAGAGATATCCTTCAAACTTTTGTTTTAATATTTAGGTACCAACATCTGTGTGTCTTCTTGTGGAGTATGTATTGAATTTTCCAAATAACTTCCAAAAAATCATTATAAAATCATGTATTATGTTTCTAAATGTGTAGCATTAAAACAGGGATCAACTTTTTATTTAGGTGTCGTCAGGCCATCCTCAAAAGATAGTATATCAAATGTAAATATAGAAAAAAACAAGGGAAAGGAGGGTTTGGTTTGCAAAGAATTTAATAGCATTATGATTATGTTCAGGTTAATGTTGGAGTTACTCCTGGCGATCAAAAAGCTGGGGGGTTCAAAGCATATAATGTTTGCTATCAAGTACTACCTGTCTTCGCTGTGATAAAAACGTCTACACACATACGTCTTTGACACGTGGTTGTGCTTGTTTGTCGCCCAGGAGCTGGCGTTGTACAGCGAGTTCACCATCAGTGACACTCTCAGTTTCTTCGGCCGAATCCACGGCCTGACGTCGAAGGAAACCAAGGCTCGCACGGATTTCCTCATTGACTTCCTGGATCTACCTCAGAAGCACAGCCTGGTCCGAAACCTCAGGTAAAAACACATGTAGCACTTTGTGATTTACAACTTAAAATCTCTAGAGATGTTGGCTTTTCTACATGCAGGGCTGAAGGTAGGACAGGCCATTTGATTGTGCATGGGTTTATTGTGAAACCAAGGCAAGGCAAGTTTATTTATATAGCACCTTTCAACACAAGGCAATTCAAAGTGCTTTACAAAAATGAAAGACATTAAGACAATGGCATTTAAAATCAGTCATTAAAAAGAAAAGATAATAAAATAAACATTAAAAGAAAAAATACATGGATAAAAGTTACAGTGCAGTTTAAGATGTGAATAGTTCAATTAAAAGCAGCGACAAAAAGAAAAGTCTTCAGCCTGGATTTAAACCACTCACCTTTAGTTCTGTAGTTTGCTTTCATTTGCTGCAGGTGCACTTTGGACAACAACATGGTGAATCAATAAAGAATATGTACATTTTGATGTAAGACAACTACTACGACTACGACAACTTTTACCTAAATTAATTCAATGATTAATTCGTGCAGTTCTTTGCAGTAAAATGACATTTTGTGCTTAATGAAACACAGACAGTGTTTTAAAGATGTTTAGGTGTGATGTGGCAACCTGAAGCCAAATGTAGTAAATCCCCAGATACGATCTCCAGTTTATGAAGTGAGTCTACAGACGCCTGTGGACTTTGACACCTAAATCACCCAAAAATGACGTGCACTGCGCACACAGACAAACATCATCCGTCTCTCCTCCACAGGTTGTATCTTAGTGAGCATAACACATTACGACTGTTTGATGAGTAAACAAACAAATGTCAAATAGAGACTTTGCTTTGGATAAAACTCTCACCATGAAACCACTTTAATTTTTGCATCAGTGTTGCCAGATTTGAGTGTGTCCACGTAGCTCTGTCAGATTTTAAAACCATCTCAATCGTCCTAAATTAACCTCTGTAGCATTAGAATTAGCATTAGCATTTCTATCCTCTGCGATAGTATGATATTTGTTATTTAGCGGGATGTCCTAGGTTATTTACTGAAGAAATCATAGAGAGCTTGGTTGGAAATACATCAGTGGAGGCGTGTGGCGCAGTGGACTAGTGCGTTGCTGTTGGGATCAGGGGAGCACAGGTACAAACCCCACTGCAGTCAGCATGTCGTTGTGTCCCTGGGCAAGACACTTCACCCCAAATTGATAATGTGGGGATTACCCACAGTAATGAGTATGTAAGTCGCTTTGGATAAAAGCGTCTAACATGTAATGTATACATGTTAATTAAATAACAGAAGAGAAGTACAAAAGGTAGCCCAAAACCTGTGTTCCCTGCCCGATCAAATGAAAAGGAGCTCAATCTTGCCTCACTGGATTGTTTGCTTTGGTTTAGCCATCGTGTCAAAGGTCCATTTCCTCCATAAAAGGTTAAATTGAGGAAACATGTTAAGTTGCCAGAAGTATATTACTCTATGGTGTTCAGTTACATGAAGTCCCACTTTGTGCTATAAAGTCTTAAAGGAGACCTATCATGCAAAATGCACTTTTTGATGTCTTTTATACATAAAGATGTGTCCCCGGTGTGTCAGGGAACTCACGCAGCGTCAGAAAATAAAACCCTCTCTCTTTTCCTCCGTACCCAAATCTCTAAAAACGGGGGTACAACGGAGCTGATCCAGATTTGCGTCCGATATGACGTAATATCTGAAATGTGGACCCACGGCCCTATCAGAAACGTTGCTATCAGAAACAATGCCCGACTGTTTTGGACGTAATATGGTCGGTGTTTACATTAGCATCGCTAACACTCAGAGCTAACCTGTACTGGAGAGCATGTGTGTGAAGAAGCAGGAAATAAAAAGGAACTCACCTTGTGGTATAACCGGCAAGAGAGAAAGCCTTTGAGCTCCAAACTGTTTCAGAAAGAATCCTTGGTAATCCATGATATGGCGTTTCATCACGGCAGTATTTAGTTTAGACAGTAGCTGCTGGGTCCCGCATGAGCTCAGCCCCCTCCTTTTTGTTTTAAAGCTTTATACCCCAAATCATCACTTTTGAAACAGGAAGTGAAATGGAGGGATATGATGCATGTCTAGAATGGGTGATCTGTTTGGTATTTTGAGCAAAACACTTCATAGACATGTTTTTTATATATTTTTATATATCTGAGAGCTATGCTATTGCCTAAAAATAGCATGATAGGTGACCTTTAAAACGTTGTATACCTTGTGCACACCTGATATTAACTTATTACTCTTTCACCAAAGATTAGCAGTTCTGAATTGCAGCACATGTGTATTGTCCCTAAACACATGATCATATCTGCAGAGCCTTGTTTTGTGTTCCCAAATAAACCTCAGCTATAATCAGTTCCTTAAATGGAGCTGCTTTCCACAGAGACACAGACTGTGACTGTAACTTTGCTCACAGACCCTATAAGGAAAGGATCAAGAAATAGATTTAATCAAATATTTCTGTTGCATTCCTGCTTTCAAGTTATTTTTGAAAATGTGCATTTAGTCTTAATGTGAAACCATGCTGCAAGATGTCCTAGAAAAAGCCTTGCACACAGAGAGAGATCAATAAAAACAGTACTTTATAAGAACTACTTTCATAATCATCTCATATTCCTGCTCCTAATTCACATCCCGGATAATTACAAAGACTTCCTCCAACCTGCTTTCATTCACTGGAGCCCTTCATGTAATATTTACGTGGTGCTTTGTGTATCACGGCAGCAGCAGAGAGCTTTCCCGGTGAGAAGGATCTGTGTTTTTGTTTCTGAGATGACTTACGTGACTTGTTGTTGAAACTGTTCCCTACGCAAAATATGAAAGACATTCCTGGTATGAACACACCGTGTGGCACGCGGGATCATCAATCAGCCGGTTTATGCTTCATATTCTTCTTTTGTCTTTAAAACAAGTAGAATGAATCAGGTAATTTTATTTGCCGTCAAATTAATTTGTAAAAAAAGGAAAGTTGTTTTTGTTTTATGATATCAATACATTAATGTAAAGTTGTCTTAATGCCAATTCCTCCTTATGTTCTTCGCTCAGGTCTTGTTGTTTTTGTCGTCGGGCCGGTTCGCCCTTCAGGATTGGCTCTGCTGCGGCACACTGAAAAAAGTGAAGCATTGACTTTAAGTAAATGTAATCTGTTGACATAATACATTTAATTAAAGTCAATGCTTCAGTTTCTTCAGTGCATGCACAGAGCGGGAGATTATTCATCTCGGACGCCCTTTAACTCTTTTGTCTGTCTCACTTCCCATTTTCTCTGTGTGTGTGTGTGTGTGTGTGTGTGTGTGTGTGTGTGTGTGTGTGTGTGTGTGTGTGTGTGTGTGTGTGTGTGTGTGTGTGTGTGTGTGTGTGTGTGTGTGTGTGTGTGTGTTTCAGTGGCGGTCAGAAGCGCAGAGTGTCTCTGGGTGCGGCGCTTCTTCAGAACCCCGAGCTGCTCATTCTGGACGAACCCACCGTGGGAGTGGACCCTGTGCTCAGGGCGAAGTATATAACACACACACACACACACACACACACACACACACACACACACACACACACACACACACACACACACACACACACACACACACACACACACATTATATCTATTTTTACTGCACTGTTCGTGTACAGTTTTATTATTATTATTGTGTTGCTGTATTTATTGTATTTTTGTAACTCTGGCACAACAATTTCCTTCGGGATCAATAAAGCCTTGTCTTATCTTAAAACAATAAGTGCAATCAAACATGTGTGGGTACAGCCAAAAAAAGCAGGAACGATCAACTTCGAAATATCCAAATATGCTGATCTATTTCAAGTGCTCAATTTAGAGACAAAAGGAGAAAGAGGTTATGTGTTTTTAGTTTGTATCAGTGTGGTATCATGAGCATGTCCACTGTTCTCCAGTTTAGTTCCCCCTTAGGAAAGGAACGCACAGCCCTGATGTTTATATAAGCTATAAACATCAGTCATTTCACAAATCCCCCTTATAAAAACATTAAAAACTAAAGGGAGATTTATATTTATGGCCAGAATATATTAAGCTAGTTGTAACAACGGCAAAAGACCTGCATGTTAACTCATTACTAACTTGTCATTTTTCAGCCTTATTTGTTTCTAAAGATAAATGATGTTTTCAAATAACATTTCCAATTGAGCTTCTAACTTCCATCTTTCTTTCTTATTCACTTGTTGTAGAAAATCTGTCAGAAACCTTGTTAAAAGCAAGCTGCTCTTGCTCAGTATGCAGCTCCCGTCTGGTTGTTTAAAAGTAGCTCAGAGCCTCAGCAGATCCGTAGCTTGGCAGGAAAACTTCTGCTGGCGAAGCTGTGAGCTCTTTCTGACTGAAAGTTTAGGAAAACACTCCTACGGATTAGAAGGCGTTATGTAATCTGTTGGGTTCCTCCGCTCTTTCCTCCAGGATCTGGCAGCATCTGGTGGAGATTGTGAAGACGGGGAATGTCTCTGTCATCATCACCACACACTACATCGAGGAGGCCAGGCAAGCCAATGTGGTGAGATACTGTGTACATGCATGGACACACACATACAAACACACACACACACACACACACACACACACACACACACACACACACACACACACACACACACACATTACATTGACTTACATGCATTTCCTGGAGACTTATCCTAACCTTAACCAACACATGCCTAACCCTTAACCTTACCCTTACCCTAACCCTAACCAAGTCTTCACCCTAAAATTAATGATTCCCCTTATGGGGACCTCCATTTTGTCCCCATAAGGGAGGCGAGTCCCCACACGTGATTGTGTAGACAGATTTAGGTCCCCACAAGTATAGTAATGCTAGGCCACACACACACACACACACACACACACACACACACACACACACACACACACACACACACACACACACACACACACGAAACATCGATAGAACAAAGCACTATGTCCGCACCGGTCCGCATGTTTCATAAAGAAAACAGTGAGTCCATTGATATATGCATCTTATTATAAGTTTAATCCTGATTAGCTTTGACAGGAGGAAAAAAGCTTCCAATGGAGTTTGTATAGGCGCTCTATTTTGAATGAACTAAAGGTTTGCTCATATTTTTAGTTACTAGTTTAGTTTTAGAAGATACAATGAATAGAAGCTACCAACAAGATCCAAAGCCAAAACAATTGTGTTCCTTTGTGCCATAAAGCTCCATTATTGTTGTAAAAGCATTCAAAATGTATTTTATGCTGACCCTTCTTACACCATCGTGCTGCTGTAAATACTAACTAAAGCACCACACGTGTACTAATCCACCTCTGAAAATAGTCCCCCACAAATGCTGTTTGAGAAATGTTTGGAGTCCGGACTCAAAGAGAGACACGATGGAGAGCTGGAGATTTGACGGCAAACACTGACGGTTTATTTGGAGCTTCGGCCGGAGAATTCACAAGACATGCCACGGTTTGACCACACGGTAGAGATGCCACAATCAATTCTGAAGAGCCCTCCTGTAGCTCCAGGTTTTAACTAGTTCAGAGTGTAATAATCAACATTCTTCAATAGATAGACTAAACAGCTGAGGACACTGAATCACATTTGTTGTCGCTCAGTGGCGTTTCTATATGTACAAAAGTGGTGGGGCACAAAAAACTTAGATGTCTATATATAAGCTTCTGCAGTGAGGTTCATGGCTGGTGAGGCACTGGCACTGACTCTTCAGGTTTACAAATATTATATTTTGACCTAAATCAAAATATAATATTATTTTCAAAAGCCTCTTTAGTCTGATGCTTCAATAAATTTTAAACAGACAGTTCAACAGAAGGATACCCAAAAAATGTAATTTTACCATTTACATATTGAATTGTTCTCTCTTAGTAAGATCCCATTTTCAATAAAATTGTGGTCTTACCTTGACTTGAAGATTAAGTCCATTTGCCTATCCCTCTGGACAAAAATCTCTTACTTTTTTGTAAAAGTCCTCCTTATCTTCTTGTAGTTTCAAAAGTCTATCATAAATCTAAATTGGATTTATGATTCGAAAATTATAAAAGTAGGGTATACATGTGGATATTATCCGGCTAAACAAAACGTACATTTATCTAACAGCTACGTTTCCCACAGATCTTATTTTGAGCTATTTTCTAAAATCCTATGGAGAAATCTCATTGCTTTTTTGTGGAGGGAAGCCATGCGCAGCTTACTTCCTGGTTTTAGGACACGTCTCTCTCCTCCTCTTCACACACCACACTTTTCGCGGCACACGTACTTACAGCCAATCAGCTCTGAATTATGTGAGATGACGTATGGTGGGGATGGCAGCACTATGCCCCTATGGTCATTATTTTTTGCCACACACATTAAATAGGAAAATACTCTGAGCATGCGCAGTGTAGTTTTTACAGTCACCGTTCACTTAGACAGTGAGAGGGAGGGGCAGGATCGGGTTTTGTCCCACATGGCTCTAAACAGCTCAATAGGCACACACTGTAGACACTAATTAGAAGAACACATACTAAAACAGCAATGTACAGACGAATCAGATGATTAAACATGATCTTAAAATATATTTTATATATATTTTAATTTATTTTTTGCATTTTGTTGTAATCATTATTTTAATACTTTCTGCTGACACTAGGTGGGGCTGTGCCCCACCTGCCCCTAATGACCAGTCGCCACTGTTGTCGCTTATGGCTCGGGGTCATCTACACCCCGAGAAGGATGTGTTCCAGGTGTCCCACAACAATAACTATCTCTGACTAAGAGTTGCCCGGTCACAAACTGGTAACAAAAACAAAATGCTAGGGCAGCCCCTCCTTAAGGGAGATAATGGCTGCTCAAGGTTGGGCATCTGCGTCAGAGGGCAAAAGGTAAACATGTATACAGAATTAGTCCCTTATTCCTGACAAAAGTTTGTACAGTACTTTAGGCTGCCACAAGCCAAGTTTGGTCTCTTTTGGTTTAATGTTGAAGTTAATCATGTTGGGTTATATGTTTCAATCAAACAAAGGGACGGAAATGTCCATGTTTTGCCTTTTATTTGAGTTTTAAATAGAAAGCGATGTCACCCATTAATCTAATATTCTCGCTGCTGTTTTCCTCCAGGTGGGTCTCATGAGGAACGGCCGTCTGCTGGCTGAAGGAACTCCAGAAACTGTCATGAAGATGCACAACGCCGCAGTGAGTGTGTGTTTAAACCCTGAAGGGACGTACAGACACCCAGGGGTGCTGGTAGTCAGGGAGGGGAGGTTGTTAATGGGACCACAAAGGAAGGTATAACCTGTTGTTAAGAACCTTGACAAACACTTGGACTCAAAAGAAAGTTTGTTGTTCAAAAGGTCTTTACTTTGAATAAGTATAAAGTTCAAACAAAAATCACTCCTGAGAGGCAAAACGTAGCAAAGCAGACTACAAACTAAATAAACTTGACTATGATCACAAAGAACAAAATCTCTTGGCGTGACAAGTTGGCTCTCTTAATGGCACAAGGCACAAGACGAACTGGCACAGGACAAAGGGAGACAGGACTATTTATACATGAGGTAAGTGGGAACAGGTGGAAACAATCAGGGGCGGGGCAGACGCTGACGATGGCGGGAAAACACACAAAGGGAGGAAGTAAGGGGACCTGAAATGAGAGACAAGAGGTAAGTACAAAAATAAAAGAGGAAGTGCAATGACAGGACTAGACAGGTGAACAAAAAGACTTGACTAAACATAAATCTAACCTGGGCTATGAACTAAACGTGAAACAATAACATGAACCTGATTAACATGACATGAATAATTTAGCAGACATGACGGGATGTTACACCTGTACTGTGAAACATCTCATAAACAATTCAAGCTGCTCTCTGTAGAGGCTCTGCCAACACTTTAAGCCCCTGAGGCGCCGCTTTGTTGTTATAATGGACGGGCTTATTACCTACACTGACTAATTAAAAAGTCTGATAGCAAAGTTTCCAACTGAACGCTCTGTCCGTTTGCTTTCCTGTTGAACTGTCTACCTGTCATTTGAACCAGCTTTCCAATAAGCACACAAAACATGACGTTCAGAAACACCACTAAACTTCGGCAGTGAGATGTTGCCTTGATGTATGTGTGTGTGTGTGTGTGTGTGTGTGTGTGTGTGTGTGTGTGTGTGTGTGTGTGTGTGTGTGTGTGTGTGTGTGGTCAAAAACTGTTTAACTTCTGGTCAATCCTTTGAATAAACAAACAAACAAACAGTGTATATCAGGAGCGCTAACTCACCAAGCCTACAACAGACTATGCAGATTTGTTCTTGGTTGTCCTTTTCGTACACATCACTGCACAATGTATAACCAACTTAAATGGCCTTCTTTAAATGTAAGAAGACACGCATTGGCTTCAGCTGATATCTAAATGCATGTATCTTAACTATCCCCCTTATTTAAAGCAGTATTTTGTACCCTACTCACCAATTCATCAAGTTAGACACTCTGTTCAGATTTATTTCTCTGTCCCCTCTGCAAAAAAATTGATCGGCAGAAAAGCGTTCATGTTCAAAGCCCCAACAGACTGGAATACTTTACCTGCTGCTATTGGATCTCTTGCATCATTGGGTATATTTAAACATGCATTATCATCTCACTTTCAACTGGTCTGTACTTGTTATAACTGATATTGATGAAACTGATTTGCTCGACTGTCTCAAATTGTAATGATTGTGTGCATTGCTTGAATTTCACTTAACAGACTGTATGTGGTTTGTCTTGTGTGTCATGTTTTGCATTTTGTCTTTTTGTTTATGTATGTCTGTAAGTTGTTGCTATTGTCGGGACCCCCTTGAAAACGAGATGGTGCATCTCAAGGGGTTTATCCCAATGAATAAAATGTCTATATAATTAACATGCCCCCGCTATACCTACTTTTAGTGTTTATACCTACTTTTAGTGTTTATTAAACGAGGGCCATGCATAAAAAAACCTTCAATATTCATGATCAATGCAGCTATGAGATAATGTTGATCTGATTGATAAGTTTCTGTCATGTTTACATACTGTATATTGGTAGTTTGAGCCCTCCTCACCATTATGTAAATACTGCTATATTTTACTATATTTTTCACATTTTCTATTATTTTTTATGTTGTCTTAAATAGTTCTCCATCTGTGTTTTTCATTTTTTTTTTACTTTTATGTATGCACCACGACACCGAGTCAAATGTCTCGTACGTGTCAACCTACCTGGTAATAAACCCGTTTCTGATTCTGATTAATTTTCACATCTTTCCTCAGACGCTGGAGCACGCCTTCCTGCGTCTGTGTGAGACGTCGGATCAGATGGGCTCTAAGCAGGGGGACAGTCCAGAGGGGGGGCCGCTGGAGAACAGCCAATCATTCGAGAGCAGACCAGAAGAGAGTCTGCCGATTCTCGCCGTCGGAGCGGGAACCCCAGAGGAACTTCCGAAATATTCAGGTACCAGTTCGAAACATGGGAAAAAAAGTTTCAAAAGATGACCATCATTTTTTACGAGTCTTACAATCTGCATGTTGTTTCAGGATGATACAAATGAATGGTGTGAAAAATATGTAAATATGACCGTTAAGAGGAAAGGCAGGTTTATTTATAAAGCACATTTCAACAAGGTCACTCAAAATGCTTTACACAAAACAGTAAAAGCATTTGAACAAAATAAGTAGGCTACATCATAAACATGAATATCAACATGTAATAATTTAACATATGGACATTTAAATACAAACAAATACAGCTGAAGAAGAAGATATACCTCGGTTCCATTCGGCTTATTTTCTTGATTTTACAATAAATAATATTGATAACATGGATATTTAATGTTTAATTGTGTGCATTTTACAAACTGTACCACCTTTTACAATGTGCTTATCATTGCTGTGTTTTAAAATGTGTTTGTGTGTTCAGCGGACTGGAAGGTGCGAGCCAGACACGTTATGCCCAAGTGGAGAAACATCGCCGCACTGATGATCAAAACAATGGTGCGGATGAAGAGAATGCCGGGGTATGTAACAGTTAACCCATTCAGCAACGTAGTGGACATTTGTTTTCAAGTAAACTACTGAAATAAAAGACTGAGCAAGTAACAGTTGCTGTGTCATTGGAGTGGAATCCAGTTTAAGGTCCAGTAGATGTTTCAAGTCCCCTTTCAAGAGGGGAAAATCGGAGAAGACTTCGCACAATAGTATAGCAAGTGGACGGGCCGTCCACACTACAGCTTCGACAGCTTCAAAAACGGTTTCCAACGCGTCTGCCCATTCACTTTGAATGGGGTGACGTCACGTTGCCTCGCTTTTCGCCGAACTGAATTGTGGGTAGCATAGCGGTCCGTCTCCGGCGTCAGAAGTTGAAACGCCAGAGACGCCGGAGTAGCCAGCGCCAGCCAATCAAATCCCGTTTCTGAAAATCTGACAGCTCAAGCCCTAGCCAATCAAACCGCGTCTAAGCTGGGAGATATATCCCGCCGTTCATTTCTATATTTCAAAAAAAGATGGAGGAGAAACTAATTATCGCCGTAGCAAATCACCCGGTTTTGTATGACCAGACCCTCTTCACCTACCGGGATACAAACCGGAGGAACCAGGCATGGAGGGAGGTGGCAGAGACAGTGGGTGAAACTGGTAGGTTTTCGCCTGTTTGGGGAGTTTATATATATATATATTGCTCACATAAAATCTCCGGGGTTTTTTGCTTTGTATGTCGGGGGCGAGAGATTCATGTGATTGGTTGTTGGTCGCGTTGCCAAGCTTCAGACACGCCCAGCTCCAAGCTTTTTTTGAAGCTGTAGTGTGGACGCTCCGTTACGGCCCCTACACACGGCGGCGTGCGTTGAAGCTTAAACGCTTTTACCCATTCACTTTGAATGGGGTGACGTCACGCTTCGCCGAACTGCATTGTGGGAGCAAAGCGTAACTGCGTTGCTCGCTTCAAAAGTAGAGCAATGTTCTACTTTTGAAGCTTCGACGGAAGCGTCAGCCAATCGAATCATATGCCATTACAAGCTCTAGCCAATCAAACCGCTGCTTGTGTGTCCGGGGCGGGAGATTCAGGTGATTGGTTGTTGGTCTAGCTTCAGACATGCCCGCCGGCAAGCGTCAACGCATGCCGCCGTGTGATGTGCCCACATCATTAACATAATTTCCCTTTGTGTTGGCAGCTCGTTGTGTTTCCAGTTCCTGCTGCCCGTCATCCAGGTGTCTCTGATCTGTGTTTGCATCGGAGCTGACCCAAAAGGGATCCAGGTTGCCGTGGTGAACAACGAGACCTCCCCCTCCTCTTACAGCCAATCACTGCTCTCCTTTCTGGACAACTCCAGCGTGGTCCAGGTATTTAATACTTAACTTAATCGTGCAACATTACCCGCTCATGTTTATGTGTCACAACCGAAGAGGAAGTGGGGAGTTTTTCTTTACTTACTTTTATATTTGGGCAACAGAGAGAAACACCATACTAAATGCCAGGCATTGATCACACATTGCCATTGAGCAAATCCCATCTTCTTTATAAGAGTTTACAGAATAAGGAAAGTTAATCAACAGGAAGCATCAAAGTAGTATTTCAGTAAAGCACTTGAGTAAATGTACTACTCCAGATTTGCTCCATAAATGTAATTCTGGCTTATATTATAAATATGAGTGTGTTGACACCTGAAATGAATACATAAGAAGTTTAAATCAACTTCAGATGCACGTTCATTTGATTGTGAAGATCTCCAAATGACAGGCTAATAACTGAAGCAATAGACTTTTTTTGTTCTTTGGCTTTTGCCATTTTCCGTACTGTTCTGCACTGTATTTATGTATATTGTGGGCCCACAAGATGTCGTATTCTTTGGTTTTTATTAGTCTACAACCCCTCCAGGTCACAACACCATGTCCTTGTGGTAGATTGGGGTTGAATCCCACCTTAAATGTGTCACTTCCTCCTGTTTGACTTCCTTTTTTTCACGAAACTGTGTCTAAGGGCTTCTTAACATTTATGAAACTATTAATGTTCCATAGTCACTTAATGGGAAGAAACTCAGCTAACTGACGATACGAACAATTTTTACCGAAACAAAACACAAGTCTCACAAGAAGCGTCTAAATGAGCCCTGAGCGAAAAAATGCTATCGCACTTAGCACAGAACTCACAGCTTAAATACCCTTATTACTTATCGTATCTGCAAAAACAAGATATCGATTAGCAAGCTGAGATTCCACAGATTCCAGAAATAGTAGTCTCATCACTGAGCGACAGGGGAAGCGAAAACAGACATCACAACACGTAGCTTCACGGAGGAAGCTTCTTACCTTAGCTGTTGTTCTGATCAAAATGTGTGTTCAATGGCATCAAAATGATAAAAACGCTGCCGAAGGTTAATCCATAGGTTAATCCAATGTGTCTGTCACTTTGAAATGATTCCTGATAATCCATTAATCCATCTTCATATTTACTAGTTTGAGCCTAGGTTTCAGTTTTCTGAGTTTATAGCTCATAGCTCTCACTGGTCAATGGTAACGTGTGTATCTGGAACTTCCCCTTCGATTCTATTGGCTCTAACGGTTAAAAAGAGGTGTCAATCACCAAAATCGACCAATGGGTTCCAGAGAAACTGCAAATCCACCCAAATTACCCCAAAAGTGTTTTTTTGTTGCTAAACCTCTCTAAAAGTCACTTGTTTTGCATCAATCTTGATACAGGATACTTATTATATGTTATAGTTTGGATTCCTAAAGCTTTTAGTCTACTATCCCAGCATTCAAGGGTGGTTTTCACTATAAGTAATGTTTTCTTTTTGGACGGACACTATAATTTACATTTTTTTTACTATGTTCAATCTGAATGTATTTTACGATAAAACAATTATATATTGATTCTGACTTTTCTACATCCAACTCACAGGTTTATTATTGATTTGAGAAAAAAGATTATTAATTTACCCCTTTTAGAAGTGAAGTTATGGTCATTTGTTCTGGGAATGTCATGTTTATTTAGCCTGAGGCCTGAAAAACAGGCTTGGGGCTTAACCGGTTAAAAAGAGAGTTTTCTTCAGATTTGTTGGTAGTATTTCTTCCCTGTAGCAGATATACTGTAAACTGATTCAAGTTTATTTTCTCTTGTTGATTTATTATGATTGTTCAATCTGGCATGACAGATTGTAACTGTATACACAACTAGACTGCAAAGAAGTGTGTTTGTTTCTGGGCTCACACTGACTGATGGTATCTGAAGTATTTCAGGCTAGAAAAGGAAGTGCCAGGTGTCGGCCGGTTGGTTTCACTTCTGTTAGCAGAACAAACACTAAGACTTTCATTTTCGAGGAAATCAGTGAAGAGGAAAGGTTGTTTCTCTGCTTCACATTGAACCTCAACCTTTCAATATACTGTATAAAACACACAGAGAGTATGTGAAGCTGCTCAATAAACAACATTAGAATCTTTAGAAATATGCAGCCCACTGTCGCTGGAATAAAGTAGCATTCACTTGATATAAAAACGTTAAAATATTGGGTATGATATATAATTTGCTTCTCATGTATCCACAGGTGAACTTGAACCATACAGAAGCTTTTGAAGGGATTTATAACGGAGAGTACTGGGGCGTCATCGGCTTCGGGGAGAACTTCACCAGCTACCTGACGAAAAGGTGAGAGAAACAGGTATTCTCAATACCACAGAAATCACTTCATAATTATTTGATAAATGCCAAAAAAAGGTAATATCTAGTTTGTTATCCATCAAATACTTCTCTCCCACAGTTAAAATGGTCTGCTTCCTTCGTATCAGAATACAAATCAGAGTCAGAAATACTTTATTTATCCCGGGGGGAATTAGAGATAGAAACGGTTGCTCTTGTTTAGAATAAAATTAATATAAAATAAATATATTTATATAGACAAAGAGTAGTCAAAGTAAAAATGGGCAGATGTATTTCAATATATATCAACAACAAATAGGTAAAACTATGTATATTAGAATTTATACAGTAGTGAAACAATATTAACCCAAAAAACAATGTACAGGATATGAAGACACACTGTAGGTGTCTGCTAACATCAGCAAGAGGATACCAATGTATAACCAAATAAAAAAAATAAAAATTCTTCTTGGAGATTAAAGCTTATCCTTACTGGTCTGTTATTGAAAAACAGTCACAAGTCAAATTGAATGTTGTTGCTCCCTGCTGTAACGCCCCTAGCTGCAACTTTAAGCCATTTCACATGAAGTCTTTTTAGTTCGTTATGATCCACTGGAAGCTTGAAGTGTTTGTTTTCACCTCCTTCACACGTAGAGCATTTTTGGCTAAAGTTCAACATGGTATTTAAAAGAAAAACACAATGCACTCTGTTCTTACATAAATATAAATGCTTTCATTGTTATGGCAAAGTCATTGTAGAGGCTAAGCCAACGCTTTAAGCCTCTGAGGATCCGCTTGGTGGGTGTAATTGACGCACACAAGTTTGCTGCCGAATAAAGGTCAGAAACAAAGTTTCCAGTTTGAAACAGTCCATTTATTTCCATTTACTGGTTTCCATTTTATCGTGTGGTGAATATGGAAAGAAGCAAGTCAAATGGAAACCAGTCAAATGGAAATAAATGGACTGTTTCAAACTGGAAACATTGTTTCTGACCTTTATTCGGCAGCAAACTTGTGTGCGTCAATTACACCCACCAAGCGGATCCTCAGAGGCTTAAAGCGTTGGCTTAGCCTCTACATATAGTCAAAAACTGTATGGGCCTTCCGGCGGAACTTCTCACCAACACACATACAGTATGTTCCTACCTTTATACCCACAGTTAATTGGCTCCTACAGATGTTAGATCTAAAAACAAGCTCTGCATCAATCCTTCGTCAGGGAGTTGTCGCTCTCTGTCTTTGACTTTGACGCATAAATCAAACCCAAACAATGCTCACGCACACACACACACACACACACACACACACACACACACACACACACACGGCAAAAAGTTACTGTGACTTCTACAATTTATTGGTGCTTCTTAAAGATTGATATTATAGGTTAATGCCACTGTGTGTGTGTGTGTGTGTGTGTGTGTGTGTGTGTGTGTGTGTGTGTGTGTGTGTGTGTGTGTGTGTGTGTGTGTGTGTGTGTGTGTGTGTGTGTGTGTGTGTGTGTGTGTGTGTGTGTGTGTGTGTGTGTGTGTGTGTGTGTGTGTGTGTGGTCCTAACACACCTGTCACAGCTGAGCAACAAAAAGTCATGTGACTCCACGGCCTGAGAAAAACAAAAGGTGTCATGAGAAAATGATCTAATATGTTCAGTGTTATCCTTATGTGATTTTATTATGTGAACAGTTTGCATCAGTTCATTGTTTATTAATTACTGTGTGGACGAGGGATGGCACCTTACCTACAGTACCTTGTGAGGGAAATGTAACTATCTATAAATTCATTATTAAAGGAGAAAATAACACGTTATAAATACAACTCTTTAAATAATGACACATACAAAGTATGGGTGTTATTCCAAGTGGAGTTGTAACATTTAGACAGCTAGGAAAAAACACAACACATGTCAACTGTAGATGTAACTTTATGTCTCATTTAGCAACTGTTCTTTATTTTGCCTTCAGAAAAAATTATGTTTTCGAACAACAATATTCACATTTCATTCAATATTCAGTTAAACTTTTATGTAGGACACTAGTTAATACCAAAATGCATTGTTTTATGGTCTTTCATCACCATCTCTGTCCGTCTGTCTTGTAATGTTCCTGTAAACAGCTTGTGTTGTGCAGATAACCTAACAATATTCTGCATCTTCAGCATCTAACCGCTCTTCTTGTTTTCTTGTATTGAAATATTCCAGTTGTGTTGATAGTCGCTGAAAATTAAATATATGTTCAGATTATGAACCTGTTCTTTTTTTACAGGATGATGTCGCGGCAGGTTTCTAGAGAAGTGCTCGATGGAGGATCAATACACGTCTGGCTGGACCTGACGAGTAAGAACTCTCATAGTTTGTAGTGTTTTTGCTGAAATGGGTACATTTACATACATTTACACTGAAATATTGCTATTAAATGCATGGCAAAAACTCATTGGTGCAACTTAAAGGTGGGGTAGGTAATTAATTTCAGAAACACTTTTTGTTATATTCCATGGAATGCTCTTCACATCCCGATAGCAATGAATACATAAAAAAAATGCATCTGTGGAAGCCGTGGCGCTGTAAAAAGCACGACCAATAATCTGAGCCGGCCCGGCTAAAGTAACTGGATGGCCTCCCTGCCTGTCAGCCTTCCATCTGTGCACAAACTTATCTCGTGCCCTCATTGGTCATGTGCGCGTTCGTGTGTGTTGGAGGAGGGGCTCTGTGAGGAAGTCTGAAGGAAGAGGCAGATTTTTTTCAGCTGTGTACTTTCAAATTCTAGCGCACTCGAGCTGGTTTCTCCATTCTTACCAACCCTACCTTTAAAGTAGTTTTTGAATGAAGACATAATCTGGCATATCTTTTAAATGTCTTGCCATTAATTATATTGTACTATTGGCATATTTTGCATTGCATGTAGTTATTTACATCTGCTTTAAATATCATACAACTATTAGGATTATTATGTATTTATGTGTAATAAAATATCCTTTGATTTGTTTGCCCTTTATGTTTTGTATAGATCAACAAATTGCACTGATGCTGCAGAAAAAAGTATACGAAGCCTTTCAGGTAGAAATAAATATGATTATTATTATTACAATATATATTTGTTATCCTTAAACCAAATATCTTTCACCCCAATAAAGACTGTTATTGTGTCCTCTATTCGCAGTCTTTTGTGGATTATAAATTGGGCAGTATGTCGTACATGGTCGCGCTACCAATAAAGGTAAATATGGAATTATAATACCAATATTGAAGCACATAAAACACGTTTTGTATATATACATGAATGCAAAACAACAATAAAAGACATATTAAATTCGATTTAATCCTTTGTTTCTGTCCTCTTGTAGATGGAAGAGCCGATTTATGGCAGCCAACACACAGACTTCTCCACTTTTGTGACGCCCGGAGCTGTTCTCAGGTCAGTGTGATGCCAAACACACAGGTCACCGTACTTAGAGAAGATTCAACATTCAAGGCTTTTATTTGTCATTCGTACATAGCTATAGTGTAGTCATGTCGATGAAAATCTTAGGTCACAGGCTCCTCCAACAGTGCAACACAATAAAACAGATAATAGTGCAAGTAAATACAATCAAATAGATTAGAAGTAGTTCCATAAGAGTCTATATGCAAGTGATACATCATTTGTAAGTTGCAAACAGGTGAACGTTATGGATGTTCTTAGTTCAGGTGTTTAACAGTCTTATGTGGAATGAAACTAACTAAGAGAAGTAGTATAACAGCTTTTTTATTATTTTGAATCCTTATGACACCAAGTAAATTAACATCCAGTGCCTTCCTCTCTTCTTCCTCTTCCTCTTCCTCTCTCACCCTGCAGTATCACCTTCTTCCTGGCTGTGGGTCTGACGGCGCTCTCCTTCGTCATCGAGAGGAAGGAGGGGCTCATGGACCGCTGCTGGGTCGCAGGTGAGGGGTCAAAGCTGCATGGAGTCACACGACAGGTTTTATTATTATGTATTTCAACAAGGACCATGCATACAAATACATTAATCTGAGAAAAGAGAAGAGGTGAATTATGCCAGATTTGAGCTAATAGCTCATTTCCATCTGCAGACCTTAGGCAGGTACATAACAATCAACAAACACTAAAAACATTGCATAATCTCTATCACACAAACAATTATAAAACATGATTTAAGTACAGGTCAATAAAATAATACATAGTACAGTTAAAATATAATATTAAAATACAGTTAAAGGGGACCTATCATGCATAAAATGTGTCCCCGGTGTGTCGGGGAACTCACGCAGCGTCAGAAAATAAAACCCTCTCTTTTCCTCCGTACCCAAATCTTTAAAAACGGGGCTACAACGGAGCTGATCCAGATTTGCGTCCGATATGACGTAATATCTGAAATGTGGACCCACGGCCCAATCAGAAACGTTGCTATCAGAAACAATGCCCGACTGTTTTGGACGTAATATGGTTGGTGTTTACATTAGCATCACTAACACTCAGAGCTAACCTGTACTGGAGAGCATGTGTGTGAAGAAGCAGGAAGTGGAAAGGAACTCACCTTGTGGTATAACCGGCAAGAGAGAAAGCCTTTGAGCTCCATACTGTTTCAGAAATAATCCTTGATAATCCATGATATGGCGTTTCATCACGGCAGTATTTAGTTTAGACAGTAGCTGCCGGGTCCCGCATGAGCTCAGACCCCTCCTTTAAAAAAAAAAAAGAAGCTTTATACCCCAAATCAGCACTTTTGAAACAGGAAGTGAAATAGAGGGATATGAGGCATGGCTAGAATGGGTGATCTGTTTGGTATTTTGAGCAAAACACTTCATTGACATGTTTTTGATATATCTGAGACCTATGCTATTGCCTAAAAATAGCATGATAGGTGACCTTTAAAATTGAAAAACTCAAGATTACAGTGTAATTAATGTTGGCATGACTGGTTGCTTAATATCAATTGTTTTGCACCATAAGAGAATGAGTTAAAGTCAGGTTTTAAGTTCAACTGGAAGAATATTCCAGTGTTTGATGGCCGTAAATGAGATGATTTGCTTTTACAAACTACACCCAACAAATCCAATATGAGTCTTAAAAAACTATTTTCCTACTCTGTAAGAATGAATAATTGTGAATATTGGTGATACATCTTCAGGAAAAACTTAAAAATATATAAAATCTCCTCAACCAAAACAATAAAATCAAAGTTATATTGTCATAGTGATATTCTGTACAAACTGTGAAGTCCACTGAGACAAATGTAACATTTGTGATATTGGGCTATATAAATAAACATTGATTGATTGATAAACATTGATACTTGTCTTTTTCAAGTCCTATTTAAATATTCTAAAAACGCTGATTTGTTAACACTATTGCGGTTGTTTGGGAACGTATGGATCTTTTTTTGGATCATAATTTGATTCAAATCCATCCACTCTTTTTAATAGACATTACATGACTTGAATCCATGTCATGCATCATGTAAGTGTAATCTGAGAGGTGACCAGTAGAGGGAGTCCCTTCACCAGAGCAGCACGATGATGTTTACCAGCAAACACTAAGGGAGTCGTTTCAGAGCTTTAAGGTCATTTATAACAGAACAAGAAGCTGTGAAATGATTTTTTGTTATTATTAAAATGTGGTGAGACCTTATCAGTTATTGTTAATGCTTAATTTTATGATTTGTGCACCAGGTGTGAGCTCTCTGGAGACGATGCTGGCTCACCTCTTCTCTCAGCTGTTCGTCATCAGCGTTCAGATCCTCCTGCTGCTGCTCTTCATCCTGCTCGTCTTCAAGGTCCGTCCCCCTGACACACGCAGTAAAACACACACACACACACACACACACACACACACACACACACCATGTATCACTTCAGGGGACATTACATTGACTTACATGCATTTCCTACAGACTTATCCTAACCTTAACCATAACCAACACATGCCTAACCCTAACCCTTACCCTCCAATTTGTCCCCATAAGGGAGGCGAGTCCCCACACATGACTGTGTAAACAGATGTAGGTCCCCACAAGGATAGTAATGCTAGGCCACACACACACACACACACACATTCTTCAGATATTACCTTTTTATGATTGGAAAATGAGTCTGTGCAGCATCAAAAATAAGATCTGCAGGGTAGAAAATATAAGCAGAGAAATAAAGAATAAATAACAAAAAAATCCTAAAATCAATAGAAATAAAGTCTTAAAAGGAAGAATTGTTTGATTAAATAAACAAAGCTGACTGTTTCCATACTTAAAATATTATTTTGAACAGACACACATGTGTTAAACTAATCATTTTCCTGTGTTGTGTGCTCTTCAAAACAGACCACAGGATATATTGTGTAAGTTAATTGTCATATTTCCTGTACTATTTAACTACTAAAGTTGCTGTTAAAAGCAGTTTTCTGAGACTGGCAGGTTCATATAGCCTCTCATAGGTCACTGATTTGATTGGTTTATGGAAAGACATGTTGAAGGTTAATGTGTCACATATGAAGAAATTCATTTGCATTTTTACTACATCGTCAAAAATCTAACTGTACCTGCAAAATATTAAGTTCTAAAACGCATATTGATCAATTTATCCCAAAAATGCAAATGTATTTCCGGAAGAAAAAGACATGTGTCGATGTACAGGAGAGGACATTTATGACCGTTCTCTGTGAAGGTCAGCAGGGTGAGGTTTACTGTTGGAACCTGAGGGTGTGTTCATCGATTTCTAATCCACATGTGTGCGAAATCAATACAGGAAGAAGGCTCTCAGACAAAAGAGGATTGTGTGTGTGTGTGTGTGTGTGTATCTTTATGGGTGTGTGCCCTCGTCTCCATCTGTCAGTGTGTGTGTGTGTCCATGCGTGTGTTGATTAAGGTGCTGAAGTCCAAAGAGACCACCACCACATAAATCACTTCCTGCTTTAGCCGTATCCAGGGATCACTGCGGGATCGCCACGACAACAGCCCTTGATTGCTTTGGCAACCGAGCGGTCATGTGGACTATCGGTGCAGGTCTATTTTTGCACATTGTCAGGGGAGACGGATAGTGTCTTGACACACCGGGGACAAGTGCACCAACACACCAACACACACACACACACACACACACACACACACACACACACACACACACACACACACACACACACACACACACACACACACACAGTCTTACAAACGCCTACAGATTCTTCGCAGTTAAGAGCGTTATCACCTTTAATCTTGAGACATTTCTCTGTGTGTTTATTTGATTTAAAATAGTTTCCCATCTCCTGCGACGCCTCCCCTCCGTCTGTGGGATTTACAACCAAATTTAATCTGCCGTGACATTTCTCTTTTTATTCCTTGCAGTATTTTTAGCCCTCTATCAGTGCAGAGCATCAGAGTGTTTCTGTCTCTGTGTTCCCTTTATCTGGCTCTGCGTTTCTTCTTGATCTTATGTTCTCCGTGGTCCTTAAAGGAGTTATCCACTGATTTATCATTGAGACTTGACTTACGACAGATAGTGTAAAATCTCATTTGATTCTGCAGAACCACAGATATTGTTTTTACTCACATGGATTTTTGTGATTTATCTTCTTTGTTAAATCCTTATCCTGGCGCCTACATTTCCCACAATGCAACATTTGGTTTTGATGCGCTCACCGCTGCAGAGGTCTCACTTCTTCCAAACCCCTGCACTACATGCATGTAACAATAATGTGTACATTTTATTTCTACCCACTTTTAGGTCCTCTGCAGCTTTGTGGATGAAAACAGCCTCTTTGTTGTATCTTCTCTCACTCTTCTCCCCTCCTTGTCACCCCCCCCCCCCCCCTCTCTGCAGATGCCTAACGAAGGCTCCCTGTTTCTGGTGATAGTTCTGATCGTTCTACAGGGCGTCACCGGCATCTCCTTCGGCCTCGTCATCTCCGCCGCCATCGACGACGAGCAGAACGCCAACCAGGCCGCCCTCGGCATCTTCTACCCCAACCTCATCCTCAGCGGTAGGCCTGCAGTGTGTGTGTGTGTGTGTGTGTGTGTGTGTGTGTGTGTGTGTGTGTGTGTGTGTGTGTGTGTGTGTGTGTGTGTGTGTGTGTGTGTGTGTGTGTGTGTGTGTGTGTGTGTGTGTGTGTGTGTGTGTGTGTTCCCTGTCAGTGTTTTACTAATATATATGATGTTTTTGGATTGCTTTAATGCTGTAGATGTTTAATATTTTGCCAATATTTTTGATTAATTGTGAAGGAAGGATATTTTTCACTGAGAAGTAGTGATAGCGAAGGTATCAAGTAGCGTGTGTGTGTGAGATCAACAAACTATCGACCCTTCAGTGAAACCAGCAGCTTAAGCAGGCTGTGCTCCTGAAAGTTATAAATAAATCTTCCATTATTGACTCGAAAGCCTAAGTTTGAAGATTATTCTTAAACTTGGAAATAGCCATTAAGAACATCTTACCATAATAACCCTAGGGACTTTCCTACTATCACATGATCTGCGTCTTTGAACCCCAGAAGTCCTTAAAGTGGTCAGGAAAAAAAAGGACCCTGTGGTGAGATTATTTTATAAGGAACTTTTTTTTCTAACTTCCTTGCATGTTTTGTTTTCATTACAAATCAAAAATATTTAGAGTTCAAAGATTCAAAGATTCAAAAGCTTTATTGTCATATGCACAATATCTACAGCGTATTTGTTGACAATAAAAAAATCTGAAGTCCTAAACTCTTCTAACGATGCAGCATACAATATACTTAATGTTAGGGAAATAATTATCATAGACGCCAAGATGTGACATACAGGACAACCCTTGACGTCTGTTTACCTCCTTTTAGGACACAGGCTGCTTCAGCCAATAATGTTATTGTTCCCATTCTGTGACCGGTCAATACTGGGTCACAGATGGTCTGTATTGTGGGTACACTGGGACACTTCCTTCTCTGTTGTCTGAGGACTCCAGGGCATGACATATCCAAGGCCATAAGTGGCGGAAGCTGGTAACTTAGTGTGCCCAAACTATCTAAAGCTATCTTATCAAAACATGTTGATGACTCTCTGTGGAACCAGTTAAATGGGCTAGCAACGAGAGAGGCTTTCGAGAATTGACGTGGCAACTCTACCGTGAAGTCAGAACCTCTGGCTCTTGGACTTGTGATGTGAATCCTCCGGCCGTAACTCCAAATAAACCATCAGTGTTTGACATTAAAGCTACTGCTCCTACCGTGTCTCCTTCCTGAGTCGGTGACTCCCACAGCATTGCTACACAGAAGTTTCCTCTACACTTAATACATAAAAGAAAAAAGTACAAAAGAATAGAGAAAATGCTAATCTCTGCAGGTAAAAATGCAGGAGGCAAAAAAAGACAAAAACTGTACAGGGAAAAAAAGCACTGCTCGTTCAAATAATATACAACTATGTGGATTGTATAAGATGTTATTGCTATAAACAAATGAATTCAAGAAAAGGGAAACCAGATATAGTTTGAGTGCTTCATGAGGCTCATTTTGAATATAAACACTGTATTATAAGAGTTCTTGTACATGTGTAACTCCTGTCCTGTGCTCAGGTATCATCTGGCCGGTGGAGTGTATCCCGTATCCGCTCCGCTACCTCAGCCTCGCTCTGCCTCAAACCTACGCCTCCGAAGCCCTTCGCTGTATCATGTACCGAGGTAACACACACTACACGTTACACAACACTCACCTGGCCCCTAACGTGTGTGGTTAGCGTGTTTTTAAAGGCCCCCTATTATACTCTTTCTCATCAATATATTATAGGTCTCAGATATATACCTAACATGTCTCTGAAGTGTTTGGCTCCAAACACCAAACAGATCATTGCAGCATTACCCATAATCCCCTCTGTTTCAGCCCTGTTTCCAAAGTGCTGATTCCCTGTCTGTTACTTCAGATGAAAATAAGGAGCCCCTCCCCACGCCCCTCTGAGAGATTTGGTTACAAAGAACAATGGTGCTCTAGGAGGAGATTCAGGTGATAAGGTGGGGGGGGGGGGGGGTTACCTTGGTTGCTGATTGGCTAATGGTTACACAAGACAAAAACACGTTATGACATCATAAAGTGGCCAAAATCTGATCAGCTCATTTTCAGACAGGTTTTTATAGAAATGGATCAGGACAAAAAGAGAGAGAATCTTTGTTCCTGAAACTTTCAGAGTCTCTTTCCACAGAGGGGACACATGTTGATGTAGAAGAGACATGAAGAAGAGGGGACACATGTTGATGTAGAAGAGACATGGAGAAGAGGGGACACATGTTGATGTAGAAGAGACATGAAGAAGAGGGGAGACATGTTGATGAAGAAGATACATGAAGAAGAGGGGACACATGCTGATGTAGAAGAGACATGGAGAAGAGGGGACACATGTTGATGTAGAAGAGACATGGAGAAGAGGGGACACATGTTGATGTAGAAGAGACATGGAGAAGAGGGGACACATGTTGATGTAGAAGAGACATGAAGAAGAGGGGACACATGTTGATGTAGAAGAGACATGAAGAAGTTTATTTTGCATAATAGGTGACCTTGAAGGGTCATTTGTGTGCACACGGCTCAGATTGTTCAACACAACATGGCCAGTGGATCTAAATGTTTAATCAGCTCTGGATCCAGTGTAACTTACTGGAATGTAACGTAAAGCGGTTCCTCAGTCTTTATCTTTACCTCACCGTCTGCGGACAATAACACAGACGACAGTCAGAGCTCCCTCCGTGTTACACGATACACAGAACAGGAAGTCAGAGGAGCTGTTTCCTGTTTGAGAGCCTTATCGTGGAGGTGGAAGATGAGACACAGACAGAAGTCGACAATTCAATTTGGAGGATTAGCTGAACCTTTTTACTTTGCGACTCCATCCTGCCACATTCACTTGAACCTCAGTGTCTCATCCCATTTAAATTCATGCTTTCTAAATGAATGCATTCTCTACAGCCTGAGAACATGAGTGAGATGTGTGTTATCCCCTAGTTTCATCCCTCATACGCAGTTTCAAAGAACATTAAAATATCAAAGTAAAAAATTCAGTAAATTAAAAAATGTTTTAAATCTTATGCATTTACATTTTCAAGGTTTCTGCAGATCCATTAAAAAGTCTTAATAGGCTGATTCTGGAAAAAATAATTGGCATTTGAATATCTTAAATCAATGTTTTAAAAGTCTTAACAAATGTAATCTTTTTGATGTCATGCAGATTAGTATAACCCACAACATTCATATACATTCTAAGGTCGCAATTTCCAATGCAATGTGTTGTTGTTTTTTATATTTACAGAAGTCATGCTGGTGGGTGGCTTTTTACCTTTGGATATTCTTTTGTTCAAGGCTTTATACTGAGCTAAACTAACTGTTGGGGAATCATTTGCTTCGGCATTCAACCTTTGACACAGTTCATCATTTTCTCCTCTCACCGTCTCCTTTCCCATGGCATAGGTCTACGGCCTTGGGTATTGCTGCTATCTCTCTTAGGGGGGGCAGCTTGGGCGCATTGTTGGTGCTAGCTTATGACCGAGCACAAGCTGACATGAGATAGTTTATTGTTCAGGGACATCTCGAAGCCCTTCGTTTTAGGAACGTAGGTTCCCTGGCGCACATTCTTTTCTATGGACGACAGCAGTTAGATTCAGGGTCCATATTTGTTTAGTCTCGCTGATAAAGAATGTTGATTATTACACTCTGAACTAGTTAAAACCTCGAACTACAGGAGGGTTCTTCAAAATTGATTGTGGCATCTCAACCGTGTGGTCAAACCGTGGCCCGTGACATGTCTTGTGAATTCTCCGGCCGAAGCTCGTAATGAACCGTCAGTGTTTGCCATCAAAGCTCCAGCTCTCCTCGTGTCTCTCTGAGTCCTGACTCTCCATTGCTACAGAGGTTTCCCCCACACTAACTTATTTAACAAACTGTTTTGGGATTTTGACACTCTGAAAGCGAATAACCTTTAATAACAATAACTTGACCCCCCCAGCCTATTGCCTCCTGTATCTAAATATAAGAGTATTAACAGAAATCTGTCCCTCAGGATGGGGTCTCACTCGGATGATGGTGTGGCGAGGCTTTGCGGTCACGCTGGGCTGGAACACCTTCTTCCTCATCCTCGCCACCGTCATCTTAAGGCTGAGGTCGTGAAGGCCTCCTCCCTGAAAACATCGTCCACCGAGGGGACAGAGACAACAGGAGGAGCAACCCACCTGTGTGGGGGTGAAGTGGAGGCAGCAGAGGGGTCACAGTGGTGAAAGGGACTCCATCGGTCCCCCTCCTCCATATGTTCTGTCTCACACACAGAAAGCACACACATCAGAACTGCTGATCCTGCAACAGTTGCGTTAGCCTGGGGGAGGGAGATGGCAAGCTGCACGTAAAAGTGCACAAGTTAAATATCTACCTGCACAATATAATTAATATTCAATGTAAATAAGATCATTAATCCTATAGTTTATTTCCCTTCTACGTGCAGCTAGTTGGAACTTCTCCCCCCCCCCCCACCAACAATGGGCCATGAACCAACTCAGGGTGACTTTTTCAATTTTATTTTGCCTTCGCTCTTGATGCTAACAGAGAGACTTGCTGGTGAATACACCCTAAGATTATGGTTTGCCATACAGTATTGGTTGCCTGCCTTATATTTGCATTATAGAAGAATTGTGTATGTAAATGTGAGAAGGGGTCGCAGCACAAACAAAACAAGTTAAATATTCTTTGTTTGCTTTACCAGAAGGACATTTGAGGAGAGGATTGTTGTAGCGTCATGTTTCAAAGTGCTGATCGCTTCATATTGTGCAGGAAAGTCTCCCCGCTCATCCACAGCAGCCGTATCTTGTCTTGTTTAATTTTAAGTCAGATTTCCGTGTGTCCTGTCTGATGTGGAAGAAGCAAATCCTGTTCATGCGTCACCAGGTGCTCAGCTGAAGTTTAGTTTGGTGGTTTTCTCTATAACTTGTGTTCTGTGCCTGAAAGAAGGGGTGGTTTGATGTTGCTGTTATATATTTGTTGTATCTCCACTTTGCTGGACAGAGTGGACTCAAAGGTCAGGTTAACGCCTTCTGCTTATCTGCAAAATGCGTTGTGTTTTTTTACACCCAAGTCTCAAACTGATCATGCTTTTTGACAGTTTTGACCACCAACAAACAGTTAAAAGAGTAAAAGCACACAGACTGTTTTGGATTTTGAAGAGGCTGGGATGTTGCACTGTGGGAAAAAGGAATCTAAAAATGAGGAATAAATATAAAATCTAGACCACCATGTAGTTGAATTACTTTAGGACCAGTGAGTTTGTTTATAAAAGCTCAAATGTCCTTCCTTTATTTACACACAACAAGGATATTTTAAACCTGTGGTTCAGTTGAGATTGTGTAGTTTTTTTCCAGTTATAATTGAGTTTTTTTTATTGAAATATATATACATATAATTAATGTATTGGAAAGGCTAATTACTTGCAAAAAAACACCCAAAATATAAGTGTACTTGGTTGATAATAAATGTAATCTATTTAATTTCTTTGCAATTTAAGCGTTCTGCCTTTTAAAGGAAAAGTCCCACATTGTTGAAAGTACATATATGTGTTTTATTTAACCCTCCTGTTGTCTTCGGGTCAAATCTGACCGATTTACTACTTTCATCAATCATAACTTTTTTGTTTTACATTCGATTGCATTAATGCTTTATGATATCCTTCACAGTAGACATTTGAACATATCAAATTGCTGATCACCACTTTCATTGCATTTTGGATGATTTAGTCAACTTCGAAACACCCATGGTGTTCCCGGTCAAAAATGACCGCCATAAAGAAAAGGAATTAGTAACCATCTGGATCAGATAAAACACACACACACACACACACACACACACACACACACACATACTCTAGATGTGTCCCCCCACATGTGAATCACACCTGGCACACACAAACACAGAACAATTTGACACATTTCCCGCTCTTATGTGCCCATCCCCCCACATGGATCACACCTGGCACACGCAATACATGTTCAGTGTCTGTTCTTCGTATATTTACTGCAGTTCTTCATGTATACCAGTAGTCTGATACAATATTTACAGTTTGAAAGGGTGCTAAATGAAATTTGGTGAAGATTAATGGATTTTGTGTTAATGTAATAGCAGTTAAAACAGGACCGGTCAAATTTGATCATGAACACCAAAGTAAGGGGGGGGGGGGGGGGGAACAAAGACAATAGGAGGAAGACCAATATGTCATGTTTGTACGCTTAGCTTAGCATAATGTCCAAAAACATGGTGAATCTTTTTTTCCCCAAAACTTTTAACCGAGTGTTGAAAAGGCAGCAGAATCCAGACTCACGTGCCAAACTCATGATCAATTATATATGTTTACATTCATCTGATTCATCACAAACGTTCCTTATTATCCGATGAGTTTCCCGGTTCAGATGAAGGACTAAACACCAGCATGTGTTGTGTTTAGATGTGAATGCTCCTGTCTCTGATACGTGTTGCAGTGCAGGTAATGTCCACTAATGTCCACAGTACATTAATATAAATATTAATGTACTGAAGAATTTGGAGGCGTGTTGCGCAGTGGACTAGTGCGTTGGTGTTGGGATCAGGGGGTCGCAGGTTCAAACCCCACTGCATGTCGTTGTGTCCTGCAAGACACTTCACTCCGAATTGCTCCTGTGGGGATTGTCCACAGTATTGAGTATGTAAATCGCTTTGGATAAAAGTGTCTAACATGTAATTTGAGTTTATACATAATGATAATGATGTTGGATTACGCTGTGGTCTGATAGTGACATTGTGTGTACAGTATGCTGTTTATAAAGTTCGACGTTGAATCTGTCCGAGAGTTCGCCGCGCTGTAAATCTGCTGTTGCTCTCGTTGCAAACCTTAAGGGACATTGTGTTCTTGTTTGGTGGAAATATGAGAGCCAAACTGTGAGGACATATTATATACTGAAGCTCTGTTTATATTCTTATATTTAAAGAAATGAATCCCATATCCTGCTGGTATAACCAGTGTGTCCTACATTACACAATTATTTTCCTTTTTACAAATTCAGTTGGTTAACAATCTGTGAAAAAATTGGCTATGCTTACGTGACACTATTGGTAATATTATGAGTACACGGTTTACATTTTTTGGGATCATTTCTGCACTATTGGTTAAAGATTGTAATGTTTTGATTTTGTGAAATGTGCCATTTTTGAGGAATTCATTTATGTTTACTATTGACATAAAAACCAATGCACTTGTGGGAAAATCTACCTAAAGAACCCACCAACCGTTATGTAAAAAGGCATCTTGGTACAAAGTATAAAGACTTGCATGAACTGCAACTACTGAAGGCACTATTAAAAAATTACATGACATAAATTCTTATTTGACTATTTTAACTATATTGTATGTATTCCGTTATCCGTGTTGCTTAGTGTGCACCAATCAGATTTTTTAGCATTATTAAAATGTAAATCTGATGCCAGAAAAAATGTGTGTATCCACAATGTGATTTGGACCGGCTCCAAAATGTAAGGTCTTCTTCCTTGGCCCATAATTCAACCTTTTACCAAGTTTAAGGGAAATTGGGCAATTAACTTTTCCGTAATCCTGCTGAAAAATGAACAAACCAACTGACAAACATAACCATCCATACTGTAGGTTTGAAGTGATTAAAATTGAAAAACTTGTTATGTCCTTTCTTTAGATAAAGGCAATGACTACTGTATTTATTGTTTTCATTGAGAATAATCTGAATTATTAATATTGGGATATAGCAGTTCATGTAACGATCACTGCAGTATACTGTAGATGCTTTCCTCAACCATTTGGGACTTTAAGATTAATGCAAATATGAAATGTCCAATAATTAAGCGGTGTAGAGCCGATGAATGGGAGTCGAAGGCAGCGTGTTGAGTATGGAACTCCACACTTTATTTTCCATTAAGTTTACAGAAGGGAAGAATAACTTGCATACATGCTACTTGTGATGGAAACTTCTGTGCAGCAATGCAGAGCCAAGGCTCAGGAAAGGATGGAAGCTGGAGCGGCTTTAGTCAAACACTGATATTTATTGAGAGTAGAATACGGCCGGAGAGATCACAAAGTATATCACACTTTCATGTGAGCCACCTAGCAACACTCTGAAAACAAAGAGTAGAAACATATATCTATATATCCTTAAAGGAGGGATCTAAAAAGCCCGCCTTTCCTCCCTTAATCATTACCAGACATTGGAACAAATACCCGTTTGTATTACAAACTCACATGAGCCAAACTTCTCACCCACAGGAAGGCAGAGGACCTCTTGACCTGTGTCCTCACATTACAGGCAGGAGTATATGCGACTTAACGAAAAGCATATGTTTGTAATTAAACAGTTTCTCAGAACAGCTGAGAACCTCAAGACACAAAGAGATCTTCTTAAAATATTCTCTGACAGTTTCATTCTTTTTATCAATTTATGATAACCAATTAACATTAGTCTAAGAATATTTCAGTCAATACTTAAATCAATAAGCGTCTTCAGAGTTGTGTGGGCTCACATACATCAATTACATCAAAAAGTAAAACAAGATTGAAAACATTCCAATCACCATGATTGAACACAGTCAATCATAATAAAAATCATCTCTCTTCAGAGTTTGGCATCATTTGTCAAAAGCACAATAATAAACACACATGAAATACAAAAATATAATAGCAAAATATATGTTTAAAAAATAAGATCTTTTATCATTTATCACTCAGTTAATCTCATTCATCAAACACAAATTCAAAATCAGCTTACATCTCAAAGATTTACTTCAAGGCAATTACTTATTAAAACACAATTAGAATTTAGGATTATAAGAAATCCAATTGAGGTATAAAATCAGAATCATGAGAGATCCAGCTAAAATTCCCAGTTAAGGTATAAATTCACAGTGATGAATCGATCAATCTGTAAAGTTACAGTGTCCTCAATCTTTAACATTACTATACGTTTACTTCATTACGCTTTATTCAAGAGTAAGGCACTTAGTAGTACATATATTTCATTCAAATACATTTGTTCAAAATCTGAAAAGGAAGAATCAGAAAATGTATTGTATAACAACCTGAAAAGGAAAAATCAAAACATCTGTTCTTTATTCAGAGTATCAACTGTAATCAATATCAAAACATCTGTTCTTTATTCAGAGTATCAACTGTAATCAATTTGTCAATCGCTGAATGGGGGTACCCATGGTGCAGAAACCGCGATGGAGACCCATGGATCTGGAAGCTCGGCGTCGTACATCAACATTGTGTCATCTATAGTCGAATACCCCACTAGCCTCTGTGGTGCCTGGAGGGCGGTCTTGGCAACCCTGCGTATGGCTAATTTAACTGAATTAGCACAACCAAGATAAACACTGAAACAGTAACAACAAATTTAACCAACCCCGCTCCCCAGGATCCAAAGGTTCCGCTTAAATCCCCAAATGTAAACCCATGAGTTTCATGCAATTATTTTATTCCCCTAGCAGTATCATGAGCCATATCCATAACTTCAGGTGTAGCATCAGAGATGAAAGAACAACACTCAGATCCAATCACCTTGCATGTGCCCCCCTGAGCAGCTAGGAGAAGATCCAGTGCCATACGATTCTGTAGTGCTACTGTCCTAACTTCCTGCAATTCTTTGTGTTCAGCTAACATCGCTGTGTTGGATACATTTAGATGGTGTTCCACTACTTTGGACAATGTCACAATTTCCTGCTGAGTAACATAAATACCGTACCAAGGCAAAAATAGGCTATGCTATCTCTTGTCCTTGTGTAATGGACCTGCTGTTCCTGTGTAGAGAGGGAAGTATCGCTGCAATCTCATTAGCCTCTACTTTACGGATTAAAGGGATTAGGTAGGCTAGATAACAGGTGCCAAAAAAATGTCATAGGGCACACAGCCATAGGCCCGGTCCCCACAAACTAAGTAAACTCTCTGTGGGAGGGGAATTCTGGCTAAATTTACCCTCACTATGGTATTACAGTAGCTGTGTCCCACATCTGGAGAGGTGTGAGATCCTACTTCATTCTGGAAACAGATGGACACATTCTTCCATTCATGCACCACAATTGGGGGAACATATACTGAACAGTCACATGTAGGGGGCTTGCCTAAGGGTATTGGCTGTGTATAGTCATGTATTTTAACCTCAACGGAGTCCACTGTTCTGGAGCCAAACCAGGGCACAACTGTTACCAAAGCTTCAACCAACAAAGATGGTGTGTGTGGTTGCATTGTACATGTTGGACTTGTAAAGTTAGCCGAACAATTAGTCTGAGCTAGAGCTAACTGGAATCTGTATTCAAAAGCTAGGTTAACGTATTTCTTCACATATATTAGTTTTAAAAACATCAACCGTTTGAAACCGTCAGGCAGGTAATTTTTATTTACTGTATCAACAATGAGAGAGACTAAGCCCTCGTACTGTAAAGGTTGCTCAGAGTCTATGGGGTAGGAAGGAGTGTAACAATCCTCAGCCTCATCGCTAAT